TTTTTGCGGTGTGGGGGGGGGGAACACCAGCACTCTATGACTAACCATTTTCATTCGAATTTCTTTTATGTCTCTTTGACTGAAATCAAAGTTTCGATTGAAGCTCAGACATTTTGCAAACATGCAGGTGAAGACGCCACAATCGTAGCCATTCTCCTGATAGGGGATTCCGGCCTATGAGGAAAAAAAAAAAATCCATTTATTAGTTAACAAAACAGATAAAGGAGTACACGAAAAGGATAAAATAGTAAACTATTTCAATAAAACAATATTGTGTACCTCCGAACGACCATCCTTGTTATATTCCCACGCAGAAACATCCAGTTCCTTTTGCTTTTTATCACGCATTTCATCCACAATATAACGCTTCATGTATTCAAAAAATTTTTTATTCGGCATGTTTAATGAATCGTATAATTTAATTTTTTTCTCTTTAATATTAATTGAACCAAGGGTCCAATGATTTCCACCTATATGCAACGGAATGAGTATCAAATCGAAGGAAAAAATGTCAACTTTTTTTCTCTTCGTCCATCTTGATACCTTATTATAGTTATATGTCCCATTTGAACTTAGGGACTGAAAGAAGAAGGTGCTAAAGGTAAAAATTTTGGGAAGATTATTCACCATTGCATTTCTAGTATTTTGTTCATTATATTCCTGTAGCATGCTCATGTAAAAATTAATAACTTCATCGTTTAACCACCTTGTATCTGTTAAACATTTTATTTGAGAATACAAAAGTGGGACATTGAATTTATCGATTAAGACATTATTCTCTCCTTTCTGATTTAGTATTTTTACCGCCATTTCATAGTGGTTTTTTTTGTTGCATTTAAAAAATATGCTTTTGTCCATTTTTCCAATTTTTTTATTTTCATCTTCTTTCTCTTCCGTTTTACCCTTTTCTTCTATCTTCTTTGTCTCTATCTCTTCTTCCATCTTCTTTGCTTCTTTCTCTTTTTCCATCTTCTTCTTATCAATCCGTAATCTTTCTAATGCTTGAATAAGAGACTCCTCGTCATTTTTCAAAATGATATATCCGCTCTTATCTTCCAACGATAAGTCATCAATAATTTTCATATATTCATCATTCCCATTTATTGTGTTCTGTTTATCTGTCATCTCATAATATGCAGATTCATTTTTACTTTCTCTCTTGTGTGTGTTTTGAATAAGGCTCTTGCCATGTCTGTTGTGAAGAAGACGAGAACTGGATATAATTTCATTTTCGTTTGAATTTTCATATATAAAGGAATCTATCGTTTGTATTAATTGCTTATATTCATATCTGATTTGTTTAATTTCTTCATTGTTTTTGATAAAGCTTCTAAAATATTCGGCTCTTTTTTTCCCCTCGTGTACATCGTCCTGCTCTGTTTCGTCTATATCTACGCTAGGTGCACCTTCAGCTTTTGCACTAGCCTCTTCCCCCATAGAATTATTTATTTTATTATTATTTTTTGATTCTACTTCTTCCATACTTTCGGTTTTTTCCATTTCCTCCATTTCTTCAATTTTTCCATTTTCTGCCTGACACTGTTCATCCAAATTTTCTTCACCTACTCGATAATTACATGGCGTGTTAACCATTTTCCCTTTTTTCGTGCGTTCATAAAATATGTTCTTAAAACTATCTGCGCAACTATCTTCCGGGTTGTTTAACGACTTGTCTTTTTTATTACAATCTTCAAAAATTTGTTCATAATATAATTTCTCAACATTTTCATTGTGTCGTGAAATATCGTCCAATTCTTTACCCTTTCCCTTTCGATTAAGAAACTGTTTCTCTTCATATGTTACGTAACCGCTTTTCTCATGAGCATTCGTTTTACTTCTACTGCTTCGTGGGCTTGTATTGCTTACTGTCATTTTTTTGCTTTCTTGTGCATTTCTTTCTGTCTCTACTTCTTCTTTCTCTACTACTTTTTCTTCTTCTTCTTCCGTTGCCTCCTCCACCTCTTCATCGATACTATGTTCTCCCATTTGCAAAAACAATTTTAATAAGCTATTCTTCATGTGCTGATTATTATGAACAGCTTCTTTTTCACCTCTGTAGCTACTGCTGTCGTTTGTAAATGAAGATCGTTTATGAATCCCATTTCTTTTGCTTTCTTCCTTATTTCTTAAATTATCATCAGGTTTAAGATTTTTTTTCCATTCGTGTGTTTGTTCCTCATCAGAGGAACGAGCAATCATCTTCCATCCTTTTGAATTCATGTCTTCCTTTTTCTTATTGTGCTGCTTCTCCTGCTCCTGTTGATGATGATAACATCTGTTGCTTATAGTTGCTGTGTGAATTGGGATGGGTCCCTCTAGCATTCCGTTTTCTCTCTGTATGTTTGAAACCCCCCCCCCGTGCTTCTTAATCATTTTTGAACTGACATGGGAGTTGCTCATATTCGACAGGAGAAGTTTGGCACTGGAACTGTTCATATCACCCTCATTCTCATTTATTCCATCCCAATTTGAGATTTTGTTGCTAACATCCTGAACGTTCATATGATATGAATCAATATGATCATCATGATTTTTCATTAATTTGGTATCGGCATGGGGATGGTATCCCTCCCCCCCCTTTTCATCATTATCAAGGGTAAATAAATTTTTTATATCATTTTCTGAAAAATCGTACGTAGAATTTTTAATTTTTTTATTTCGATTTGATATTGTTTCATCATCCTGTTTGTATTTATTCTTGCCCTGTTCAGGTATTTTTTTTTCATTTTTAAAATAACTTTTTTCCATTTCTTTATTACTACTTTTGGGAGAATTATCATATTCATTTTTATTCTTTTCAAATTCAAAATTGTTCTTACTTATTATGCTAACCGAAGGTTCATCCTGAGATGTATCTTTAAGTTTATTTTTTTTCCCCTTTTTATCAATCAATCTAGAGTGTTCAGAAATTATTTTGCTTCTTGAATTCTCATCTCTATTATTATCATATGTAAAAATATTTTTTTTTACAACAGATGCAAAGGATGAGCATACACTTTTTACGCAATTCCATAATAAACCTCCCGATGTGCTTTCTTTTTTTACAACCTCTTTCTTATTATGATGTTGACGATGAGATTCTCTTCGATTATGTCGATGTGTATCTTTTCTGTAATGTCTATGAGAATCTTTGTGATGATGATGATGGTGATGGTGGCGATGACTTGATTTGTGTGATTTTGTATGCGTTTTTTGATCCGCTTTGTTATCTCCCTTGGTGTCTACTTCTTTTCTATGTTTGATATCTGATGTGTTCAGAACCTTTTCCTGTTTATCAAACAACTCTCTGTGAGATTTAGGGTCCCGATGTGTCACCTTTCTTCCTTCATCATGGTTCCCTCCTCCTCCTTGACGATACCCCTTAAAGAGTATATGTTGGTGATCATTGGTAGATGCTTGGATTTTGAACTCTTTAGGGGAAGATATATTCTTGTTGTACTTTTCAGTTAAAATATAGGAATCTTTTTTTTGGTGCACATTGTGATTAATTTTTTTCTTTTCCTTATATGTTCCTTCGAATTTATGATTAGAAGATTTATGATGCTTATCTTTATCAAGAAAATCATTTAAACTCCAGTATCCCCCACTCATATTTCCATGTAATTCGATATAGTATATTTTATTTAATTTTTGTGATAAGTGGAGAGAATTGGGATATCACTACATGATATACTCTTCCAATGATAGGTAAGACTTTTCACTTTTTCATGTGTCGTGCGAGTGATTATATTATACGTGTGCAGCTGGATATTCAAAAAAACGTATGTCTATACGCTGATACAAAGAACAAACATAGGAACGAGAATATGTGCATTGGCAGGAGAGTGATGGAAATATATACAAATGCAGGTGGTGATAAGCTATCAAGATATTCAATGCTGAAATGGAAACAAGTACTATGCTAAAGTGAGGGGATGCGTGTGTGTGGAGGGAAATAAAACTATATATAACCACAGTATGCCAATTTGGTCATGTAATCGAATTACATCTCTGCGAAATTTATTACATTACGTGATGATGGAAATGGGAAAAAAAAAAAAAAAAAAAAGAATTTTATACGTGTATAAAGTATGTGTACTCAAGTGCTTTCTTTTTATACTACGGGGGAAATTCCAAAAAAAAGGAGGGAAAAAAAAGGAGGAAAACATATTTGTACTCCTAATCGGTTAGGGGCTAACCTCTGGACCGCTGCATAATTAAACAGCCCAATGAACTAGACCATTAAGATATATATATATATATATATATATATATATATATATATACTTGTTATGAAGTACAAGATAGGACAACAATTTTAACGCCTCAATGTTCATGTATAATTTTCTCGAGACCACTATCGAATCGAAAAAGAAAAACGGGATTTAACGCTAAACATGAATGTTGCAAAAAAAAAAAAAAAAAAAAAAAAGTTTTTTATTTTTTTCTCTTTTTTTTTTTTTTTTTTTTTTTTTTTCTTCCCATCGCCTTGGCTCGTCATTCTTTTGAATCAATCGGGAGAGAAGGGAATCTTGAAGAGTGGGTAAACACTCTCCTTTTTGTCTTTGCGAGAAAATCCCAACTCCCGTGATTTTCTGACGACAGTGTGTCGAGCATCCTATAAATGGAAAAGCTCCTCCCCCCCCCTTTGTCACCCTGCTATGTGTACATGTATGTGTGAAAGCGAATTGGGCTTGCTCTTGAAAAAAAAGTAAAAAAAATAAAAATCAAATAAATAAATAAAAAACAAGTAAATAAATAAAAATCAAGTAAATAAATAAAAATCAAGTAAATAAATAAAAATCAAGTAAATAAATAAAAATCAAGTAAATAAATAAAAATCAAGTAAATAAATGAATAAATAAATGTATAAATAAATAGGACGTTGCCTTACTTTAAGCGGTGTGAAAATGCTCAGTTGGGCGAGCTTTAAAGGGGAATTTAGTCCACTCACTGAATCCTTTGTTTGATTGTTTTCCTATAGTCCCTCAAACGTCCTTTTTTTTCTTCCTTTCTTCTTTGCCGTTACGCATATCCTTTCATCTTCTCAGTTCGCCCATTATATTTATGTTATTTTTATTTCATTTATTTTTTTTTTTCCCCCTCCCCATTTTCACTCTATGTACGCAAAACGTTTGCAAAAAAAAAAAAAAAAAAAAAAAAAAAATTGGTTTGGCTTGCAGGGCTTAAAAAATTTGTTAAAAAAAAGAGGAAAAAAAAAAAAAATTGTCATTTTAATAAATAACAGAAGTAGTGTGATTAAAATGATAGCGCTGAAGGAAAAGTATAACCTAGTGTATCAAAATAGTTCCACCCGACCTATGAGAGATATCAATGGATCGACATTGTAGTGATATATCATTAACGCAATACAAAATTTCTTGCGTACCTTGCATGCAACAAGTATTTACACATATATATATATATACGTATATATTTGGAACTCTTTGCACAAAGGGAAAAAAAACGTGTATGAAAAATTGACGCGGGATTATCGCTTTTCAATTGCACCTACAGGTGAAAGGGGCGAAGAAGCCGTAGAAATAGAAAGGTGTTAATTGGGAGGGTATGGAAAAAGAGAAAAATTAAAAATATTTGCAAAAAATACGGAAAAATTCTGGAAAAAGTTTGGAAAAAAATTGAGTAAAAAATTGAGAAAAATGAACTCCTAGGAAAACTGCAGAGCAGGAGAAAACGCGTCCATGACAAATACTATGTCCATCAGCAAATACACGAGCGCTCCTCATCCTCTTTTTCCAAGAACAGGAAAAGGGTTGTACCATTACATTCACACGTATGCATAAGTGAATATGACCTACAGAACTGTTTTTGAACACAAATGAGGAAAAAGCCGAATATTCTCAAGGCGGAGCTTCCCAAAGCACCCATGGGAAGGAGACCCATTGGATATCGAGGTAAAAAAAAAAGAAAAAAAAAAAAAGTCCACAAACGAGTGGACGATGAAGCATATATGGTAATATGAGTAAAGGGATTATAAAATAGCCAAGCGTAAAAACACTAATGTCGTCTTGTATTGTATTTCCTAATAGGGTACTCACATGTGTGCATAATGTATATGTCTTCTTACCCTCACCTTCCCTCTACAGGTAATCACCAGCATGGAAAAGCACTCAATGATCCTGTATATCCCACGACAAAGGTACACCTATGCATGCACATGTGAAACATATATTTGTGGTGTAAACAATGACTTCGACAGAAGGAGGGGGAAATGATGAAGGGGAAATGACAGCGGTCTTTTATGACCCCTCGTAATAAGCACATCCACATGCATGTACATTTTTCCTATTCATACGTGTACATATATGCACTATTTACCCTAGAAATAACGTGGGGATTATTCACATTGTAATCGTAAAAAAAAAAACTCTCCGACGCACGCACCATCATCACCCCTTACTACTACATCCTTAGATTCCCTCTAGTTTGATTCCACGATATCCAATAGATTGGAGGAATGGTGGTAGATTCCTTTTGTGTGTTGGATTAAGAAGAATAGAAAATCGAATTATAAAAAAAATGAAGGAAAGTCAAATGTTCAATTTTCCAGAATGTAATACTTGCAATCATGATTGTATATCACATTACAATCGATGTTTATGTGCATGGTTTTGCAAATACCAATTTAGTCACATGTACAAATGTGATTATTTGTTGATGCAATATAAGGGAGAAACAAAAACAGAAAAACCACTTTTTTCTGTTCCTAAATGGGTTGCGAAAAAAAATAGTAAACAAAGTGTCGAATATGTATATAATGAAAAGGAACAACAATTTGAAAATATGAAAACAGAGGACAACATATATAAAAAATTTTATGAAAAGCTTCAACATAGAGATGATTCCTTTGCCCATGATATCTACACTAATAGTGATCACCATGGGGAAGGAAACTTTTCAAGTTCGGATTCAGATATAACTGACAGTGACGAAGAAGACATATATGGGGTTGCAGGTTTGTAGCTCATGTGTGTGTGTCTAGGTATGGAATGGCCATGCCATTGTCCCCGTGACCTGTGAACTGCTGGAGACAGAATTATGATGGATGAGCGACTCGACGAGGGATTATGCATGGATGAGCGACTCGACGAGGGATTATGCATGAGATGTAAGGGGTGTGTGTGTGTGCTTCAATGTCGATCATTTTTGCAAACGCACTGCATCTCGTCCCGTTCGTCCTATCGTCCTGCACCCCAATTTGTAATCAAGCAGAGATATGTCATATGGATTATAGTAGCAACAACCCCCGAACCCGCTAAGACCTAGATCTAACCAGGAATCCACATAATTGTACACATGCTTGTGGGGTTCATGCAATGTTTCAAAGTTAATGTGATTTTTGGAAGAGTCATATGAGACTTGCTTCAAGGATTTATTAGGAGAGGCAAAAAAATGCACATCGTCGATGCATCTGTTTTTTTTTAAATTATTCAAAAGGGTATTAACAAATGTGTTTATTTCTACATTTTCACTTTTGTATGTATCTCTCCTAATGTTGTAATATGAAGAGACAAATTTCTTAATAGGAAAAAATAAATCGTGCACATAATCAATATTTACACAATTTACTCCAATAGCTTTTATATATTTATTGAATGAATCCAAATATAATAAAATTAAAACTACATCGAAAAAGGAATAACCTGAACAGCCAATGTATTTATTACTATTACAGTAGAAATTTATTACTACATTGTTCTGGAAAATGCCCCCATAATATTTTATTAAATTATAAAATGTGAATACTTCTCTTATGTTTGAACATGTAACTAATGAAAATAACTCAACTTTATCTCTATTTCGTGAAAAAGATCCTAATTTAAATTTGCAGTTGGATATAATTTCCTCATCACTTACATCTATGTAGTATTCTAATCCATAATTGAACAGCTTCCTATTCAGGAATGAATCCATTGTCGTTGCATTTTTAATCTCTGTTCTATTCACAGGAACCATTGATATAACATCATGTTGTTTGTTGTGACACACGGGAGTGAACCATCTTCCAATATCAGTGTTTATTTTTATGTCAAAATGTTTTCTACGTATCGTGTTTTTTTTCGATGGAGTTTTCCATTCAGTAGTTTTTCTTCCTTCTTCTTCTTCTTCTTCTTCTCCTCCTCCCTTGTGCATAACACCAGAATATTCACTAAAATCACAAAAAGCCGAACTGTAGCTTCCATTTGAAAATGCGACATAATAATTTTTGCATCTTCTAATGTAGTCCTTCTCGTTTCTTCCTCCCATCCCTTTTTTTGTGGTGACATTCCACAAATCGAAACTGTCTACATAATCCTTTACATTGACAGAATCGTTTGGATGAACAATACCAATTTTACTTCTAACCTTTTGGAAGTATTCCAGATGATTATAAATGGATTCTCGTTTTTCACTTTGCAACAATGCAAAATCGTCTCTTTTCTTGATTCTTTGAAATTTCTCCATTGCATTGTAGGCAATATCTATATATGTATTTATTATCCTTTCCCCCTGTTCTATATTCATGTTTTTTTCTCTTAAACTATATAGGTTCACTTGAAAAGTATTTGTAGTTATTACATTAGAACCTGCGAGAAGGTAACTTAAATGTATATTTTCTAAAATGTTCATCATCTCCTCCTTATTATTAATACCATTCTCAGATTCATCATTTCTACATGATAAAAAATCAAAATTCCCCAACCTCAAGCGTTCGAACTCAGATATTTTCCCTCCATCTAATGTGTATATTTCTTTCACCATTGTTGCTTTTTTTTGAACGTTTCATCGACATGTTTTTTTTTTTTTTTTTTCATGTGCAAAATGTTGATTTCATTTTTAGAGAAATGCTGCGCGGGCACGGATCGCGTGGGAAGTTGAAAGAAATACATAAAAAAAAGGGAATACATATAAAAAATAGAAATACATATAAAAAAGGAAATACATATAAAAAAGGAAATACATATAAAAAAGGAAATACATATAAAAAAGGAAATACGAATAAAAAAAAAAAAAAAGGCACTTCACATAATTTCTTCACATCCGCTGTGTGAGCCCCAATTAGCAATAGTAGCATAAAAAATGAAATAAAATAAGATAAAATAAAATACGATAAAATAAAATAAGATAAAATAAAATAAGATAAAATAAAACGATTTTCTATTGGCCATCCACACAGTTAATATTTAATCTTGGCAAAAACTGTTTACACAATAGGGTGAAAAAAGTGCAGATAGATGAATGAGTCGCACGTGTGTTCTTTCTCAGTCACGTGCATGGCACGGGGTTAAGGAGTTGGGATTTCTCTTTCTTCCTCCCCTTTCATTATTTTTCCATTTCTCTATTTTTTTCTTGACAAAACGTGACAGTAACGGCCCCTTTGCTTATCAGAGACTTGTCCTCAACACGGGATTTTAAAAAGTGGCACAAACGATTCAAAAAAAGAAAAAAAAAAGAAAAAGAAAAGAAAAAAAAAAAAAAGAAGAAAAGGTTCTCATTTGGAGCACCCCCACTTTGAGCTATGTAGCTGCGATAAGAGCCATCCTATGTGCGTGTATACCTAATCCGATTTCTGCGTTTGCTTATATATCTCAACGTCTACAAGGGCGAGGAGGAAAAAAAAAAAAAAAAAAAAAAAAATGTGGTTTCACGATTTAACAATTCATACACGTAGGAGAAAATATACAATTTCTCAATAAACTAAATTTTGTGAAAAAAAAATTAAGTAGGGAGAAAAAGATGTATTATGAAGTAAGGAAAACATGTTCAAATGGAAGAAGAGGTGTGTTGTTTCGCATGACGACGGCGATGACCACCCCTCCTCCCCATTGACAGTATGCAAACGTTTCACAAAAATTTACCAACAGCCGAATTGACAATAATATCAAATATCCTATTCATCTTATGGGTTGACAAATAAAGATTCTTCCCCCGTTTCAAGCGAGGATCCACATCTCCATTCTTGTCTACATATGGGCCATTAACAAGACCGAATCTGTGTTCGCTTGCAAAGAGAACCTGTAAAGTGTTTGAAAAATAAGAAAAGTTTTTTTTTTTTTTTTTTTTTTTTTTTATTAAAAAAATTGGGGCCAAAATTCCAATGGGAATGATATATAGATGTGCACACATATATATGTATGAACTTTGTGTGTGAAAAAAAAAAAACAGTCACATGTGCGTGGCGAATGTTTCCTTAAAGCTCGCTTCTCATCTTCAATTGGTTTCCTTACCGATGATATGTTCAAACAAAGGTAGAGGGCCTGGTCTCCACCGCAGACAGTAGTGTGATAACCACATTTTCCAATGGATTGAGATAGGGGAACTCTCATGTTGTCGTTTTCTTGAAGACAGATTGTTGAACCACAGTAGAGACATATAAGAATGATCATAGGTGATTTGCTACAGTTGACACATTTCTTTTTAAAGTTTTTTTTTATCAGAGTGAAGTAATTTTTACTTGGTTGGAATAACGAATTAGAGGAAATAAAATTTTCCAAATTTTCATAAAAATTGTGTAATAAAACAGGTTCTACATCTATTTTTAGGTATTTCAAAATCTGATACATCTGGTAAAAATAGGGATGGAAAATTAGCTGTAACGTCTTGTATGTGTATATTTTATCAAACTCGAAATCTATGTTCAATATGTGCAGAAATATGTTATATTTGCTTATATCACTGTAAAGATGTATGTAATCTAGATATTTCTTTACCAACGCATTGTAATCATAAATAGAGAATATTATATAGCATACAAATTGCAAATACACATTTGATGATTTTATATAATTCTTTAAGAATTTCATATATAATTTATTACAGGAATTTTTCTTATCCACGAAACTGTTTTTCTTCAGAAAATGATAAAATATTAGAAATATTTTTTTCATACTCAAAATATTTTCCTTATTCTTGTAAAACTGTTGGAAATTTTTATTGTCTGTACCACCCCTTCTTTTTTCTTCTTCTCCACAATTTGGCATGTCATTTGGGCTATCCTTTTGATTTTTCTTGTGTTTCTTCCAAGCAAATTTCAAACCATCCTCCATACCATACATTCCATTTGTATTACTATGTAAGTTTTCCCCCATTGAAGATTCATGAGGCTTTCCTACTTGACCATTCCACTTACATCTTTCTGTACTGAAGCAACTGGCATAGGATCCCGAATTACAACTGCTGTTATGCTGTGTTTTTATTTTCTTATTAACTACATACCTTGTTCCATTTGGGTTCTGTTCACTAGCACTGGGATGTGAAGTGTCCCCACGGATAGTCTCTTCTACTGCTTCAGTGTCGGGGGAAAGTGATTCCAAGGGATCATTGCACATTTCTGTTCTTCTTGGGTTCACCACCTTCGCCACATTATCAAACATTCTCTCGATTCCCTGATTTTCTTCTGGCCCAACATTTGGAGCAGTTTCACTGCAATGATTACGCGCTTCGTCTTCGAATAGACCCTTTCCTGCAACTATATAACTACCACATGGGGTGGTCCTCCTTCGATTTTCATCCTTATTAATTTCTTTCTCCTCATACAAAAAACAATCGTTAATCTTTTTCTTGTACATATCATACTTCTTTTTCCATTTTTTTGTTTCAAAAAAGGATTTAGAATATTTGGTATATTCATATTCACCATCTTTGTTGTGAGAAATATGATTCTCATAATTATGTGTTCCCTCGTCAAAATAATAAAAATTGTTGATATTTTTATAACTTGTATGATAGTGTAATAAAATATTCTGAATAAAATATAAGGGTATGAAGTCGTACAGATTGTATACATAATTATATATTTTTCTTAAGTTATAGAAAAAGGTTTTATTTATCGAATTTGTCTTTAATAACATATGATATCTTTGAATTTTATTTATATCTTTGAATTTTAAAAAATCCATTTTTCCATTTTTATGTTTGTTTTTTATATTCATATTTTTATTTCTTGTAATAAAATCTACAAACGAATCCGATGAATTATTTTTTTCATGTATTCTTCTTCTAACTAAAGTATTTTCTACATCACTAACTGAATCATTATCGTCATTAAGTGCATCAAAATTGAGACTATCTTGGCTATTAAATGAGGAATCACTAAATTCTGAGTGTCCATTTGCACTGTACCGTGTGCTGCCATTTCTTCCATTACAACTGCTGCTACTACTACTGGCACTACTACCGGCACTACTACCACCACTACAACCACCATTGTTGAAATTTCCATTCCTTTGAGAAGCTCTTTTTCCACTCTTCCATGTACCATTTTCATTCTTACCGTTAGACGAATCATCCCCATACCCCTTCTCTATGCAATTCGAGATATTTTCATTTTTCATGTCATGAGGATCTACAAACATGTCTGTGATTGGAATACTACTACCTATGCTGCTGATGCTGCGAGTATTTGTCTTATCTAATTCGATCTTCTTGTCTATTTGCATGTCGGATTTACTATGATCACTATTTTTTGAATCATTTAGTATAAGAGAAGAAGCATCATCCCTTGTTATTTTTCTCCCTGGAAACCTCTTTTTTTGGATGTCTCCTCCTCCTCCTCCATCTGAACCTTTTTTTTTCTTTTCTATTTTCATCACTTTATTGAAAAAACTGATGAATAACTCATCGGCGTATTTATTCCTCTTGTTCTTCCTTTTTCTCTTTTTATTTTTTTTCATGTCTTTGATCAGTTCACCTACATCTAGGATTTCACTCAAGATTCCGAGTGACGATGCCATAATGTCTTTGTCTTTTCCTTCGTCTTCGTCTTCGTCTTCTCCTTCATCACACTTTTCTTCCTTTTCATTTTGGCAATTTTCACCTTGGCAGTTCTTAGGGTGGAATTTACCCTTGTGGTTTTCCTTCTCAGAAAATCTAATAGACTCATTGCTGTCGAAACTTACATCTGAAAAGTTCACTTCTGCTTGAATGCCATCTGCAATATCATCACCGACGAGTGATAACAGAAACTTGTCATTAAAAATTTCTACCTCTTTCTCCCTAACATTATGTATGTGTTTAATTTCCTTCAATTTAAAAATATTCTGATAAACATTGTACATATAAAATAAATGATTTACGTATGGAATTTCTTCGAATTTGCATTTAAGTTGATTAACCACATCTACATGTTTGAATTCCAAATTTTCAGAGCTCATTGATGATGATATATAACTCTCCTGGGGTTCGTTCGTTAGATATACATCGCTAATTTCTTCACTAGATATGTTATACAACTTGTACTTGAATAGATTCAGCTCGTTCGGTAATTTCCCTGTTTCACTTGCGTCACTACATTTGGCTCCTTCTTGCATCACTGCCATCCGGTCTACATCGTGCACACATTTATAATCAATATTTTCTTTCGCACTTTTTTGGGCCATTTCTTCACTCATCATCGTGTTGTTCTTCAACTCAACATTCATATTTCTATCTGATGTGTTTTCATCATCTACGTTACGGTCTTCACTTTCTGAAAATTTCGGGAGAATCTCCTCTTCTTCAATAATGTCACCTCGTTTGTAACTACAACTGTTAATACACGAGGGTTGTCTATTGTACATGTCTGCACAGCTTTTCTCCATTTCACTTGAAATGGCAGAGGCTCGGGTCACCAGTATTTCATCTCTTTCGGGAAAAACATCCGTATCTCCTCCACTTCTGCCACTTCCAAAACCACTACTGCTGGATATATATTTGTACTCTCTCTTCATCACATTTTTGCTTTTCATCAAATTCTTTTTTACCTGATGAACTTCCCAAAACTTGTCAAAATACAACACGTGAAAGTTTCCCCACTTTGAGTTCTTCTTTTTGTTGTACAAATATGAATAATGATTATTGAAAAAATTTTCATATTTCATAAAGTTTGTACTTAGGAATATGTTTAACGGTATGCACCCATTGTAGTAAACATACTTCATGTATTCATCATTCACTTCGCACAGTAGTAGCATCATTTTTTTTGTCTCATTTTTAAACTTGTTTATTTCTACTAATTTCTTCATCGTTTCCTGTATGGTATAAAGTTTTTTTATCTTAATTATCACTTCTGGGTTTCTACATTTATCACTATATTGGTTTTTTGGCCATGTTCTGTCAATTCTTTCTCTCCCAGTTACATTCTCCCTTTCTTCCATGGTGTTTTCAAAAAGAAGATTATTCTGTTCGATAAAATTTTGTAGTAATTTTATTTCATTTTCGTTGAACTGGTATGACAATTCTTTCACATTCCTGAACAATTTGATGGGATCCAGTTCGCTTATCTGTTTCTCCCTTCCGTTCTTCAATTTTCCACCCCAGGAAGATGCACCACTGTTAGAGGCAATTCCACAATTTCTATTTTTCTTCTCTTGATTTTGCTCTCTCTGGTGACCTAATTTCTCTTTTCCTCTTAAACCATTTTCAAATTCTTCATCGAAAATTGAATCATCATATATTCTAGATGGCACAGAATTTCCCTTCATGTTTTCACTTATGCAGATATAGCGTCCGTTTTCAATTATTTCTGTTACGAGATCCTTTTGTTCATGTGTGTCTGCGATGCATGTTCTAACAAAGTTGTCAAATATGAACGTGTGAAATTTTTCATATAATATCTTTCCATCGTCTTGGAATTTTTTAGAATTGCTTTCACTGTCATTCTGCTTCATATAAGTGGGTTCATATTTGGCAGCTTTTTTTTCATATTCGCAATGCAATGGAATATTGCCTTCACATTTTGTATCTTCTGTTTTCATAGGAAAATTTTCATTCTCCAGGTTTACATAAATATAGTTACAAATATTGTTAAAATTTTTCCTGACTTGTTCAGGTGAAAATGAAGAAAAAATAAATCGTACATACGATTTAGAAATTTCTCGTATAAATATTTCATTCATAACCTGGAAACCAATAATGACAAGCGAAATGCAGATAAAGTGCTGAATAGAGGCAGGGGTAAGAAGCAACTGATTTAGGAAGAAATGCATAAATAATCTTAAAACATCAATTGATAGAGGTAAAAAAGATATCTTATTCAAAAAATGAACATTTTTTATCTTATTAAAAAATTTTTTAAAATTTTTGTCCGTGAATCTATAAGGATATACATAATCGAATGAAATATTATATATATTTTTCCACAACTGTAAACTGAACAAATTCGCTATTTTCCTTTCCTTAACAATGTTTAATTCATGATGATGTAGAAACAGGTTACGAACTAGTACTTCTATAAGGTTGTTACATGAAACATAGTTGATATTCTTATAAAAAATGTGTACCAATATTTCGTTGTATAATATCCAGTGCATTTTGTGCATTTCTACAGCTGTGTTTATATTCCTCCAAAATTTAATATTTAAAATATCGCTTTTTCTTTCTTTTTTTCTTTTTTTTTTTTTTTTTCTTATTTTCACATCTTCCATGGGTTGAAGTTCTGCTTTGTCACCATGCAGATCGTTCGTCATGCAGCTAGCCAAACCGTTCGTTATATCACTCACAATAGGGTTCGTTATACCACTCACAATGGGGTTCGTTATACCACTCTCAATGGGGTTCGTTACACCACTCACAATGCGGTTAGGTACTTCGTCCACTCTCAGGTTCGATGCTCTGTTGGATACATTGTGCGAAGCTTCCATCACTAACTCACTTGTTGTACCCCTAGATTTTCCCTTGCGACGTTCCTGTTTCTCTTCTTCCCTCCTTTCCATGTGTTCCCTTTTGCATCTAGCGTAGTACCCTCTGTTTACAAAAAACAAATCCTCTCTCCTCAACCGATGAATCTCCTTTCTATTAACAAATTCGATGCACTTCCAATCCAAAAGAAAATCTGGATATAATTCAACTGTTTCATACATACTCATTACATCCTTCACTCCTATTTCTTCCATGTCGATGTCTTCATAATGATCCTGATTCTTGTGGATATACTCAAAATCTATCAACTTCTTATAATGCTGAGAATGATTCAATAGTGTTGAAAACGTTGCATTGTTCTGATGAAAAATTCTCCAAGATGTCTCTGTCATTAGCTCTAACTGAATGATAGACATTCTCAAAGCCTTCATGTCAAATACAGGTTCGAAATTTTTATTATGTAAAGCATTCTTGTATATTTCATAGTATCGCTTGTTCGTGCTTATGATTCCGTCTAAGTTTCTACCTACATTAAGGTGTCTCCTATAAGTGTTATGTCTCTTAAAATGTTTTGCACTACATCTATATTCAAACTTCACTTCACTGGGGCTGTGGGAAATGCAATCATCGCTATTTTCATCTCCATTTTCATCGTCATTTTCTTTATCAGCATCACTATCCATGTAGGAAGAACTGCATCTCTCCATGCTCCCTCCTACACTGTTATCATTGTGCATGTCGTTATCTATTTCTCTCCTTCGTGTTCGTCTGCTTATTCTTCTTCCTCCTCTCCTTTTTAAACATTTCTCCTTCGTCTTTTCTTTCACAGGAAAACAGCTACTCAAACGGTTCGACAAGCCCTCATTCCTCATATCAACCGTTCCTTCTCTCATTGTGTCGTTCATTGTGTCGTTCACTGTGTCTCCTTTTCTATCATGTTCTTCATCATTCGTAGAACATTTTCTTGTTGCATCTAACTTGTCCCCGGACATTTCCAACGTATTATAATGTGCACTAACATTTTTTGCACATTCTGGTAATACACTCTGGTCAGACTTGTCATTATTATACTTCACAGCAATTTCGGGACTTATTTTTGGCCTCTTCTCAATTTGATAACTACCTCTATATATGATATCCAATTCTGCATTCAAATTATCATCTAGACATTTTACAGATTCTTTGGAAGTGTCGCTATCATTACGAGAAAAAATTTTGTACTTTCTAATAGATTCCTCAATGTTTGCACCTTCGTTATTTAAATTATTTTTTATAAACTCCAAAAGGGTATTACTGATTTGATAATTTAAAATAACATTCACATTTTCCTTAGAAGTAGACGATTGTTCCTGGACATTTGTTTTTTCAAGAATGTCCTCTACCAAATGCTGTTCTTCCGTTTTTTTTTCTATCAAAGATGTGAAATAAAATTGTTTGCATTCATCTGGGGAAGACAATACCATGTCGTTATCTCGTACCATGAAGAATTCAATATGCTTAATATATTTTAATGGGATGCTTACATAATATCCTAAAAAACCATTTTGGTATTTATAGAAAAAGTTGGAGTTTTTGTAAGAAAATGTGAATTCTTTGATTCCATAATTTATTGTATTTTTGTGAAGGTATAGTTCATTACTTATCCTAGTATTTGGAGTAATTAAGCGTTTTGAATGTGCATCATTTCTATCTCTGTTGAACTTCCACTGCACGTCATCATCATCATACTGTTGCTCATATTGCCTCTTGTACAATTTGTTATATAAATTGTCATCATTGAGATAAATTTCTCTTAAAATAATTTTTTTATTGAGTTCATAATTTTGATATGACATGAGTTCATTTAGAACCTGTTTACACATCAACTTACTAAATCGAACATTAAATAAATTATCCATTTTGTTTTCATCATAGAGATTATATGTTACATTATTACTAGAACTGTTCATAACAAAACTTCTCTTTTCGTCATTAAAATATTTTGTATTTTTTTTTCCATTTTTCTTTTTATTTTTTCGAATATATTTAAAGTGGAACTCTTCAGGTATGTCACTATCAAGGGAGTTCTCAGGCAATGATGTTGATGATTCACTTTGTGATTGATATATCGATGGTTCCGAATAATCATCAATTTGTTCATTCTCTGGTATGTTCATACATGTATCAATTTGTGTATTACTTAAACAAGCATCATTCGACTTTCTCAAATTTGCATTTCCATTATGATGCATCTGTAAAGCAGAATCTAGATTCTTAGTGTCACCACCACCTCCATGGTAGTGTAACTTCATATAAGAAACTACATTTTCTCCTTTTCTTCCATCGTCTTGATTCCCTTCCATTTTTACATCAGTAGAAATATCCCTCCTGATAGTTCTTTTCAGCATATCCACAAGGTTTCTATTCGCATTGTCTAAAAGTAACTCCCGTTCATTACAATTATAAATTCGATAAGTGTCATTTTGTGATACATACCTTTTTGGAATATACACAATGAAACAGTTTGCTATCGAACGGCACAAGGGACAAGTAAATTCATACTTTGTAGGATTAGCTAGCTGTGATTGAGCATTCCTACACATTAAAATTTTTGTATTGTGCAAACATTTCATATGAATGAAATGGCCACATGTATATATAGCTGGATGTTTACACGGGAATGAAAATTTGTTCTTTTTTATGATTTTTTTTAAAAGATTTGCATGTGAAGCAAAACAGATGTAAGCTAATAAATTATTTCGTGACATTCCCTCTTTACACAAAACACATATACAATTCTTTTCTTTTGATTTTTCATATTCACAAATAGAAGAATCATCTGCATCATCGATTTTTCCTCTTCTTGCATTTTTTTCTCCTTCTCTTTGCTTAATGTTCAGATGCTGAGTTGTTGTCTCCAGATTGGACTCTCCATTAGGATCCACTCCATTTGATTCAACATTTATATTCCCCTTATCTTTTGTACCCGTGTCAATAAAATTATCGTCATCGAAGTTAGCACCATCGTTATCATCATCTGATAACAATTCCTCATTTAAGAATTGGCTAAATTTCAGTTGTTGATCTTTCATGCTTTGCAGCAAGTCTTGTTGTTTCCTTTTCGCTATCTCTATAAATTCATTACTGTTATTTACATTTTTGCAATCGTAATTTTCTGCTACAATTTCATTCAATCTAGTGATAATGGTATTCTTTACCTTTTGAAAACATTTGTCTTCATTTCCATTTATACTACTAATACTTCTTATTAAGTTATGCACAGCCACTTTATTTAATGCGTAGATTTTTTTTTCTTCCTTTTCTTTTTTCCTATCCTTCAATCCTATTTCATCGGTTAAGTTGCTCTTTTTTTCTCCATTTGGTGCAGTACTTTCGACTTTGTAACGTTTATTTTTTATTTCTTTACTTAACACATGAATCTCATCGAAAATTGGTGTCTTCTCATTGTTTTTTGCATTGGCTCCTCTATTCACTTTTGTATTTATGATGGATTCAGGTATTAATACATCTACTGCAGCATCTTTTGAATCCTTCTCCCCCTTGCAATTTTCATGAGCGCTCTTCGATTCGATACAATGTCCATCTTTCTTCTCCATGTTGTAATAGTTCATCTGATTTGCATACACAGATTTGTCACATGATTCTGAAGTATTATTCTGTGGAAATGCCTCATGCGTGCATTTCTCAACATGTTCACACTTGTATTGGTACGATTGTCTCAATTCAAGTGAATTCACCATGTGAAGCTCCTGAATCTGCTTCTCATCCTCCTCCGATTGGTGGTAATTCCAAAGGAAATCCACGTCCCCTAATGAAGATGTCGAACAGCTATCAATTTCATCTTGCTCTAGGTCTAGGTCACAACATAATGACATAGAATTGGAATAGTAGAAACTGTTTAAATATTTAAAAGGATGAACAGCATCTAGAGTAATGCTTAAAAGTTTTATAATTTTAATTAGAATATCTATAGTACTTCCCAAGTTGCTATTATTTGGATTTGATGGAAATTCATTAACATTTGACAACACATTGGAATCATTAAAACCGTCTCTTCTTCCCAATAAATTTATTCGTAATGAGTTTGGCTGTTCAGAATGCATTATATTAAATTCTTCGCTAGATGAATATTCATCTAAAGAAATATTATCTTCAACATTTCTCGTACTTCGGTTTCTTAAGTCGTTTATATAACTTATACCTGAAGTGTTGGCTAAAATAGATTCAACGATTACATCATTAATTATGTTATTCTCATTAATAATGTCTGTAATAATTTCAGAAAGTCCTTCTGTATTTATCTGTCTATAGTTTTGGTTCTCTGTCTCACCCCCCTCTCCTGTATTCCTATCACTAACATTTACAATTTCCATATTTATCGAATTGTGAAGATTTCTGCTTATTAATATCTCAGCAAATAAGGTTTCATTCTCTCCATTATCATCAACAATTATATATGTGTTATTATTGTTTCTTTCCCTTATACTTGAATTTTCTGCACCGTTAGAATGCCCATTGTTCAGTCTGTTTGTAGAAACACCATTGCCACTAGCCATAGCATTGTTGTCATTAGTTCGATTCATGTTTTCATCATAATCCATTTCATTTCTATCGCCTGATGTTGCAATATGTTCTTCTGCATCTTCTCTGTTACCCATCTCTTCTATATCATTCGTGTTACTGTCTCCTTGGCTCAAAAAATTGTATAAATCAACATCATTCAGTACTATGGTATCAGAAGGATATTCTTCATTTTCTTCGTGATTGGGGCTGTTATTTCCACTCTCACCCTCGTTTGCATCAGCTATCGGTTCGATGTTTTGTGCAGCCTGCGTGTCGATGGCACGTTGGTCACCCCTCCTCTGAGAAGTCACCGCTTCAGTTTCTCCAGCTTCTCCCACTTCTCCAGTTTCTCCCATTTCTCCAGTTTCTCCCACTTCTCCAGCTTCTCCCACGTCTCCAGTTTCTCCCACTTCTCCAGTTTCTCCCACTTCTCCAGCTTCTCCCACTTCTCCAGCTTCTCCCACTTCTCCAGCTTCTCCCACTTCTCCAGTTTCTCCCACTTCTCCAGCTTCTCCCACTTCTCCAGCTTCTCCCACTTCTCCAGCTTTTCCCGTCCTCTTCTCCTGCAGCCTCCTTTGGAAATCCTCATTAACCAGAAGCACTGTCATGAGCATGGGGACAAGGCAACTATTCTTGAAGACATAAAAGAGAAGATTCTGAACTTTGACAAATGAAGCATTCATGTACTCTCTGTCTTGATCCCTTGAACAACCAATGTAGGAAGATTTTTCCTCTTTTATGCACTTTTCATTGGCTGTCTGGAAATCCTTATGATTAGCAATCGGCCAAAAGGCATCATAAAGGAACCATGAATTTTTGTTTAACTTGATTAAGTTGACATTGCTTCTAGACATGTGAGTTGTGTATCCATACTTCCTTGTGAGATCATAAAAAGATGGATGATGTCTAAGCTGTTTCGGGAATTCGTCTTCCAATTGAAAATATTGAAAATCTTTCGAAGCCAGTAGTTGTATCATAATTTTTTTTACATAATATTTTCCTCTTTTTTCATATTTCAAATAGGAAGTTTTTCTTGGAATGTTGCTAAGTTCAAAATAGTATAATTCATTGAATATTCTAATCAGTAAATCATAAAAAGATTGAAAATAAAAAACATGATTTATTTTTCTCGAATCTATATTTAATATACCAGTATATATATCATGAAATATTCTATAAACTATTTTTAGATGATGTGTTTGTATTTCCATAAACATGTCATGTTCATTTTTTAAATCTAAATTCATTCGAAAATTTTTAAATATTAATTGATACAAAATAATGAATGGATTTCGAATTTCTTTTTTCATGAACCGTTTGATGTAATCATTCCATTCAAGTTTTTTTTTGGTCTTCAGAGGGTGTTCTTCTTTCCTCTCCTCCTTCTTCTCCTTCTCCTCCTCCTTCTTCTCCTTCTCCTCCTCCTTCTCCTCCTTCTCCTTCTCCTCTTTCTGCATGCATGACTTACATTCCACACCTCTTTCATCCGATCCTAACTTCTCAACGTTCGCACTTATCTCGTGACCGTTCCTCTGACTCGATGTTCCACTTTGGCATACATAACGAATCAAATAGCTACTCAGAAAGTTATATATTGTGCAAAAATCTATTTTGCTCTTTTCATTCGCTATCATTGTGAAATCGCTCTCTCTCTTGTAAGAATACAAATCACTTTCGTTTTCATTTGACTTTTCCAACTCTTTGTACTTGTCCTTTCGATCTTCCTCCTTCATCTTCCTGTCATAAATTAGCTTCTTCTCCTCCCTTTGAAGGAAATTCGAGTAAATTACACAGGCATCATGGCAATCATCGCAATCATGGCAATCATCGCAATCATGGCAATCGTCGCAATCGTCGCAATCGTCGCAATCGTGGGGAATCTTCTCAACCGTATCATCATACTTGTCGATATGATCTTCTCCATCTCGTCCATCTTCTGCATCGCCCAGATTATCTCCATTACAGGCACCTCCACTTGGTGCACCCCCTTGCTGTATGAATGCAATTTGGCCATATCTGAATGACCTGCTAAAAAGTACAGGGGAGTGTTTCGTCTTCCCTCTGACATTAGAGAAATTGTAAGAATCAGAATTCGTCACGTCCATATGAGTGTCTAACATATTTGCGACGTGGTTTGTATTATCACAAGAAGGGATGAGTTCGTCATCTGCTGGTGAGTTTGTTCTGTCCATATTTTCATGAAAAGCAGTAATAGTATCATTAAAGGTATTTTTTAATATGTTTAAAATCTGTTCATCTATTTTGATTCTCTGATTTTCATACATGGGAAGTATATTCATCATTATGATTGCAAATTGAGTACCTATTAAATCATTTTGAAAAAAAAAGGAGCTTTCATACTCATTTACTTGAAATGTCATTTGTGGCCCATTTCTAACCCAATAACCATATTTTATTTCATAAATAAAGGTTAAGACATGAATATTTACAAAAAGAATATATTTTAAAAGCTTCAAATGGAAGAGGTTTAAGAATTCTAATACATCTCGCATGTATAAAGCTATATACAGAGGGTGTAGATATATGTCTTTCCTATCTTCATCATATTTTATTTCTAGAAATTCATTAAATTCGATATTTTTATTATTTATTTTTTTTTCTATAAGATCATTTTTACATTTTCCTTTTATCTTTTTTTCTTGTATACTTTTTCGATACATAATTTTACTGCCTTCTTCTTTTTCTTCTTTATCCGTTGCATTTGCTGTCTTAATCACCCATTTGAAATATTGTTCTTCTAAATATTTTAGCTCTTTTAAATATTCCTTCGTTTTGCTATTCTCTACCTCCTCTACATTATTTAAAAATGGCTTGTAATGAAACAGTTTTGTTTTTATTTTATTTCCATCCTTTTCATACCTTTCTTGCAACTCCACCCGCTTTTTCAAAGTTTCGGTTGACACACTTTCCATTGTGTAGAAATCTGCTAAAAATTCACGAACGATGCATTCATTGCTCCACGAGCAGACCTTTCGTTCCACGTTATGGTGGATCTCAAACTGTGCCTTGTGGCTCATGTCAAACTGTGCCTTATGGCTCATGTCAAACTGTGCCTTGTGGCTCATGTCAAACTGTGCCTTGTGGCCCCTGTTCGACTCGACGTTAGGACCATGCTCCCCCGGACGAACCCTCCTCTTTGCTGCATTCTTCAAGTAGATGTACTTATACCAATACAAATCATCCACACACTTCTTTACAATATCAAAATTTAAAATCATTACAAAAAAACGGATGAGAGGAGAATGCAGAGATCTGAAATGTTTGAACCGTCTCCTTATTTTTTCTTCCTTCAATGTGGTGGTTGTTCGATCGTTTCCTACTCTTGCATTGCGAGTAATCATATGAGACATGTTTTGTGAAAAGAACTGTGATGATGGATGTGTTGAGTTGATATTTTGGACATTATTGTCTCTATTCACAATTGGAGTATCAGTTGTTGTAGTGTCCCTTCTGTCATCTGTCACAAAGGTACTATGTAAAACACGCTCAGATGATGAAATGATGCATTTCTTTACTCTGAAATATGTTTGATCACTTTTAACCCTCTTTTTTCTGTGTATTGTCATTCCCTGATTAGATGTGGAATCATTTGTGAATGGAAATAAGTCAAGAGCACATATACTTTCTATAGTGAGCTGATATAGGAGAAATAAATTTCTAAAATTTGCATTAGATTCACGTTTACAAAAATTGGCTAGTGGTTCAAAAACACGAAGAAGATAATTTTCAATAGTAATAGCATAAGAACTAGATAAATCTTCATAAATGATATGAGTCTTTGTGTAACGCACTTGAGAATTCATTCTGTGTAAAATAGACAAAAGATGAAGTATTTTTTTTATAACATATTTATTAAATAAGACAATTTTAATAACATCATTGTGATAAAGTAAATATTTCAAATCCACACATATTCGAATAATAACTTCAATATCACTACGAAGTAAATTTTTATGCATAACACATTTTGTGATTGGATTATATACACAGAAATCTTCAATCAGTTTTATTAAATCATTCAGAAAATTATTTATAACTAAAGTATATGCTATTTCTGGAACAGTTAGAACCTGTACTGTTAATCCGTTTAAAAAATTATTATCGTTATAAGATTTATCATCAACAACACGCACAACCAAACTGTAATGTTTTGCCAATTTAAATGCAAATCTTTGTTTAAAATATGGATGCACGAAGAGAGATAGATATAAAGAATATAATACTTTCTGGACAGCAACATAAAAGGAATAATGTAAATTAATTAGATAATCAATTTTAGCTCCTGTGAATACATCACATATAATTTGTCTAAATAAGTAACTAGTTATTCCAAGATCTTTGAAAAATTCAAATGCATATTCTACATATTGTGCATTTACAAGTGATAAGAAATATCCATCTTTTAAAATTATTTCTTTAAATAATGATCCTACTAATGTTTCCAAATCTTCTTTCATTCTATTCTTTATATCATTTTTTAATATACAATTGTCAACTAAATATTCTTCATTCATTCCTCTATGGTCAAAACAAGAACCTTTTATATTCCATGATGTATCACCACAATCACAACAACCACCACTTGTATGTGTCAACCTATATATATGATTTTTATGATTAGATGCAAAAAAACATTTTGCACATATAGCACATGTAGGATCTCCTTCACAGTTATAACACTTAAATGCAAAACTTCCTTCTCTCCATTGCTTTGTGCATATTCCACTATTCCCATGAATTTCCTTTAACTTTTTATAAATTTCTTCAATTTTTTCATTATCGTACAGTCTCCTCCTAAGTCTTTTCATCACATCCTTCTTGCTTGCTATCCCATTTCCATACAACCCTCGCAAGTATTTTGAAATCGACACTGTTTCGTCTTTCTTATCGTCCATGTTTGGCATTTTTGAAAAAGGGTGTCCATCAAACGGAGTTCCCTGGCTCAGCTTCTTAACCTGTTTCTCTCTTAATCTGTTTCTGTCCTAGTTTGATTCTGTGCTAGTCTGTTTGGGGGTGGAAATACAAAATGGCATGTTCAGCAAAAAAAAAAAAAAAAAAGGTCTATCTAAATAATGACCTAACAGATAGATGCATTCACGTTGCGTGAAAATAGTGAAGAACACAGAAAAGGGTTGCATGTGCAAGAGGTGTGCTTTTTTATTTTATTTTTTTTTTTTTTATCTCTTCTGGTTAAACATGTTTCGCATGAGGTTCATGTATGCACCGTCTAAAGTGGGAACTACGTTTGTTCATACATGTAGATATGCACGTTTAGTAAAGAAAATGCGAATGTGCTCATTGATCACTTATAATTAGGAAGCAAAGAAAATGTCAATATAGAATGTATGCAATCCACGCAGGGGTAGAATTAAAAGGGGATAAAAAGGAGATATTGGAGAAATTGAAGAAATTGAAGAAATTGAAGAAATTGAAGAAAATGAAGAAATTGAAGAAATTGAAGAAATTGAAGAAAAAAAAAAGGTAAAGTAAAAAAAAAAAAATAGCACTTGTCACACTACTTGCTTAACATAAAAATGTTACGTTTTAGAAAAATAAAAACTGGGTGAGAAAAACAAAGTTAACCAGGCTGGATGAAAAAAAGTACAAAAGTTCACAAAACTGAGCATGGAAAAGGCAAAACAAACATTAATGACGAAATGCAACTTCCCTCATAAATATATAAGGGGGAAGAAACAAAGTTTTGTAAATTAAAAACTGAAAAGGCAAAAGCCACGTGATCAAAATGTGGTAAATGTTCGAAAAAAGTATCAATGTGAAAAATAAGCTTTTTATAGGCTTTTTCTCCTTTTGTAGCTTTTGCAAAAATTTGCTCGTTCTGCAGAAAAAGTACCTTTACAAAAAAGAAAAAAGAAAAAAAAAAAATGTAAGCTTTCTTCTAACTGAAAACGTTGATAAGGCAATTCGTTCTTGACTCTAGAAGGAGGAGAGTTTATGCTTTACACGTATGTTTAAATATATATATATATATATATATATATATATATATATATATATATATATATATATATATATGTATACATTTTGCTTATATTTACATGCATGTACACGTATATATGCACATGCCTTCAACTTGATTGCAGGCTTAATGCCATATGTGTGGCTTATAAAAATATATACAAAAGTTTATGATAATAAATTTTGTCATTCCTCCACTAGTTTAGTTATATTTACACAGAATAAGCATTTTCGTGTAAATGTAAAAAAAAAAAAAAAAATACATTTGGAGGATCTCATGAGATATGGTGGGAGATGTACTTTCCTCCTTCTTGCTAAAGAGCAGGTTTTTTTTTTTTTTCTTTCTTTTGTTTTTTTCCCTTGGAAAAAAGTTCCTCTCGTAAGGCACACTCGTCGCAAGTATGAAATATGCATGAAAGCAAGTATGAAAGTATGCAAGAAAGCAAGTATGAAATATGCATGAAGCAAGTATGAAATATGCAAGTGTGCGTGCATTTTAAACTTAATGATAACTGAACAAGGAGGTACTTAAGCACCTATAGTGACTAACAACTCGTGCTGTTCACAGAAAATTACAGCACTTGGCATATGTGTATATATATGCACATATATATATGTATATTATGTGCATATACACAAATAACATATATGCAGTGTACTTTTTTTTTTTTTTTTTTTTTTTTTTTTCATTTCTTCGCAAAAATGAGGTACAAATAGGTGTAAAGCAAAAGCTTCACATGAGCACTACAGGACAAAAAAAAAAAAAAAAAATTGGGGAATGAATTATCGTTGGACTTGTACGAACAAAATTTTTAGTGGGTTGAACTGAAAATTTTTTCCTCCCTTTTTTGAAATATTAGCAAATTCGTGAGAAGCGTTCCTCGATAGTGAACTTTTTTTTAAAAAGCATCCAGCTTTTCCTTGCAGGTTTGGTTGCTGTTCTATTGATGTTTTATTGAAGTGTGCATTTTTTTTTTGTCTCTCATTTTGGTGTAATTTTTTTTTTTTAGGCTCGTTTTTCTCCCCACAAAGATACCTTTTTGAAGTCTACGTGCTGAGGTTATTTTTGCTAAAGCGTCTTATGTACTTGGACATAAAAAAGAAAAAAAAAAAAAAAAAAAATAAGGAAAAAAGAAGCCTATATATGCTCACATAACTGTATAACCTCTTGATATCATAACAACGTAAGTTCATACACAAACACTTAGACTTGTGCTGGCAAGCACAAACAAAGGAACTACAGCATATCATACCAAATGAGGAGGAGAAAATGGATACCATACTGAAATGTAGTAAACCTTAAAAACGTGTAGAAGAAATGATGTATGCCAAACTTTTCAGAGGGACATCCGTTTTTTTTTTCTTCTGTACCAAAATCGAGTATTTTTGCGTTCTGTTGCTCTCCACGCTAGGTGTATGTGGAGAATATTTGATTACTCTTAAAGTGAAAACGATGTCTGTTAAATGTATGCTTATACAATTATTTGACAACTCAATTGTTGTATGCAAAAAAAAAAAAAAAAAAAAAAAAAAAAAAAAAAAAACAGTTTTGCACATTGCGTCCATCAAAATTGTCAATGTTTACAACATTTCTAACTTATTTCTCCCTTTCAGTCCTATTATTATTTGTGAATATTTTCTCTTCTTCAAACACACACATAGAATTTTCTAGCTTTGTTAAAAAACCTCATGGTGATTAAGAAAATTAATTTTTTTCTCTTTTCCCCACATTGAGCAAAATAAAAATTGGCTAAAAATGTTGCAAGCATGGTTTTTTCTTTTTGATGTAATTCTTCCATTTTATGCAACACATGTGCATATACATGTGCACTTTTGCGTCCCACACATGATGGGTGTTTATGCACAAAGAAGCTTATCCCTCGCGAGATTGTTAAATGTACATAAATGAGGTATATCCACCACCACCCCAAAAAAAAAAAACAAAAAAACACAGACATCTGAGGGAAGAAGGGACTAAGGTGAAACCTCATTTTTTTCTTTCACCGTTTCTTCATTTTTCTTTCACCTTTTCTTCATTTTTCTTTCACCTTTTCTTCATTTTTCTTTCACCGTTTCTTCACCTCATGTTCTCTATTTTTTCTTCATTTCCCACTTTTTACACACCAACACAAGAGTTGCTTACCCCCAGTAGTTCTCAAAGTCTAATGCACCTGCAGAGGGTGGTAACCTCAAATGGACGTTTTAAAACTTATGCATCCACAAGTATTTTTTTTTTTTTTTTTTTTTTTTTTCTGTACCAGGGTTCCAAATCTTGTGTAGCAAAAGTAATACAATAACATCATAATGTACCACTTCTCTCCTGTTGTTGTATTTATTTTTATTTTATTTTCCTAATTCTTTTCAATAGAAAATTCTGGAATGGGGCAGAGAGCAATCTCTTTTTTTTTTTTTTTTTTTTTTTTTTTTTTTTTTTCCCTCTTTTCCTTTTTTGAACTTTTTTTTTTTTTTTTTTTTTTTTTTTTCCCCCTTTTTTTTTTTTTTTTTTTTTTTTTTTTTTTTTTTTTTTTTTTTTTTTTTTTTTTTTTTTTTTTTTTTTTTTTTTTTTTTCTTCTTTTTTTTCAATTTTTTTTTTTTTTTTTTTTTTTTTTTTTTTTCCCTCCTTTTTCATGTAAAAACTAGGCAGAGGGAAACGATTAATTCGTTTCATTTTTACGTACCTTTTGAGGGGGTAGGGACATATTATATGATTTCTAGATATAATTTTTTCCACCTTCCAATTTTTACAATAATGTTGTTCTTCACTTAGATTTTTTTTTTCTTTTCCTTCATCTTTTTCCTCCACTTTTTCGCTTATTCACCAAATAAGATGCATATAATGTTTACCTCTCCACCCCCGTTTTCCTATCGACAAGTGCTAGCGCCCAATCCTTAGATCACGATGAGGAATAATTATTCTTTAATATCTCAAATTTTGACAGAGGCTGAAATTATGGAATTAGGTTTACATGGGAGTGTTATGAAACATTGTTCTTCTCCTCACATTTTGAATAAAAAATATTTCATTAAAATTTGCATATACTATTTGTTAAGTACCTTTTTATTTTTTCTTGTGTATATTACCATATTTATACTTGTGTTGACTAGCGAAAAAACAGAACTTAACAAAACTATTATACTTGTCATTTACGTGTATGTATTTATCTTCTTCTACATCGACTTGATCATAAGTAATAACATCCAGTATGACTTAGTGAAAAGGTATAACATCAGGGAGGTTAGGAAAAGGATCTACGAGAATTTTCTGGCAACATCCGAAGGGGCAGCAAAGGATGTACTAATAGATACTGGTGAAGCAAGGGATGTACTAATAGATACTGGTGAAGCAAGGGATGTACTAATAGATAGAGGTGCAGAAGGCCGTTTGGTAATGACAGATGCGAAGGAAATTTTAGAAGAAGTTGCAGCTAGGGGTGATTTGAAAAAAAATGGGAAAGTGGCACCACACCCGGTGCAGATAAATAAAAGAAAAGAGAAGATAAAAAAACTGTTTACGAATGAGAAGTATTACTTCATAGAGGATGATGGTGGTTATGATATGGATATGAGGCATGGGGAAAGAAGAAGAGGAGAATCCAGAGAAGTGGATTTAGAAGACTGGGATGAAAAGTTCTACCATTTGAGAGATTTAAGAGACGTTAATGAATGTATAAATGATGAATTGATGAGGTACATTCAGTATGATAATAATAACTATACTATAGACAGCTACAGATATGATATATTTTTAATAATTTCTGGTTTTATTAACCAATTAAATATTTTATTTGATTTACTATTTTTATTTTATGTCTATGATTATAGCCAAAATTTATTTTTTGTATGTTTATTTGTTTATTTTTATTATTTGGTTCACTTTGTGTTTCTCATAAAATATTCCATCACCATGATACAATCACTCCTTGTCATATACAGAAAGAGCTTATGGCGTTCTTATAAGAAGGTCACGACTCTTTGTACCTACTGCATGTCCTCCGTCTGCCACCGCTTGTACAAGTCGATCAAAAGTGAGAACAGATCTATCAACATATATGTATATGGAGAGAGAGAGAAAGAGAGAGAGATCCAGATCGAGACTGAAATGGAGGAATGGAATTATTTTTGCATGCAAACTCTCTACCATGTGTCGTAGAACCGTTTCTATATTTTGTATGTTCTCGCATTTCCTTGTTTAACTGTTTTTTACACGCAGTGTATGCAACATGTCCAAATTTTCACAAAATGTATCTGTAAATTTTCTTTTTTTTTTTTTTTTTTTTTTTTCTCCTTATATTATTCCTTTTATTTTTTTTAAATAACAGAACTTATAAGAGTGATGATTTCTATGCGGGAAAACAGCCAACCGTTGAACGATTACAAACCCAAGTTATTTTTTAACAAATATACAAGTTATAACAGCTGGAGTTTGTTTTACACCCATGGAAATTCCACAAGTAGAAAATCAGTTACATTGAAGATGCTAAAGATATTAGATACAGGTGACGACACACAATGGATGATATCAAATGAAAGCAAATCAATTGACAGCATAATAAATATTGATGATAATATTCAATTGTACTATCCAGATAAGGGGAAAATGAAGAAAATAAAACAAAAGAAAAAAAAAATATATATAAAAAAAAATAAAATAAAAGATATGGATGAAAAAAGTTTCATTCGAAAAGAGGATCATATCAACAGAGATTACTCAAATGTGAATCAACAAAAAAATGAATGTGAATTAGCACTCCTTCCGTCATACGTTCAGATTATTGCAGATATGTCCTTTTTTCTTTCGCATTATCACATCTTGAATATTATTAAAAATGTAAGAACAAATGTGAAAGTCATTTTTTACGTCTCTGTATAAGCGAGAGTGTCTTATTTTTAGAGAAGGCACAAGCATTGATTGAATTGTCCTCCTCCTCTTCCCCCCTCCTCCCCAACACTCTCCCTCAGGGGTTCGAGTTGCACCGTTTTTCAATAAATGCAACGGTGCATTAAGTGCAATTATTCATTTATGAATCCACAATTTATGCACCTTTTCAGAAATTTCTCTCTGCGAAGAATGTCTACAATCATATGAACTTCACATTAATATTCTTTGTATGGTAATATTTGCACTGTCACATGTGTGCGTGTGCGTGTGCGCGTGTGTGTGTGTGTGTGTGTGTGTGTGTGACGAGTACCGAATAAAAATCACACAGTAGCTTCAATCGAGAACTACCACCACCACCACCCATTTCTGAGGCTACATCGACATCATTCATTCCTTTGCCACCTCTCCGCAGGAAAATCCTTTATATGGACGTCGTTCTGTTTCTGCTGAAATTTTTTATTTTATTTTACACGAATGACATTTTAGCAATTTCCTTTTTTTTGATTATTTCTCTAACGAACATTGCAAATTCGTATATAATAAATTTGGTAGATAATAATTTGATGAATGATATTAGTTCCAATTAGGATTCCGAAGAAGGAGCAGAAATGGGTGGTGCAAAAATAGGGAATATATTAATTGATATGAAATCCCATGCCGAGGCATCCCCACGGAACTTTTTTTTTTTTTTTTTTTTTCCACTTTTTATGTCGGCAGTTTTTTCAACTTCTTTTCTTTTTTTCCCAATACTTTTTGTATTTTTCTCCCCATTGTGCCAATTGATCCTGACACATTCTCATTTTAACAGTGCCACATTCCTTTTTGAAAAAATACTTTTTTCCATTTTGTCAAGACCGGTATTGCATATTGGGGACGTGCTTCCTACCCCTCGAGGCACCCCTGATTATTCTTTCCAAAGTATATGCCATGAATCTGCATGCAAGCGTGTCCATTTTTTTTTTTTTTTTTTTTTTTTTTTTTGGAATCAAAAAAAAAAAAAAAATATATAGTTGCAAAGTTCGGTGGAAAACGCATGTAATTTGTGCATGATTGATGCGTAGTCTTTGCTGGAAGAGGGTACTCGGGGTGGTACCTTTTGGATGTGTAAACTCCAGCAGGAGCATGATAAAAAAAAAAAAAAAATGAAATTAAAATAGAGTAAGATGAGAAGATAAAGGGTAGGACATGGTATGACGTAACTAAGACTAGTCAAAGGGGAGGGGCTTGGGTCGATCAACCCGTTTGGCATAGGATTCACCTCCCTTTCGCTTATGCTGAAGGTATTGCCCATAGGGTAACCAATCGGATGATTTTTTATTTTTTGACATTCTTTTTTCCTTCTCTATTCTCTGCTTCCTGTTGAAGAACTGATTGCGCACTTGGTCTAGTGTAGACTTGGTTTTGAATGTTTTTCCTTCTTTAAATAAATTCAACTCGTATTCATCAATGTTGAGTTGAATTAGCTGGTTATCTTTAAGATTTTCTTCATATATAACTTTTTTTTGCTGGTTTATCATGCTATTGATTAGTACCTGAATTTCTGTTATGTGTCTACCGACGTGAAACAATTCTTTGATGGCTTTCTGGGTTGGGTATATCTTAGCTGAGTACATGTGTCTTAAAACAAAAAGGGTATTCTTCGATGATTTTGTTTTTATAGCAGCACTTAGAACCAAATTGAAAGTATATTCATCAGCTTTGATATCTGTGTGGTTTATCATATGGTCGTATAGACACAGAACTTTTCCATAATCATGTAATTGAAAAAACAGCATCTTGTATAACATCCTGAAGGTGTATCCATCTGGGCAGCATTTAAAATGGGTGTAATATTTTAGCATACTAATGGCGTAATCATAATAGTCACAGTTGATGTAGAGTAAGACAATACTGTTGAGCATTTTTGTTGTGTCAACACTTTTTGATTTGCTTATCCAATTGAGATTATTCACTTCACTCACCACTGCCCATGCATACTTAATATTGTTATGTTTTTCACTGAGGGTGATTCCTTCTTTTTGACAATTGTTGGCAAAGGCCCTTATGATATATGCACACATTTCTTGTGTAATTTTGATTTTGTGTCTATTCATTGTTTTTAGAATTTCCTTCAAACGCTTTATATTACCGCTAGTCGAACATGCAATAATCATGTAAAGCATGAGACGATGATTTAACTTCATGTCATTAGCAAGGTAAATATTATAAAAATGGAAAACCTTATGGAAGTAATCATTTCTTTTCGATAAACAGTTAATAATTTCTATAAGTGTTATATCTGTTATTCTCATATTACTACTAATCATGGTGTCATAATAATTTAAGCACTTTTCTGCCTCTGCATTATATGCACATTTTTTTATCATTATAGTATAAAGTATTTCATCTGGGGTTACATTTTTATAATTAATAATATAATTAAAAAATGATTCTGCTCTTTGGTAGTACTTGTGCTTTAACAACCCATCAATAAGAGTTGAATAAATTGGTAAATCTACTTCTATTTCTTCTTTAATCATTTTTCTATATAAATGAAAAGCACTTTTAATATCATTGTCCAGTATATGTGCTTTGATTAAAATGCAATATGTATTTTTATTAGGACTAATAAAATCCTTTATCATTTGCAGATATATTAGTCTACCTAATTTTGCATTCTTCTGTACAATGCATGTATACATCAAGCTGTTATACGTTTCTACATTTATTTTAAAGTCATATTTCTTTAACAGATTAAAATATTGAAATGCTTCTTCTTCTTTATTAAATAATATTTTGCTTTTTATAAACATATTGTAATTATCAATATCAAAATTTTCATCTTTTATTATGTCATAAAAATTCAATTCTGCATATTTTCTCATTTCTTTTACTTTTTCTTCCTTTTCAATTCCGTAATAGTAATTGATGTATTTTTCGCACCCTTCAATGATATGTGGTGACAGTTTTTCTTTTTTAAAAATTTCATAGTTTTCCCTTATTTTTCTGAACACATTCTTGCTGTTGTGTATTATTCCTTCGTACGCGCTTTCGGTCTCTTCCTTAGGGCAGACGTTCTCTCCACTTCTCACCTCTCCAGGGCAGATGTTCTCTCCACCTTTCACCTCTCCAGGGCAGATGTTCTCTCCACTTCTCACCTCGTCAATGCACCTTTGCACAATGTTGTCACGTTCGTTCACCCCCTTCACACAAATCTTGCTTAAAAAGTTCGCAGGTGCCGCTCTTCTTTCCAGATAAGTCATTCTACCTGGACGCTTTTCTACTACTTTTGCTTCTTCCACATGGACTTTATCAAATGGGTTATCCTCTCCATTATTCGAAAAGTTCTGATTTTTTACACTTTTATTCTCCATATTTGAATCTTTTTCTGTTCCTTCAGAAAAGTCATTCATTTGTGAATTCGTTTTGGCAAAATTGAGGTTTGTAACGTCGATTATATCCTGAGATTTTCCAAGGCTGATTGGTGTTAACTGCCAACCTACAGATCTATGAACCTTTCGTTTGAGCCAAAAATAAATATCATTATTAAAAATGTTTTTCGAATCACTATTTTTGTTTATTTCACTTTGCATACTTTTTTTTCGCTTGCACGATTCTAGGATATCCCTTTTTCCTACTTCTGAGAATATAGAAATGTTCAAATTGGTGTTTGTCGGGAAACCACATTCCATGTAATTGTCAATGTTCATATTGGGATCATTATTTGTGTCTGTTTCCACCTCGTACAAATAGGTATCATCAATGGAGAGAGAAGTAGTAGTAGTAGTACTACTACTATCCTCTCGATTTTCTTGTTCTACTTTGTCTTCTCTATTTTGACTAAATTTATCAGAATTTTTTCTTGGATTGTTCATACAATTATAAAAATTATCATCTTCCTTCGCCTTGAAAGATTCATACTTATTAATCAGCTCCATGTAATCATAGCTGTTTCTAAAAATAATTCTCTTCATTAAATTTTTTTTTTTTTCCTTTGACATGAATAATTCATCAACTGCATCTTTTACATTTTCCTCATGAACAACTTCTCTCCTGTTCTGTATTCCTAGTCCGTGTCCAAGTTTACTTGACATCATTCTCTTTTCACTTAACGATTCAGAATATAATTTTTTTTTCCAATGCAAATCTTCTTCCATCTGGTGAAACTTGTTTTCCCCAAGTTGAATCTCATTTCTTTGATTTCTTAATAAATGCGAATGACTTTCATTGTCCTTGTCACATCTTTGTCCATGTGATATCTCCCTCTCTCCCATAACTCTTCCGTCTTTAATTTCATTTCCTTGACGAACATGAGTTATTTCCTCATTACCACCATCTTGCTTATGTTCTCTGGATTTCGTGCACCCCTTGAGTATTTTTTTTATATTTACCCTTTTGTAGCTCCTAATAATTTCTTCATTTGGTGATAAATTAGATGAATTTTTTTTTCTGTCAATTAACTGCCCTAGGAATGTAGAAAATTCCTTCCCTATGGTGTTTAACTTGTTAAGGTGGTTGTTTTTTACACACACGCAGACGGATTTACTTTTCCCGCTTACTTTGCAATACATCCAAGTATTTACATTGCTTGCTTTGAAGTCTTTAAAATGGGAGATCATGCACGTCAGGTTCATATCTTACCGATTTGGCATTTCGCTTGGGTTTGCCTTGCTCGAATTTGCCCTGCTTAGATTTGCCCTGCTTGGATTTGCCCTTCTTGGATTTGCCCTTCTTGGATTTGCCCTACTTGGATTACTCTGGTTGGATTACCTGTTCTTCCCCTTCGTTCAAGTTTACTCAAAAATGTTACACGTTAATATGTGATAGAATAACGAAAAAAAAAAAAAAAAGATGCATGCTATTCATTTCGCTGTAATATTTTTGGTTTTAATTTTTTTTTCTCTTTTTCTTCTAACCCATTGTTCATGAAAAAGAAAAAAAAAAAAAAAAATGGCCTGTAGAAAAAATACACACGTTTAGCTTCACCTGTGTCGTGGTACGTAAGTATATATATATATATATATATACCTTGCAATTATTCAATCAAACATAAACCGTATTTTCACTTTACACCTTTTATTTTAAAATTTGGAAGGCAGAAAAAATTTGTATGTCATGCGTTTTTCCTCCATTTACTATGAAAAAATTCAAAGACGCTGACGTTTCGTGAACTCACAGAGAAGAAAAGTTCCATTTTTTTAAATTGGGATAAACTTATTCAAACGACATAAATAATAGGTTTATATGTTCATCCAGTTGTTATTATTTCAGGATGGTTAAAATAGTTCCTTTTAGAGAATACAAAAAAAAAAAAAAAAAATGGACATTTTTTTATAACGGGAAATTTGCCTTTTTTTGATACCCTAAATTGTGCATTTTTTTTTTTCTTTTTTTTTTTTTTTTTTATCCTATGTTCATAAATTACCAAAATGTGACGGTTTTAACCTACCATTGTGTGCGTGTTTCAAAGAAAAATTAATCAACCTTTTCTTTCCTTCCCCTTACATATTTTTTTACTTTTTTTATTTTTTTGTTTTTACATCTTCATGGTTTTTCCTATATTCGTTTTAAGTTAATTTTTGTTTTTTTTTCTTGGTCATTTTTTGGGTCTTTTTTTTTGGTCATATTTTTTTTGATCTTTTTTTTTGGTCATATTTTTTTTGATCTTTTTTTTTGGTCATATTTTTTTGCCACATTATTAATTACATATCCGGTAGACATTCTTTCACCGTACAAAATTGATGTTGTCAATAATCCTAAGAGGGTAAGAAAAAAAAAAAAAAAAAAAAAAGCGTTTACACAGATCTAGCATATAGCTTATGTTGAGTTGTTCTAAGATTAGCAAATTTTGTATACGCTTGTCGAAATATCACTTTAGGGAATACCCCATTTGACATTGGTTGACTTCGATTTGGTGGGATAAAACTGAGAATAAAAAGTTTGTTGAAAATTTTAAGAAACCAACTGTGCTACCATGATACACTTGAGAGTACATGATACCAGAATGTTAATCTTTCTGTTCACCCCCTTTTTCTGTGTGTTCCAAAATATGGTACATTTACACCTTGCATTCATAATTAAATGTGTATGAGCGAAATTGCAAAAAAGAAAAAGAAAAAAAAAAAAAAAAAAAACACACACATGCACAAACATACATACATACATACATACATACATACACACACACACACACACACACACACAAAAGATAGTGAAATGTTCAATGATTTAAATTTCTCCGAGGAACGGGGACTTTTTCAAGGCTCTTTTTTTGTTTCTGTTTTTTTCTATGCGTCAAAGAATTACACATTTTACGGTACCGGTTATGGGAACAGATAAAGTACCTAATCAAGTTCAGAAAACAGATAAAAAGGGAGAGTGGGGATGTAAGGTACGTGTGCACAGATATCCCTAATTTTTGTTTTCATCGAGATTCACAAAAAAATGAACGTAGTTAAAAATGTAAGTCTGACAGGTGGAAGGGCATGTGAATTGCAAAGCAAAAAAGTGCTTCACATTACTCGTTTTTTCTTCCACCCCTCCTCACAAACGTATAAACATATGCACATACATATATAATCATGGCATTTTTTATGACCCTTTCAAAATCGACAAGAAAAATTCTGTATTTTCACTAACGCAAAATGGGCGAAGCATATACTTTATTATTTTCCCTTTGAACATTTTTTTTATTTAGCCTCTTTTTGTCACTTTTTTTGTCACTTTTTTTTGCCACTTTTTTTGTCACTTTTTTTTGCCACTTTTTTTGTCACCTTTTTTTGCCACTTTTTTTGCCACCTTTTTTTGCCACCTTTTCCTGAATGAACGAATTGTGTGCACGTCGAAAATGTGAGCATGCGCATACATGCAGCGAAAAGGGGGGGAAGAACAATTTTGTCATTTCCACATGTACATACACCCAGGGAGGCGCTACACATATGAACTGGGTGCAGACTGGTCGAAATAGAAAGAAATGAATATGACTTAAAACGAACCGACGCGAACCGAACCGATTTGCAATATTAAGATTTTCTTTATGTGCATTTATGCAGCCCCCTAAATGAAATGTACAAACACTCAAAATATGAAGAAAAAAAAAAAAAAAAAAAAAATACAATTTTGTAAATATACCCAAATATAATCCACATTTTGCTTTCTCTGAGTAGACATTGGGATTACATGATCTGATCTGTCATTAATCCACATGTGTACAAATGTAGCGTTACTTTGGCAAATGGCGAAATACGTAGTTTCATATTGGAAAAATATTACTAATTTTTGTTTTTCTATTCAAAATAGCAAAAAAGGGCTAGTGAAAGTGTAGATCCATGCAAGGAACTCGCGGCCATTTTAAGTAGAGTTTGTGTCAGCGGTGAAATTAATTTTTCACTCTACCTTTTTATCTCTCTCAAGTACCCAAAAAAAAAAAAAAAAAAAAAAAAAAAAAACTTAAATTAAATAGAAAAAATTAAGCAGTAAACTATAGGGAAATAAAATACAACATAATGAAATGTAATATAATAAAGCAAAACAAAATGTGTAATCGTTCATGTAGGGATGTAACCTTTCATAGGAGCTTTTCCATGTTGAACCGTTTTTTTTTTTTTTTTTTTTTTTTCTATTTTATTTTGTTTTGTATTGTTTTTTTTTTTGTTGTTGCAGGGGGAATACACATTTAAGTGCTTTACTGAGTGGGTGCATGTACATGCTCTTATTGCATGTGTGTCATGTGTCAGCAAATCGTGACTTCTCTCCCTTGGTTCCGTGAAGTCCAAAAAAAAAAAAAAAAAAAAACTTCGCATTCCTTATTGACAGACGAACATAAGAAACTTGTGGTAAAATATGAACCAGAAAGTAATACAATCATAAATGAGGTTATAACATATTTGGAAATAAATACACATAATACAGTGCATATAGTTCACAACGAAAGGATCTGACTTGGTAGAGGAAGGAATCAAAGGGGGAATATTTATCTACTATAATTTTCAAGTGTGAATATATTGAGGGGAAAAGAAAAAAAAAAAAAAAAAAAAAAAAAAAAAAAAAGATTTTGTCGATTTAATTTAAATATAATTCCAGAATTAACAAATCAGGGAGAAAAGGCGACATGATTATGAATTGTATGAACCGATAAGCGAATAGTTCAGAACGAAAACGAGTTAACAGAGTTGTGTATCTTCATGAAAATAACACAGTGTATTGTTTATATGGAACAATAAGGAAAAAATAAAACATTCAAAAAGTAGAATGCTAAAAAAAAGAAATAAAATGTGAAATAAAATATGAAATAAAATATGAAATAAAATATAAAATAAAATATAAAATAAAATATGAAATGAAATATAAAATAAAGTAAAATATAATAATAATAACAATAAAACCAAAACGTCGCATGGCAAGTATCCAATTTTACCCACGGTGCACATTTTTTCTTGCGTGTTTTTGAAGAGCAATTTTTTCACGGAAATTAACGAAAAAAATGAAAAGTTGGTTATTTTTATTTTTTGTTCTTTTTTAGGCATACACTTTTGAAAATAAAAAAAAGTGAAAAAGTCTGAGGAATGAAATTTTTAATACACGAGCAAATAATAATAGTTCTTCAGTTTTTTTTTTTTTTTTTTTTTTTTTTTTTTTGTCGCACTTTCGCGTACTTTATTTTATCTTACATCCAACCGCTTTTGTTAAGCGTCGTTTGTAATTCCATATTTTGTTCCTTATTTCACAGTAGGCCATGTTATGTTATACCATGCTTTTTTTTTTCTTTTCCCCTATTTGTACTTTTCTTACTTTTATTCCGGAAAAGAAATCCACGGAGTGTATACATGCTTTGTGGAGATTAGTACATTTTATTATTATTATTTTTTTTTTTTTTAATTTTTTCTTTTTCCTATACACATGCACACATGATAGTGTACTTTACTGAACGCATCCTACAAAAAAAAATACACAAAATAGATAGCTATTAAAAACGTATAGAAAGGGTGGGGAAAAAAAAAAAAAAAAAAAAAAAAAAAATACATGTACATGTAAATGTAGATATACATGTATATTCAAACATTATTATTATGGTTAGCTATTTTCGCTGCATTTATTGTACTTTTTTTTTTTTTTTTTTTTTTTTGTGTGTACATATTTTACACAAGTATATTTGTGTACACCAAGATGCTCAATGCATACACATACGTACACATTTGCTTCTATCCGCTTTTCTTCCATTTTTTCTTCTTCTTCTTTTTTTTCTTTTTTTTCTCATGTCATTCGAAAAGAAGATAAAAAAAGAAAGGAAAAGGAAAAGCACCTATATATTCACGTGCGTGTTTATACACATATGCATACACTTCAGTACGCTGGTGTTTAGAAGGCATTAATTAATTTTTAATATATGCAATAATTCTATATGAAAAGATTTTTCGAAATTTGCATTTGGCCGTTACGTATCTACATTTTCTTTTTGCTTCTCCTTTTCAAATGAAAATAATTTTTTGAATTCATTATTTCAATTTTCCATTTTTTGGCAATGGATTAAAATTTTTATCAAATGTCTATGGAAGCAATTTTTCAAGTATAAGAGCACAGAAAAATCGAAAAAACCAAAAAAAACTCAAATGAAAAAAATGTTAAATTTCATTTTTTCTATGCTCCATGTTAAAAGATATAACTTCTACAGCCTATTTATATTATGCTTTTTTTTTCTTTTCTTCATCTTCTTCATCTTCTTCTGTTTCTTCTTCTTTTTATTTTTTTTCTTCTTCTCTCCTTTTTTTAAGAAGCGTGATGTTATACATGTATCCCCAGTTGGGCCCCTCTCATTCGTTCACACACATACACAGCAATGTACAAACTGATTAGTGCATGAACCTGTCTAGTGTACAGACTGATTAGTGCATGAACCTGTCTAGTGTACAGACTGATTAGTGCATGAACCTGTCTAGTGTACAGACTGATTAGTGCATGAACCTGTCTAGTGTACAGACTGATTAGTGCATGAACCTGTCTAGTGTACAGACTGATTAGTGCATGAATTGACTCCTGTATTAGTACATTGCCGTGTTAGCACATTGGATCATCTACAATTTTTGGAACGTGATTCCTTTTTGACTCTCCTTACACACGTATCCTACAACATCACAAATGTGTATATATTACAGTTCTCTAACCCAAATTCATTTTTACATGTACTTATGTCTACACCCAAATTCAGCATTCTTGACGAAGAGACCTCTGTCTCGTACCTACTCCATTTTACATAAAGGAGACTCACTTATGAATCCGAAATATATGCATATCCTGATCCAATAGTTACACACGTAAACACGTGGCATATATTCTCCATTTTATATTTATATAAAATAGTAACTAATGTAACGTTCGACATACTCCCATTTTGTTCACAATTACACACACACCTACACCTACATCTGTACACATACCTATTTACACTGTAATATACATTAGGGACGAACACCTTCCTACATTATGTCAGTTAAGACTTCTTTAAAAATGATGAAGACCTTACTTTACTTTTTTCTTCCTTCCTTTAACCTACAACTGTGAACTGTTTAAACTTGCGTATATTACACGTACATACATACGTGAATGCATACATAGATACATACGTACACATTTACATATATGTTTGTTCTTTCACCATCTGTATCGCTACCTTGTACTTGTATTTTCTTCCCCTATTTTGTTAACCGAATTGTGCAAAGGCACAACGGAACCTTTTTTTTTTTTTTTTTTTTTTTTTTTTTTCTCTGCTTCTGTTTTGTCTCTTCCCACGAGTGTCATATAGTTGGTAGAAATACGGAAAAAATGTAGCAAAAAGTTGAAAAATTTGAAAAAGTTGAAAAATTTGAAAAAGTTGAAAAATTTGAAAAAGTTGAAAAATTTGAAAAAGTTGAAAAATTTGAAAAAATTGAAAAATTTGAAAAAGTTGAAAAATTTGAAAAAATTGAAAAATTCGAAAATATTGAAAAATTCAAAAAAATTGAAAAATTCGAAAATATTGAAAAATTCAAAAAAATTGAAAAATTCGAAAATATTGAAAAATTCAAAAAAATTGAAAAAAATAGCCTAATTAGCAAAATAATGCATACAGTTACACCTCCCGCGAGTGTTTGCCCCGTTTTGTTTAGTGTATATGAAAAAATTAATATGCAAATATACAGATTCGCTTGAAAATACTGTTTGTCTTTACCAATTTTTGTAATATACATTTTTCTGCACCTTCCCCCTTTCATTTATGTTTAAATCTCTTCTTCGACGAATTGAACAGTATATACTTACATACACACATGTCCTTCACCGCTTATATTTTCCCAAGAAAGCATTCCTTATACACACCACCCACATTGTGCATTCCCAAATTGCTGATTCTGTTGTATGTAGTATATATCTGACAATTCTACTAAGAAGACACTACCGGGAAGAAATCCATTTCTGTTGTTTCTTCATTTCGATTTCTCTACATTTTTGCCTTACGATATATATATATATATATTTGCTGCTTAACATCTCGTTTGCTGAAGCAGTTGATGAGTGGTGAAAGACAACAAACACAGAGACACGTACATAAGTTTACAAAAAGCGTATGCATAATGCATAATGCGTAATGTATGAATATGTTCTTACGTATATGCACATAGACACACACTCAACTATGAAAATGTTGTGTTTACTTCATTTTGTAAATGTGCCAACCTCTGTTCTCCACCCACCTGCATTTAGTTGTTTCTTACACGATTACATACTTTTCTCTGCCTTTGAGTTAATATATGCACACAAATATACGCACATATACACACACATATATATACATGTACACCCATGAAAATTAACAGTGTTCGAAAAATTCTTACATATTTATGAACAGGATATTTCTTCCTTTTTTTTTTTTTTTTTTTTTTTTTATTACTTTCTACAAGTACGTATTTAATACCGTGCATAATTACTTCTTCGTTATGTTAATTCATTTTGTTTCTTTGCATAAAACTTATTCTAATTTATTTTGAAAAAAAGTAAATACTACCATTGTTCATGTTTGTGTTTTGTATCTTTTCTTGCTTTACATCTATTTTTTTTGTTTTCTCTTCCATCCTTTCACCAAAATAGATGCGAGCACAAATGCATGAACAGGAACCATTTTTTATTTCATCGCATCATAATCTCTTCTTTTTCTACTTAACCCGCTTATCACCAGGATTAAGAATATATCAAAGTACACACCTCAATGAAGAAGACACATATGTCTTATTGAAATTTTTTCATATTTATGTGTCCTCTGCACCATTTATGTTTGTCATTCCCCCTTTTCCCCTTCGCACGTACATCTGTCCGTTCATTCATCCATGCGTACATCTATCTTTTCATTCATTCATACGTACATCTATCTATTCATGTGTGAATCTACACGTGCATGACCATTTCTCTACTCGTGTTCATCAGAATGGGCTGTCTCTTCTACCCTTCGTCCGCTATGAAAAAATTTTCTATGAATGTTTAGAAATATTATTCTTGATAATATCCAGAGGTGAGAACCTCAAGTTTTCGATGCATCGCTGGAACCACTCGAACGATTCTTACCATTTTCCATTTATAATTAAACAAATGTGAACGGACGTTTGAACTCACAGCAGTTTTATCTATGTATAATACATATGTATAAAGTTCATATGTGAAAGCTTGTCCCCATTTTGAGTTACCGCAATAATTTTTAAACGTGTCATATCAAATGAATATATTTTCCTTGTCTTTATTTTCGAGCCAAAGTGCCCTATTCTTTTTATTAATTCAGTTTTTAATTTACTTATTAATTAATTTTTCAATTTCGCAATTTCGCAATTTCGCAATTTCATAATTTAAAATTTTTACAATTTTTAATTTTTAATTTTTCTATTTTTGATCACGTCGATCCATTCCTGAAGCCCACACAGTCCTGTGTAAGAAGTGAGAACACGAACATTCCCCATTTTCATTAACTAATCCACTTGTTCATAAACACGTGCATTCGAAGAAGATAAAAAAAAAAAAAATAAATAAATAAATAAATAACGCTTCTTCATGCGTCCTTACCTTCATGCTGACCCAACGCACACTTGATTATGCCCCCCGAAAATACACCCCCCCCCCTCCCCCCTCTCCTCATTTTCACTTTTTGTAATAGACCTGATTGGTCTGACAGTCTTGATTAAGGAAGTTGCACACTTCTGGTACTGATCGGCATTCAAACGCTCTTCTTTATTTCTCGCACATATTACTCCATCAAAACAACAGGAGTATGGAATCATTTGGATGTCAAGGGATTATATCTAATCAAACATGTTCAAATGAGAAAACGATTCAGAACAATCATATTTTCATGAAGAATGGTATGCTGATACAGGAGGGAAGTGAAAGTATAGGAACTTTGGAAAGTACAAATATAAGCAACAGTGTATTGGGATACAATGAAATGATAAAAAATATGAACAATCAAATGAGAATACAAAAGAATGTAAATAATAACAATTTTAACATTGAAAATTACACAAATGGGAATGTTACATCAGGGAATAATACCATGTTCAATCATGTAAATGGAAAAAAGACACCACGAGGAGTCGATTCGATGGAGAAGATGTACAATCAGTATAGATGTAAGAATCAAATATTTAACAATGAATCACTTGCTTTAGGAGCAAATGAGTTTAACCACTTTCTTAGTACCAATAACAATTACAGCCAATTCTGTGGTACGTCTTCCATGGATGATATTTGTAAGAATGGCAACTTCGTGAATCGAGAACCAAATCAGAGAATGAATCACTTCCCTTCAAACGTTTCACATGCAGAGATTTTGGAGAATCGAAACGGCACAGATGTATTTATCGGAGCAAATTGTCTGAACCCATCTCCTTCCAGTAATACCCAATTTAGTTATAAGGGCACGAATGGAATGGTTTCTCCTACATTTCTAGATGCAGGAGAGGAGGAGGGGGAGATGAAGTCCGAGGAACTAGGGACAAAAGAAATTACCCTAGGTAATAACGTAACAAATGAAATTTTAAAAAATGAATTATTGAGTAGCGATATTTTACAAAATGAAATTTTAAGTAGCGATATTTTACAAAATGAAATTTTAAGTAGCGATATTTTACAAAATGAAATTTTAAGTAGCGATATTTTACAAAATGAAATTTTAAGTAGCGATATGTTAAGTCGCGATATTGCAAACATGAATATGAATGATAATAATCTTATCTATAATCGTGGGTTAGGAACCCCTTTCATGAAGAACGATAGAATGGGTGAAGACACGATAAACAAGGGTACATCTATTAATGATTCTTGTGCTGACATTTATCTTTCGAATGGCTATCGAAATAAATCCATTTTGTGTAATAATCTCCACATGGAAACAGGTATAATTCATCAATCGTCAAATATAAACGTTAATGCATTTGCAACAGAAATGAATAGAAATACTAATAGTATAGGTACGATAAAATATACAAACATAAACATGGAATATACTATTGGTAGCAATTATTACCCACTACAAAATAATAGGAATTTCGCTTATAGGAGCGAAAATTATAGCAGAGAATTTAACCTGAACAGTCAAGTGATTTTAGACAAGCATCATCTGATCAAACCCTATGGTCAAAATAGTTACAACACAAATAGCAATAATATTCATTACAATGGTCTTGCAGACACTCATCCATATCACACAAAATGTAATCCTTTTCACAATTCTGAAATGTATGATCAGAGAGTAAGGAGTAATACAAAAAACCTCAATCAAGTGATCAATCGAAATTGTGTAGATGGGGACTATACGTGTGATAATGGTAAGTGCGGAGGGATCAGTTATGAAGAGATTCCAAACCCACCAGGGGGAAGAAGTTTGTATGAATTGTCGAGCGATGTACCAGAGGCCAACAGCGTAGATGTGGCTAGCCACGAAAATGGGGTCAGCAGTTCGAGTTCTCCAAATGAGGTCAGCAGTTCGAGTTCCCCAAACGAGGTCAGCAGTTCTAGTTCCCCAAACGAGGTCAACAATTCGAGTACCCCAACCAGGGTCAGCAGGAAAAGCGAAAATCCATATGATGAGAGTGAGAACCATTGCTATAAAAGGAACGTTCACAGCTTCATGTCGAAGAATGGAGAACCATTCTACAACAATGATAATTTAATAGAGACTTGCAATAACCAAACTGTAGGAATGGTAACTATGAGAACTCAGAGTATGGAATCAAATAAATGCAGATATCCAATAACCACGTATGAACAGATATATGTAGATGATATGACCTTAAACAACAGTTCTTTTAATAATGTATATTCAGAAGCGAATGAAAATATTCCTCTTAACTTATCTGATCATATGTGTAGCAGCATAGACACTACAAAATCAGTTTACGAAGAAAAAGAAAAAAAGGATTTCAGAATTGAACAAAAAGATCAATATAATATCCATTTGAGTGGAAAGTATGAATTAAAGAATAGTGATATTAACAAAAACACTTTGAAGAATTATGTTTGTGATTCACTGAAGGATCATTCAAACTTTGTGAAAACGAATTCTGTTAATAATTTAGTTACAGTGGAGAATCAGGTAGATGTTGTGAATTCGGGGTTACATCGGAATGGTTCTGTTCACGTAGGGACGACGTTGTCGAATTTAGAAAACGTGTTCCAGAATAATGAAGTGGTATCAGAACCCATGGCAGATGTAGCTAGCCATATAAGGAGGGAGAGAAATGTGAATCTATCATGTGAAGATATGACTTTTGAAACGCATCTATATAGGAGAAATTTCACAAACACAGTAAGCAAAGCAGATTATGAGAATGGAAAAAAAAATGACATTGTAACTACTGGTGGTAGCATCAATAAGGAAGAAGTTGCAATGTATGAAGTCAATCCACAGCATCTAAATAATGAAGTAATAATTGATGAGATAAGATGTTCCAATATGGAAAAAACATTTGAGAAATTTAAGCAGAATGAATCGACATGTCAGAGTAATACAGAATTCGAAATTTTAATGAATAATGAAAATGAACCATCATTCCAAAATTTGTCTACACACAGTAGCGTTAATTCAAATCAAAATGAACAAGAGAGAAATGAGATCAGTAACTACCAGAAATCACTAGTAGAATTGCAACAATGCAATATAATCCAAGACAATGACACTTACAGTGAAAATTGTGATAATAATGCACATACAAATATTATACATAAAGGAGAAACATTAATTGGCACTAATAATTCTCATTCAAGCAGTTATGAAAATAATTTTATTAGTACTGTTCAAAGTAGTATGTATAACAAAGATAATAATTTGCCAAGCCACACAAATAATTTAAAGAAATTTAATTTTTCTTCCTCTTTCATTCTGAGTGATTCCAATATGCAAAATTGTCGAGGTTCCTACAATGTCGGGAAGCACATGTTTCCTGAGTCTGTAAATGGTTATGCTGCATCTACGGGTGGAAATGACGTAATAGTTGGTGATAGAACAGAAGCACAAAATGAGAGTATACTCATGGGAAACGGTTCATGTGAGACTTACGCAAGGGATATCCAAATGGACGAAGTGGGTGGAATGAATGGAGAGGAAAAGACCATGACGAGACCCGCATTAAGTAACAGGGGTGTGGGTGTGAATGGAACTTATGAGACTGCTATTACCACGCTGGGGAATTTGAATTTTGAGAATGTACTCAATCAGAGCAATGAAAATATTCATAGGTTCATTAGAGAGCTTAGTTTTTTTATGAACAATGATCAGGTGGAAAATGGGTTAGTTAACACTTCTGGAGTGAACAGCGAATCTGATAATGGTGAAAAATTCCATGGGAGTGGAAATATGCTGATAGGATCCAACACCCAAAGTGTGGCCAGCGTGCATAACAACCCTTACAACATGGATGTACCAAATGGGGATGCACCAAATGTGAATGTAGCGAGTGTGAATGTAGAGAGTGTGAATTTTTCTCAAAATATACCCAATTATATAATGGGGAATAATTATGGACTTTCCACTTTTAACAGCTCCAATGAGCAGCGTTGCAGTGGCAGAAGTAGAGCCAGAAACAATAACGAAAGTAACAACTCTATGATGAGCATCAACCCAAATGAAGCATCATATGATAACAGGCGTGATAGAGTTCATGCAGAAAGCTGTTATATACAAGCGGATGGTGGAGTAGTATACTCTAACAACCCAGATGGTTTTAACAATGCAGATTTTCTCAGACGAGGAACCTTCTTGAACAGTTCAAATATTTCCATTCAAAATGGGTATCCTACCAATGGAATCGAAATGGCCCACGCTAAGGGCAGCAGAATCAATGCCGGCACGAGTTTACACAACGAAAAAATAATGAAAGGGAACGCTTTCACAAGAGGGAATATATCCATGCAGAGCTTATCATGTCATGGAAATTTAAACAACACAAACAGCGTGAGCAATTTAAGAAACACAAACAGCGTGAGCAATTTAAGAAACACAAACAGCATGAGCAATTTAAACAACACAAACAGCATGCGCAATTTAAGAAACATAAACAGCGTAAACAGCATAGGCAACATAAACAACATGCTGGGTGAAGCAGTAATTACGGGCTCTTATAGCGAATGTGTCGTAGGAGCTCCACCTGATTGTGCAGGTGAAAATTGCGAGAGAAATTTGTCGCATAATGGGATGAGCAATGGCAGCGGTATGATAAGTGTGAACATGAGTGACAGTGTTAATACAGACAGTAGTAACACACGCCTCAACTATTTTCCCACAGTCTCGAATTTAAATAAGGACAGCCATAACAACCTCAGTGGTAGCCCGTCTAAAATGCCCAGTGGAGAGTGCAATCAGAGTATGTTTTTCCAATCGAATTCTTACATTTTTGGTGATGCATCTTCAAATAAATTACCTTCAAACAATAGTGGAATTATGAGCAATGATAAGATAAAGTTGCAAATGAGCTTCAATCACATGTTAAGTAGTGAACACACGAATTCATTTAAAAGTTCTTACTCTCAATTTCAACACGTCTCCAACGGAGAATCATACAATGACGTCTATCAGTGTGAGAATGCAGAAGTAAACAGAGAAGAGAAGGGTAATAAAGACATCAACAATAATTCTAAGCTCATTGGTTTTGCTCATGTAGATAGATGTATTAATCCGGACAGCGATTCTACTTCCACAATGAACCAAAAAGATGTATATACTAATTGCAATAGAAATAAGCCATCAAAAGTCAAACAAGGGGAAAATATAAAGTCCAGATGTGAGGGAAAAAATAATATAAAAGTAGAAATATCTAACAATATGAATCATAAAAAACAGCCCCAAAAAAATAAGAACCTGAAGAGGAAACCTAAAACATTTGGAGGAAAAGTAAAGAAAGGTGGGATATACTTTGATTTAGAAATAGAAGCACAAAGAATTAAAAAAACTCCTCTTTGCATATATTCTGTAAAAGATATACTTAATAATTATCGAGCTAGTAAAAAACATATTAGAAGCAATTCAGAGGATGAAGATGAGGATTTAGTTAGATGTACATGTGAAATTCATCACAATATTAATTGTGTAAAGGAATATGTGGAATTTCTGAAAGATAAAATACAAGAAGAGGAAAAACAGAAACTCACAGAATTCCAAAATGGACAAGACACCATTAGCGGGTCCTCAAAAAGATCTAGATCGAAGAAGCGCTCGAAGTCCAAGTCTAAAGGGGAAGAAAATGCCAATTTGTGTACAGATGTAGCAAGCGAAATAGTGACGGGGATATCTGATATTAACTATGGAATCATGAAACCATTAGGTGACAAGTGTGGAGAAAATGAAGAGAAGCAGTGTGAAATGAGCAATGAAAAAATGGAAGGAAAAGCAAATTTGGATGAAACAAAGTTCGATGAAGCAAAGTTGTATGAAGCAAAGTTGGATGAAGCAAATTTGGATGAAGCAAAGTTGGATGAAGCAAAGTTGGATGATGCAAATTTGTATGAAGTAAACATGGAAGGAGAATCACATATTGGCAGAGAGTCATATATGGATGGAGAATCACATATAGGTGGAGAGTCATATATGGGTGGAGAGTCATATATGGGTGGAGAATCACATATGGGCGTAGAATCTTATATGGGTGGAGAATCACATATGGGCGGAGAATCACATATGGGCAGAGAATCACATATGTGCAGAGATGCAAAGGATGAACTTAGGAGAAAAGGGAAAATGGTGAAACATCACATGAACGAGTGTGATAACATTTTTTATAATATAAACAAAATTTGGTCTCCTAATTTTAATAGACCCTTGGGTGATATTGGAAGAAAGCTAATTTTGAAAGAGATTAGAGAACACCATTATACAAATGCATCTAAAACGACAAATCTTTTAACGAACCAAGGATTAGATTATGGAAAGGTTCGGTTCATGAAAGTGAACGAGTTGTATCATTATATGTATGCACTAGGTGTTTTTGAATATGCGGTGAAAATTTCCTTAGAATTTGGATCCAACTTGCGAATGAGTGTTGTAAGCCCTAAAGAAAATTATAAAAATAAGTGTGCAAATTTAAAGAATGGATATTCTTATTGTCTACTTTGCTGTTCTCAAAAAAAAGTGGGTTCATATGACACTTATAGTGTTATCAATTTGATTGAACACAAAATGATCTTAAGGAGCTACTCCAGATTTTTTCAAGAATTTGCGGATCGATATAAATCAAAGAATGAGAACATGATAGTGCACTCAAACCTCGACACTACAGACAATGATTTCGTCCTTCCCAATGACAGCGGTAAGATCGATGGCACCAGTTGTACCGTCAGATACACCAACAATTATGCTACTAGTTTCTCCTCTAGTTTTTCCACTAGTTTTTCCACTAGTTACTACACTAGTTACTACACTAGTTTCTCCACTAATTGCCCCGCTAGCTGCTCCGCTAGCTGTTCCAGTAGTTGAACCGTTAGATGTGGTGCATATGTCCAAGAGAGGGCCAATGATAATACTTATAGGGCCATTTAGAATAGAGGCATTACTAGTATGGTCAATCAGAATAGCCATACATTTAGTATGAGCAGTCAGAATAGAGATACATTTAGTATGACCGGTCAGAATAGAGATACATTTAGTATGACCGGTCAGAATAGAGATACATTTAGTATGACCAGTCAGAATAGAGATACATTTAGTATGACCAGTCAGAATAGAGATACATTTAGTATGACCGGTCAGAATAGCCATGCATTTAGTATGACCAGTCAGAATAGAGATACATTTCGTATGGTCAATGACAGTAGTGGAAACGATGGAGAGGAAAAACACTGAACTTTAGATACACAACCCAGTCCTTGTTGGTAACAAAAAGGATCCCAATACATATACGTTTATAGAAGTATGCAAAAATAGATAGTGATAACTTAGGTAGAATTTGTTATTAATAAGAAATGCGAAGTTTTTTTTTTTTTTTTTTTTTCAGAAACTTTATTCATATCAGTATGGATTGACATTACTACTGTCTTTCCCCACTATTTAAGAATAGCTTTGCCAAAATGTATCAGCAAAGTTTTAGTACTTTTAAAATGGGTCTCAATATATGCATGTATATCTATCTACATGCAAGATGAAAGATGCATGATGCAAGTTGCAAAAAAAAAAAAAAAAAAAAAAAAAAAAAATAAAATAAAATAATAATAATAAAACTTTAGAAGTAGCTTTTTCTCTGCACACTTACACATACAGTTACATTTACACACATATGACATAACAATATAACCCATTTTATGCATCACTCCAAAATTCTTAGAATTAAATAGACACGACATAACAACGATGGATTTGTTTGAAAAGATAGAACGCTCGAATCACTATGCTTGTGAAGGAGTGCAAAAGCGAAGCTCATTTTATGAGGACTTTGTAAAAGATGAGGATGGACAACTGCGGATGAGGAGTGTCATCGATTTGAGTAGCACGAACAGTGTGACAGGTTTGAATAGCACGAACAGTGTGACAGGTTTGAGTAGCACGAACAGTGTGACAGGTTTGAGTAGCACGAACTGTGTGACAGGTTTGAGTAGCACGAACTGTGTGACAGGTTTGAGTAGCACGAACAGTGTGACAGGTTTGAGTAGCACGAACTGTGTGACAGGTTTGAGTAGCACGAACTGTGTGACAGGTTTGAACGGATCTGATTTATTTTTCTGCATCGATCAAGGTGCTCATAAGTACCTCAGAAATACACATATCAATGAAAACAAAATAATTCCTTTAAAAAATGGCAATGTGAGGGGTGCCAGCACCGAGATCGAGGGAGTTGGAGGAGAGTATAGTAATGTGTTAAGCGATTCATTTAGCTACGAAATAAGGGATGTACGAAGCAGGAGAAGAGAATGTAAAGACAGTGTTCAAACGAACAACAATAATAGAAGTGACATAGAGGAGAAAGGTGATTCTCAAGACAAGCATAATAGTTGTGGTAAGGAAAGAAAATATGATGAAGATAATAACAGCAGATATGATGGTGAAAACGAGATATGTTCCCCATACTGTATTTCGTGCAGGGGATCCATTAGCTATGATTCTACAGAAAAAAAGAATATCAACCATAAGAGGTATCAACTGTATTACTATAAAGACTATGCAATATCCCCTGAGTTATTAAGCAATCTGAAAATTCACAAAAATATATTCAATCCTTGTTGTAATAATAGAAAAGGTGATTCTTCCAATGGGATGGATCTATCGTCTATGATGAATTGTAAAAGGAGTCCAGATTTGACAAAGTTCATTTTGAATATAATTATGAAGAAAACGTATAATTGTAATCAGGTTAACAATAAAAACAAGTTGGTTGAATATATCCACAAATCTAATTTGTCTTATAAGAATAAGAAGGAACGATGGAAGAATGAAGGAAAAGACATGCAGGTATTCTCTCACGTATATGATAAAAGTAGAGAAGTGGCCATTTCTCAATGCAGAAACATTTCAGAAGCTGTAAATGTAGGAAATTTGTATGACTTAATTCAGGTGAACCGGACGCACGATGATGATGTTAAGCGGGAAATGGAGGAGCTTGGGCGGGAGAGGAAATTAAACAAATTGGAAAAAGAAATCGAAATCAAAAAAGAAGGCGAAATCGATAAGACAACGCCCATGATCAGCCCAATGGAGACACATGAACCCACAGAAACGCAAAAAAGAACGTTGCATCATCAAAAGAATGGCGAAATACACAGGGAGGGAAAAAAAGGAAGAAAAGAAAAGTACAGAAATGTATGTCATTGCAAATCAAATAATTTTAATTATACGAAAGGTAGATATTCCTCTAGTGGCCCCGTAACACGAGGGGACATCGATAGAATAGCATCGCGAATCAGGAGAAGCAAGTTATACACATCCATATTAAAAAACGTGCATAGGAAGATCTCTTCACTAAAGGATAATGAAATATTCCTTAACAAAATTAAAAAACAAAACAAAAAAAGAGAAAGATCAAGAGAAAGATCAAGAGAAAGATCAAGAGAAAGATCAAGAGAAAGATCGAGAGAAAGATCGAGAGAAAGATCGAGAGAAAGAGCTACAGCAAGAGCAAGAACGAGAACAATTTACACGAATAATCATTTCGATTGTGAAGCATTTAGAGAATTTTCTTTATTCCATGGGCTTGACCTAGTCGAAAAGGATGATAGACACAGAGGAGGACCACTCAGAAAGTCATTTAGTCACACATCTCTTGCACATTTTTTTTATATTCCTCTTGCAGCCCATCGAATCGGTACATATTTATATGAACACACATCTCGCACTTTTAGAGAAAGGTATATTACCCCATTCCAAACTTCCTTACAGATAATAAAAGAAAACATAAACACAGCGAACTCATTAAACTACAGAAAATATTTCCGCCATCACACAGTAGCATCTTTAAACAAAAGCAAGATATTGATGACGAGGAAGATGAAGATAAGGGGACGTAGAAGGTGGGGAAAATGTTTTAAAAAAATAATTGAATTTACACGACTCTTTAAGGAGGTATCTAAAGGGAAAAAATTGCGAAATTTGTCATGCCGTAAGCAAGGCAACGATTCAGAGGATATCTCAAAGGAAAAAGAAAAAGATGACGATGAGGGAATCAAATTCCAACAGAGTCCGTCCAGCCAACAGGGCCCGTCCAGCCAACAGGGCCCATCCAGCCAACAGGGCCCGTCCAATCAACAGAACCCATCCAGCCAACAGGGCCCGTCCAATCAACAGAACCCATCCAGCCAACAGAACCCGTCCAGCCGACAGAACCAGTCCAATCAACAAATTCAACTAAATGGCATCAAATTTGCAGGTACTCATATCGGAACAACCGATGGAGAAGACATTGACATACCTGAGAACTCAACAAATGACAAAGAAAAAAATGAAATAAAGCAAAATAGAAAAAAAAAAAAGAAAGATAGATGGAAAAACAGGTCGAAATGCAGATGGAAAAAAAGACGGAAAGGTAAATGGAATGGCAATTTGAAAAAGAAAAACGACAGGAATATTTTGAAATACTTCCCTGAGTATGAGCAGGATATCAATTCGAGTGTTTCAAGAAGGAACCAAAGGAGAAGGATGCACTTAGCACGGTGTATCGAAAGTCTCATGGATGCCCGTGGGACTGTGTGAAGAGGCTGACAAATTGGAGAAGCAAATAGAGAAGTGAACAAATGGTGAAACAAATAGAGAAGTGAACAAATGGTGAAACAAATAGAGAAGTGAACAAATGGTGAAACAAATAGAGAAGTGAACAAATGGTGAAACAAATAGAGAAGTAAACAAATGGTGAAGCAAACAAATTGGTGAAGCAAACAAATTGGTGAAGTTGGTGCAACATATGATGTGTCTCTCCTCTCCCCATCCAGACCTGCATATGTACATACATGTTAGTGTGTATATACACACATGTTCCCTTTTTTTATTTTTCCCATTCGTGCATAATGACCAGGAAGGGAAAAACAAAACAAAAAAAAAAAAAAAAAATAGCCTTCACAAAGGAGAGAAAAATACACAGTTGAAAAAAAGTTACATCATGTTGTTATATCATTGTTATTTTCACTTTAAAACTTGATGATTTTTAAAAACTTACAAAAAAAAAATTTATGAAAAGGGATGGGATGGAAAAAAAGAAAGTTTGGAATAACCTTTTCTCATTTTTTTTTTTTTTTTTTTTTTTTTTTTCACGTGTGCACAATATATACCCGTTGTGTCTATGCTCATGTATGTGTGTGTTATATATATGCATTTTTCTGTCCATAATTTTTTTAAAAAAGTTTATACACCTTTTAGTATGTCAACTTGTTAATTTCTTGAATGAATTAAATGTAGCAGTGTTTGTATAAATTAATAATGGCCGAGTCACATACTTATTATTCCCAGTTTTGCTTCCTTGCACTTATTAAATCTTAAGAAACACCACACTACCATCCACCTGCTTTTGTAGCAAACCGTATAAACATGGTCTCTTCATGAAATGCAATCGTGCTTGTGAATGCACACATGCATAAATGTACACACATATACGTGTGCATGAGGACTCATAGAATATTATACACTCTTCTTGTTCAGACTGAATACAAATTTTTCAACTCCAAAAAAGAAAAAAAGAAAAAAAGAAAAAAACAACAAGACAAAAAAACAAGACAAAAAAACAAGACAACAAAAGAACAAAACAACAAAGATATGTTTGCTTATTGGCATCCACGCCCCCTTTTTTTTTTTTTTCCTTTTAAATGGTTAATTATACTTGTCTGAATGGCGTTCATTTTTCATTTTGTTTTAACATTGTGTAAATGTAGATCTGTGCTTATTCACCCCGCTACATTTGCATACACAGAATGTGACTTACTCCGCCCTACCTTTACCCCTGTTGATTCATGTCACAATGGCGTGATAGTGCAACATGAGATGCCATTTGACAAAACAAAACATTTCAGTCTCCACACTTTACTACGTGAATAAGAAATACTATTTAATTTTCGAAACAGAAAAAAATTTTAAATTAAAATAGGTACCTTTGCTTAGATGGTGAAAATTGACGAAGGGAGTAACAAAAAAGCATCACCAACAGCACTAAAAAAAAGTATTCTTTTCTTTTTTCTTTTTTTTTTTTTTTTTTTTCAAATCAAGTATGCAGACAGAAGCACAATATGTATAGGAGATGGTAAACATATTTCCACAAAAAAAAAAAAAAAAAAAAACCACGATCTTTCAGTATATGTATGTACATTTACGGAGAGCCTCACCTGTGGCTAACTCTTGTACTGGTGACATTATCCAGGTCCAACCTTGGGTATATCGAAATGTTCACTAAGGGACGCTAAGTTATCATTGAATTTCTGCAACCGTTCACGATAACTTTCTTTTAAAATATTTTCAATTCGTTGTTTTTCTCTTTTTTTTAAAACTAACTGATATGCTTTTTCTGATTCGGTTAAATTGAGTTGTAAAACTTCCTTCAATTTTGTTTCATCAGCTGACATTTCCTTGTTATCATCCATCACAATCCCTTCTTCATTTTCAAGTAGACTAATATTTCCACCTTTGCACATGTCATGAGACTTCGTCTCACCGAAAAATGGTTCGTTGTAATGACCTGTTCCATTTTCTACAACATCACTACTTCTGTCAGTTTTTTCTTCCCTGATATATATTTTTTTTTTTTTTTTTTTTTCTTTCCTACTTTGTTCATTTGCATGGTTTACATGTTTTGAGTGATTTCCTTTTTTTATTTTTGAAACCTTCAGTTTTAATTTGCCTCCAACAAATTCGCTGTCTTTCATACTGCTTGTTGTCAGTTATGCTAGCAGAAGAAATGAATAAATAAATGAAGTAGTCTTAATGCAAACGGTGGTAGCAATGGAAACGATGGTGGCAATGGAAACGGTGGTAGCAATGGAAACGGTGGTAGCAATGGAAACAATGGTAGCAATGGAAACAATGGTAGTAATGGTAATAACAGTGGCTATTCCTTTGTGTCTCTTAACACTTCATCGACATAAATATGCCTCTTATTTCCTTAGATGTTTCAACTAGAAAAAAAACAATATATATATATATATATATATATATATATATATATATATATATATATATATATAAAAGCGTCTGGTTTAGGATGTTCAAATTCATATGTGGGCCTGGGTATTTTTTTTCCTCTTTTTATGGAAAATCATTCTCTTCTTCCGAAAATAAGTAGTGAAAAATGAATATCAAAATGGATATGGATATACCTGCGTTGAAAAGTAGGAAGGGGAACTATTATGCACTAAGGGGAAGGGGCCATCTCTGATTGATATGGATAGAGGTGTCATCCACCTGTTAGTAGTTGTGTTTGATGATATGTCTTTCACGGCGTCAGCTACTAACTCTCATCTCATCTTCTCATTTTTTCACCTTTTCACTTTTTTTATTTTATTATTTTTTTTTTTTTTTTTCCTCCTTTAGGTAAAAAACTATGAACATAGCCATCTATGTATGTGCCTCCTCTCTCTCAGAGCAACATAATATGCATAATTTTTACCCAAAATGTTTGAAATTAAATACAGTTCGTAGTCCATAGTGTTTTTTCATCGCTTTTTTCTAAAGTTCTCATAAAGTTGCAGGGTTAGGGACGAAAGGAGCACAATTAAGAACAGGCTTCCTGAATTTTTTTTTTCTTTTTTTCGAAAGAATTTGCCAAATAATGAGAAACTTTTTTTTTTTCATGCAAGAACTTGCCAAATAATGAGAAACTTTTTTTTTTTTTTTTTTTCATGCAAGAACTTGCCAAATATTGAGAAACTTTTTTTTTTTTTTTTTTTTCATGCAAGAACTTGCCAAATATTGAGAAACTTTTTTTTTTTTTTTTTTTTTTTTTTTTGTATGAAAGAACTTCAATTCTGCTCTATCCCTAGAATTTGTTTTTCATGTGTATGTATTCCCAGGTGGGTATTATATTTAAAGAAAGGAATTTCCTCTCCTCCTCTTCTAACACTTCTCTCCTTCCATATTTTTTTCCCCCTGCGTTTTGAGCATTTGAAGTTTTCCGTCTTCCTTTTTTCTCCAACCTTTTGACTTAACACCATGTTTGGTGTTCCATTTTTGGCGTTCCATTTTTGGCGTTCCATTTTTGGTGTTCCATTTTTGGTGTTCCATTTTTGGCGTTCCATTTTTGGTATTCCATTTTTGGTGTTCCATTTTTGGCGTTCCATTTTTGGTATTCCATTTTTGGTGTTTCATTTTTTTTTTCGCCCCTTTTTCCTGCACAAGGTATTTCCCTCCTCTCTGAGCAAAGCTCATTTGGCTCGTTTTAAAATGCATATATTTGTACTAAATTTTACGCATGCCACGGAAAATACAAGGGACGAAACTGAATTAAAATTTTTCTACATTGGACCGTTCAGGAGCGGTTTCCACAAAAAATGTATTTTACTACCTACATATATATATATATATATATATATAACACTACATATTCCGATCTCCATAAATTCCCCATGGCTATTAAAACAAGGAGAGGAATAAGTAATACTTTAGGGTTAGGGAGAATATTTAAACCCATTTGAACCTTTTTTTTTTTTTTTTTTTTTTTCTAAATCAACCACATTCGTTTGACACAAAAATATGCACTATGATAGTATACAGATCGCTAGTTCTGAGGAGGCTTGCTTATTGTGTACTAACGAAAAAGGTGGCAAAAAAAAAAAATTGTTTTTTTTTTTTTCTGAACAGTTCAGGTAGAAAATTTTCATCAATTTGTGTAGAAAATTTACGAAATATTGGAATTAGTGCACATATAGATGCAGGAAAAACGACTTTAACAGAAAGAATTTTGTATTATACTGGGAAAATAAAAAGCATACATGAGGTTAGAGGAAGTGATGGAGTAGGAGCCACAATGGATTCAATGGATTTAGAAAGAGAAAAAGGAATAACAATTCAATCAGCAGCAACTAACTGTAATTGGGAATTTAATAATAAAAAATTTACAATTAATATAATTGATACCCCAGGTCATGTGGATTTCACAATTGAAGTGGAAAGATCTCTAAGAGTCTTAGATGCAGCGGTTCTGGTTATTTGTGCCGTTTCAGGAGTTCAAAGTCAAACATTAACAGTAAATAGACAAATGAATCGATATTCCATTCCTAGAATTTTGTTTATTAATAAATTAGATAGAGATGGTGCAAACGTCGAGAGGACTTTAAGTATGATTGAAAACAAATTAAATTTAAATACTTTATTGCTACAAATGCCAATTGGGATAGAACAAAAACTCAAAGGGGTATACGATCTTATTTCCAGAAAATGTTATTTATTCAAAGGTCCGAATGGTGCACTAGTAGAAGAAGTAAAAGACACTGAGGTGATTCTGAACGATCCTTCCTTTTCTCACGAAACAATGGAAATGTTGAGAACACGAATTTTTGAAAAGCTAGCCGATATAGATGATGAATTTGCAGAAATTTATCTGAACCAAGAAATTAAAAATATCAAAAATGAGGATGTGTATGCTGCTATACGAAAGTGCACTATAAAAAATATGATAGTACCGATATGTCTGGGTAGCGCAAAAAATAATATAGGAGTTCAAATTCTGCTGAATTACGTGTGCAAATTTTTACCTTCACCTAATGAGATCAGCAGTTATGGGTATGTGTACAATGAAGGAGGAGGAGACCATCATGACAAGAAGGAAGAGGTTATCGATAGTGGAAGTTCCAATACACAAATTCGAAGCAAGAACAAGAAACGTATAGAACTACATTGCGATAGTTCTCTGCCAATGGTAGGATTTCTATTTAAAATTCAAGAAGATTCGATGTATGGTCAAATGAGTTATTTCAGGATATATCAAGGGAAAATTAAAAAAAAGGATATGATAACAAATATGATAACAAATAAAAAAGAAGTAATAAAAAAAATTATGAAAATGCACTCAAATATGGCACACGAAGTTATTGAAGCATATGCAGGTGATATTGTTGCAATAAATGGAATTAGCGGAACAACTGGGACAACTTACACGAATGGAATATGTTCCAATTTACATTTACTGAATATACATGTACCTAAGCCAGTAATATCTGTCGCTGTGGATATTGAAAAGAAGGGAGACGTAACAAAATTGACAAAGGCATTAAACAGATTTGTAAAGGAAGATCCAACATTTCATGTGAAAACTGATGAACAAACAAAGGAAATAATTTTTGAAGGAATTGGAGAATTACAATTAGAAATTTATAAAGAGAGATTAAAAAGAGAGTTCAATATTAATGTAAATTTAAAAAATCCGAAAATAAATTTCAAGGAAACTATTACCAAACCGTATGAATGTACGTACACTTATAAAAAACAAAAGGGTGGTGCAGGATTATATGCACATGTTCATGCAATTTTTGAAACAGTATCAGATGATTATAATGAAACAACATATTGTACTTTCGTCAATGAAGTAATTGGAAATGATTTGCCAAAAAATTTTATCTTATCTATTGAAAAAGCTTTTAAAGAACAAATAGAAAAAGGGTATCTGAACAGTTCAGAAATTATTAACATGAAAATGAGATTAATTGGTGGAAAAACACATGAAGTGGACAGTAACGATTTGGCATTTAAAAAAGCAACTATTAATCTAATTAAAGAAAATTATCAAAACTTTTCTCCAGTACTTTTAGAACCAATTATGCTCGTGGAAATCATCTCCCATTATGAACATCAAAGTAAAATTCTTACCAGTATTACAAAACGAAAAGGGCTTGTCACCAACATTCTTAGTCAAATGAACATGGTACACATACATGCTGACATACCACTCAAGCACATGTTCAATTATATAAACGAGATAAGGGCAATTACACAGGGACAGGGAACCTATACAATGGAGTTCTCTCGCTACGAACAAGTTAGTAAGACTGATTTGGATGATATATTGAAAAAACGTCGGGAGGAGAAGTGATTCGAAATGAGTACAATCCTGGCAGACGAGTCTAAACAGGGATTGATACAATATGGTACAGGTTGCTTCAAGGGGTGAACATCATCAGAAGTGGCCATAATCGATCAATTTAATCTGAGTGCGCATATCTGAGTAGGCCACACTGAGAGGTATATCATCCATGTAACTCTCCGTTGCAATGAATATTCTGCACCCGAATAAGCCACATTTTTTATACAATGGATTTGTATACACATTTGAACTCGTGTATCTATGACTCAAGCCACGTTCAATCTCTATATATATATTTACACCCTTCTCCCCAAAGTGAGGTGAAAAAAATGGGTGCATGGGTAACTGTGCATATGTGAAATAATCAACCGATGGATCCATTCATTTTTGTCAATGCATGAGAGGAAAGAAGGAAGAAAAGAAGGGAGAAAAGAAGGGAGAAAAGAAGGGAGAAAAGAAGGGAGAAAAGAAGGGAGAAAAGAAGGAAGAAAAGAAGGGAGAAAAGAAGGGAGAAAAGAAGGGAGAAAAGAAGGAAGAAAAGAAGGAAGAAAAGAAGGGAGAAAAGAAGGGAGAAAAGAAGGGAGAAAAGAAGGGAGAAAAGAAGGGAGAAAAGAAGGGAGAAAAGAAGGAAGAAAAGAAGGAAGAAAAGAAGGGAGAAAAGAAGGGAGAAAAGAAGGGAGAAAAGAAGGGAGAAAAGAAGCAGTATATTTTTATATCCCCTAAAAATGTTATCACATACCAGTTGAAACAAAAAACACATATTTTTTTTTTTTTTTCTTCTTCAAAAATTTATAATTTCAGTCCGAGGCAAGTTCATGTTTGTTTTTTTGCTCTTTCATTTTCAGCTGTGTAGGTGAAAAATGTGTCAGCCTCTACCTAGTTCTTTTTTTTTTTTTTTTTTTTAAGAAAATAATAATACCTCTTTTCATTGAAAAAGGTATATAAACATCCACTCTCTCGTTTGGGTAATACTTTTTTTTTTTTTTACGTTTTTTCCCACTTGGAAATGAAAAAAAAAAAAAAAAAAATTCTGAAATTATTGTAGGTGTTTGTGGGGGATATAGATATAAAACAAGGAAAACTGGATAAGCAGCTTGCAGTGTTATGTGTGATTTCCCCTTTTTTTTTTTTTTTTTTTTTTTATATATTCAAATTGTGATTGCAACTGCTACACAGCGGCAACCTCGACTGTGAGTACGAATGTTTTTTCAAATTCCACATGTTGCAATTACTGTAACTTTTCATCATTTCATATGGAATATATAAACCCCTATGGTCAAACACTCCACCTGAAGGTTTATTTTTGTAGACCTAATTCATACCACGACATTGTTCCTTTACTTGTGATGCAAATCTTGACACATTGAGAAAAAAAAATAGCTCATCAAAAGAACAAAACAGGGTTTACTTCAACACGAGAAAAGGTTATGGCATTATAAAAAAAAAAAAAAAAAAAAAAATGGAAAACATCCTTAGAGCTAGCCATTTTAATGTATACATAAAAAGAACATGTCAAGTGAAGAATAATTTGGTTCGAAAAGGACGAGCTGGGATGGAGTTAAGTTCTCTTCAGCTGCGAAGATGTGTAAAGAAAAAAACATTACCTTCTTTCAATTTAGAAAAAGGAAAACTAAAAGAAGAAAATGAAGAAAGTAAAGAAAGTAAAGAAAATGAAGAAAAAGTAAGCATAAGGCATCAGCACGATGATGATAGTGGATCCTTGTACAGTAGGGATCGTCCTCGTTATAACAAAAAAAGAATGGGTGTCCATATGTCAGGAGGAGGAGGGGGCTGTGAAATGCAGAACTCATCTATAATGAAAGAATTCTATGAAGCATACTTTGAAGACAAACAGATGAGAAGATTTTTCTGCAAAAATAAAAAAAGGGGATGGTCTATATGGAAGAGAGACCAGAATTATTTCTCGTCAGTTCAAAATGAAAAAAGTGCTGAGAAAAACAAACAGCACAAAATTATTCTTACAGATAATTTTGTAAATCAAGAAAATTTGAAAAAAGAAATTTTAGACATGCACAGAAAACTGATTGAAAATTCTTTTATTGATAAGAAAAAAGAGGAAATTTATTTTTTGTTAAAAAGTGCAATTAAGCCAAACTTGAAGGGGAAAATTTATTTCGTCGGATCCTGTGAAAATAACATATGGTATGTCGAAAAAGAATTAAAACGTGGAGAAAAAAAAAAAAAAAAAAAAAAAAAAAAAAAAAACAAATTCACATAAAATCTATCTGCATATGAATGTACACGCACCTATGTGTGCTTATGTGAACATCTAGGTAAAGACACACACACACACACGGAGATTACTTCTTTTCTCTCCCTTTTTTTTTATTTTAACCTCGCCAAAAAAAAGGATAAAGAACTCAGACATAGACTGTTGTATAGTTGTAGAAAATTGTGAAGATAAGAATTCCTATATGTACATTTTGAATGTGATTAAAAGTGCAATAAATTTAATATATCCTTCTCTAAGAGTGAATATTATTAAGGCATCCGTTCCTATAGCAAAAATTTACCAGGAAGAGAACAACATTTGTGACATTAGCATTAACAATACTGTTGCCATTGTGAATACCAAGTTTGTATCTACTCTCTGCAGCATGGATGAACGAATTATGATAATAAACCGCATCATTAAGTACTGGGCCAAGCAGAAGAATATTAACAACAGGTGAGAGAAGAATTCCCCTCGTTTCAGAGTTGGGGCGCGGCTTTTTTTCTTGTTCCAGGATTGATACTGCATGTATGTGCATGTGTATGTGCATTTATATATACATATATATATGTATATGTACATTTATACCATACCCCATCAGTGAAAATTTTTTATGAACGTCTTTTTTTTCATGTTCAAACGATAGATCACAAGGCACCTTCAGCTCCTATGCTCTCTTCCTGTTGACGTACTTCTTTTTGCAAAACCTGGAAATACCTTTGCTACCACCATACAAGTAGAGAATGAAAAAAGCTCACGGGGTGCCCACACGCATGGGTCAATGTATGTCCGTATGCATGCCCGTATGCATGCCCGTATGCATACTTATATGAATACTTATATGCATACTTATATGCACACGTGTACGTATGTATATTCTCCTTTTCGCTTGACAGATTCATAGAACGTGAAAATGCGTCCTCCTTCGAAATTAACAGCGAGTGTAAGTGAAGTTGATTATGTTCCTCGGTTCGTGCACATAAGTTGTAACGCCCCACCGGTGGGTACATGAATTTGTATAGGGGAGGGTGCCGTATACCTTTTCTCATCCTCTCAATGTATCAATTTCATGCATTTGAAATAAGAATTCGATGAAATTTCTCTTTATCTCTTCCCATTTTAAGATTTTTTTCTCCAGGATGACGTAGAAATGCCCTTTTACACGGATACTAGGTAATCGACAATGTCACAAAAGTGGAAGCTTTAGAAAGAATAAGAAAAAGTATCGCGTCATCTGAGTGAAATGGAGTGATTTGTGCACACCAACACAATACACAACACAGCCCACTCATCACTTCTACTCATCACTTCTGCATATCACTTCTACTCATCACTTCTGCATATCACTTCTACTCATCACTTCTACTCATCACTTCTACTCATCACTTCTGCATATCACTTCTACTCATCACTTCTGCATATCACTTCTACTCATCACTTCTGCATATCACTTCTTCCCATCATTTCTCCCCACCCGCAGCGACATTTCCAACAAATTGGATGTACCACACAAAAACGAGGATGATGTTTCCAAGTTGTTGTACGGATTTTTCGAGGTAAAATGCAGAAATAAAACAAACAAACAAAAAAAAAAAAAAAAAAATTACAACGCTGAAAATGAAAGACCTTTGAAACCATACAGTCACTTGTCCTTATAACACATATGCCCTTATATCAAATTTTCCCATGTCATGTCCTCTTAACAGTTTTACTCCCGAACAACTTGCAAAAATGGAATAACATTAGACATATACAACAATCAGATCATTGAAAATAAAGATATGACAGCAAATGTTTTCTGTCCAATAACGAAAAAAATAGTAAACACGTATAGCATTAATACCTGGAAGAAGATGTTCCAAAAAATTCACACAGCTCATGAACGGCTGAAATGTGTAAGTGTAAAAATGTAAAAGTACTTTTTCTTCTATTCCATTACGTCATATATATATATGTAAGCATATGGGCTTGCATACGCGGGGGAAAAGGGGATGTGATAAAAACAACACGCAAAGCTCATATGCATGTAATATTATGAGTTTTTTTTTTTTTTTTTTTTTTTTTTTTTAATTATTGTAAATTCCACATACACCCTTTCTATAACCTTCAGGGCAAGAGCTTGGATATCATTTGTGAGGAAACAAAAAACAACACTCCTAGTAGAAAAATTGATCTTAAAGGTGAGGCTCCCTTCAGAAGAGGAAAAAAAAAAAAAAAAAAACACTTATATATATATATATGCATATATATAATATCTACATGTACATATGCACAAAGCAATTACTTGCGCGAGCATGCTTGTATTTTACACTTCTACCGCGATCTCATTTGGGGGCTGTAAAAAAACATCAACGTGGGCACACATGTAAATGGCTCCCATGGGCCCATATATATACATATATACACATATATACATATATACATATATACACATATATACATATATACACATATATACATATATACACATATATACATATATACACATATATACATATATACACATATATACATATATATATACATATTTTTTTTTCGTTTTCTTTAATTTTTTTTCATTTTTTTTCATTCTTCTCATTTTTTTTCGTTTTTCCACCTGTTCAGATCACTTATTAAGGCGAAAAATATTTCAAAATTTGTATGAGCCATAAAATTGAATAGCACGACGCTTTAGCCTGGTATGTATGAAGTGGGCTCGGGCGGAAGCATACCATTTTTCGTGCAACGCTATTCAGCATTCTATGAGGAAATACTTCTCAACATTTTATGCAGCGACATTACGAAGCGCATCGATCAATGCTGCAATTGTAAAAGAGAACACATTCAACAATATATTTTTTTTTGGCACTCATTTTTTTCTACGTTTTTCATCCCATGGCGAAAAACTTATCCCATTTTTTTCCTCCCCACCCCCTACCCCATGAAAAAGAACCACGGAACACAATGATCAGATTTGCTTGTAGTACACATCTTTTTAAAAAGAATAATATTTGTATTAAAAGTTTTGAATTTTTAAAAGTTTTTAAAATTAAAGCTTTCAAAAATGGGATTGATAAAAAAAAAATTGTAGCTGAAACACAGGGAAAAGTTACTGTAGATCAGGCCTTACAACATTTTACAAAATCGGAACTTTTTTTTCTTTTCTTCGTTCCTTTTACATTTGTATCTGCTTACATTTATTTTATGTGGACTATTTTCAAGTATATCTGTGACATTCAAGATGTGAGTTTAGGAAGCACATATATAAAAAAAAAAAAAAAAAAAAAAAAAACACGTCACGATGTTGCACGCATGTTTCTCATAATGTACAGCTCCCTACGCGGCTCCCCACCCCCTTGTTTCATCCATATTGCAAATGAGAATTTCTTTGTCACATGAATACGTCTTCATATTGGACACACAAGATCCACATTTTCTTTCACAATGCATTCATATTTCCCCTTAACAGATACAGCATTTGATAAAAAAAATTCGTTGGATGAATGGCAAGGAGTCTTATCCCTTTGAGTACCTCAAGACTGAGCAGAACCTCCCGCGCGTATGAATTCTTTACGTGTCATTTCGTGCGATGAGACTATATCCATCACGACATTTCCCCTGTACCATGCCAGTTTTTCCCTATTTTTCCTCCCATATTTTTGCCCATTTTACGCCTTTGTCTAGCAGGAACCTATCATCGTAGCTATAAAGAAATTCGAATAGCTAGCCCTCCACAGAAAATCCAACGTGGGTGTAAGGAATATACGTTTTGTAATAATTTTTTGGATGATAGTGAGGGGTAGGAAAAATGATTGTTACTGTGTACCCTCAGCCTGCCCGCTTCCCCATGATTGTTTAGTCTGTTTTAAGTTCAATTTATCGTAGAATTTGTCCATTTTTTCGGACCTTGGCTTCTATGAGAAGAACCCGTTTATACAAATCTATAACATTAAGAGACTTAATAAAGTTGAAAAGGTGAAAGATTTGCAACTTCTCGAGGTACAAGCAATTAATTTTATAAGTAGCGATTACATCAAAGAGAGTTAAAGCAGAGTATATAAAATTTTTATCATTAGAGTGAATATATATTTCCTTAATAATGAGTGCAGATAATTGGGTACATACTTGTTCCTTGCTTTTGTATCCATATTGTAGAATTTGTTTAAAAAAATAAATTAATTTAATTTTTTCAAAATGAAGAATATCTGTTGTCTGATAAGTAAAAATTGCAACTTCAACAAGTCCAATATAATGAGATAATAAAAATTTACAATATTTTTTATTATAATTACAGATATGTCCAATTACACAAAATATATTTATACATATTTCCTTTTTTAATTTCAAATTGATAAAATATATATTAAAAAGTATATCCAACATGTGAATAAGTATCCCGTTGTTTATTACACTTTGACACATATATTTATTTTTACTTAAATTTATGTATAGTAAAATAATCTTATCAATAATGTTATAATCATTTGACAAAATTAACAAATTACATATTTTGTCGATATTTAATTTTATTAAAAAATTCTTGGCCTCTTCATTATTATTTGTTATATTTATTAATATGCTTAAAATTAAAATGCACAAATTTTTTTTTTTTTTTTTTTTTTTTTCTTCACATATTCTTACAAGAAAGTATACTATAGAATTTATTAAAGTGTCATCATATTTATATTTATAATTCTTGGAAAATATTAATAAATTCTTTAAAATCTTTTTTTTTATTTTTATATTTACTCCATACCTCAAAATATATGCTATAATGTGCTTATAATTATTATCATTTTGATATTGAATGAATTTGTTGATGTATCCACACTGGTGCAGATGATATAGCATAAAATCATTTATCGAATATTTATTGCTTTCTAGAAGTTCTTCTATTTGTATCCGGGCTGTTGTTCCTTTTACAATTTCTTCTGTAAATCCCGTTGTGATTTGTTTGGCATCGTTTGTTTTACCTTCACTCCATTTTGCCCCTCTCTCCATCTCATTCAAAATTTCCTCTTTCTGAGGAATTGCTCCCACACGAACTTCTTCTACTTCCCGAAGTAGTTCTAGACAATCTTTCCTGTAATCCATCAAGTAATCCCGTTCACGTAGGTGCAGTAGAAAGTTTATGATTTCATCCAAGGCCTGTATAAAAAAAAAAAAAAAAAAAAAAGTTAGAAATTAGAAGGGGGTGTTGCTGCCATTGTACAGTAATGGTGCACAAAAATATGTGTGCTCGATGCTGTCTCCTTTGTGTAGCTAAGCTTCTTCTTCAATTTTGTTGTAACCATGAACCCTGGTTGCAGTACCGCCCTACCATTTTGTTATCTTCACTAATGACGATCGCACCATTTGTCAAATCCGTTACATTGAACTTGTCCGCTATCGAATGGGAGAAAAAGGTGAATTATTGCAAAAGAAAGGATAAAAACAAGAAAAAAAAAAAAAAAAAAAAAAAAAAAAATCTTAATGTGAAGAGGTTAAGTCTATTTTTAAACTTCTCATCTAGATATATTTTTTATGCCTACATAAAAAACCCGAATCTAGACAGTAAAGAAGGTAATCTGTAAGTCGGTGCAGGATTCTATTAATTTTTATTTTTTCTCTTCTGTGAGTGTCCAGTAGATTCACACCTATCATATGATAAAGCAATCCGGGGAAAGGGAAATGGTGGTGGTGGTAATGATGATGATGATGAGAAGAAAATATTCTCAGATAAACCTCTATATGAGTTATGCAACTGTTGAAATTATTCATGTGACATAACGTAGAATCTACCTGAAATCCTATTCAATATAACATTTAGAAGGTACTCTAAATTTCTCTCCACTTTTGTGTCTTCTCCAAGGAATTCCAACAAATCTGTAAAAAAAAAGAAGGAAAAAATGGAAAAAAAAAAAAAAATATTATAAGTTTAATTTTTTTTTTTTCAGATTTAACATAATTTTTGTCGTGTAAATAGAGATACAGCTCCTGATTATCAAAATGTACATATTCTCAGTTTAAGGAAGAGATACTCTTGAAACATACCAGAACTTATCATTACGTTTCCTTCCTTAAGAATCACCAACATGGACTTGAAAAATATCTTTATGCAATCGAAGTAAGATGGCTAACATTGGAAGGAATGTGTAACGCATATACGTGTGTGTAATATTGCGACCATTGTTAAGAGTTGTACTCATATCCAAAAGTCCCCTTTTTGTGCTTCTACACAGGTGCAGCAGTGTATATGTACACCTGTGCACAAATTAATTCCGTATGATCAAAATGCACTCGTACTTTTATTTTTAAGCGTGATTCGAAATATTCATATATATCAGAGTTGTATAGCAGGGCATCTACTTGAACTTGTATTAAGTTGGCGTAGCTAAATATGAATGAAAAAAAAAAAAAAAAAAGAAAGGGTAAATTTGCTTATGAAATGGTATGTTCATTAGCAGAAAGGACATAGATCTTATCAAACCCTTTTAGACAATGGTTTCTCCCCTTAGAGGTGGCGTTATCTACTTTCACGGGTTCATGCAAAGGTGTGCATTCATCCGTTCGATCACTTTGTATGTACATATGTATATCTACACACACATACATATATATATACGCACGTGTGTATGTATGTGTGTATCCCTTACAATGTGTTGTGAATATCATTGGATGTGAATGAATTAGCCACCACATACACCTCTGCAAACAAGTCCTTATCGGTTACGTCGAACTCTGAAGTGGGAGGGGATGGAGGCGGAGGAATCAAAAAGAAAACGAGTTGAAGTGAAACACACGTGCTGAATGACAGGCACATGCATGATGGTTATGAACACATTGGATATATAAACATGTGTGAAAATTCGCGAATGCCAGTATCCGTGGAAGTAGTTGTTCAAACTAACCTTGTTGGCTCTGGTGTGATATTTTAAATGTGATAAATATATCTTGGCTCTTGTCGAGGAGAGGAGGTATGACTGTCGTTTTGGAAAGAGGAAATATATGTTCATTCAGCGTGCTAGACATAACGCATGAGGAAACTTGAGAGACTCACTATTACGTACATGGCCATACTAAGGAATATTACCCAACATGTATACACAAGTATATACACATACACATATTACATGTTAAACTTACATGACCTCCTAAATATTATGCAAACAATGGTATGGGTCTCGTTCTTCAAATAAATCTGAATAGGTAAAGTGTGCCGTGTGGAGGTATATAAGCCAGCGTTCACACAATATGTGGTTGGTACATTCATATATATATATATATGTACACATATATCTGGACGTGCATATATGTATTTACACAAGGAATAGCCAATGCATTCTGCTTCCTCCAAAAAAACGAATTTAAAGCTTAACCTCATATCCCGACCACTTAGCCAGATCATCTGATAAGTTCATCTTTTTATAATAAAAATTTTTCCGTATGATAAGTGGAATTTTGGCATCGTTCTACAAAGAGATGGAAATGTGGGGGGAGAGGTGTGCAAATAGGTACTCTTATAGATGGACTTCTACGTATTCTTATGCATATACATATGTATGTAACTCATGTAATTACAATTAAAAAATCCAGATGATTTCTCGCCAGTTGATATATATTGTTGTCGTCCGTCTGCATAGGTGTTAATTTTTAAGCAAACATGTGCAAAAAGGAATATGATATGGAACGGCTATGTGAACACGTGGAACGTCAATTTCACCCTGGTGAGGTATCTCGCCATGTGTGCGTGTGCATATATGCATATATGCATATGCATATACATATATATATATATATATATATATTTATTCATTTCTTTATCATCCTTATTTCATTCTATTTTGGTAACCCCATCCAACTGGATCATGCTTTTTTGGTCGTCTATCTTTATGCATATTTCGATTCCTATTTTGTAAAAAAAAAAAAGGAATAATGGAAAATGGAAAAAAAAAAAGAAAAAAAAAATATGAACAAGTCAGAAAAAGACATTTTAGCTAGCTCTTAAAAAGTTGCTATTATTCCGCTCTAAAGGTGACAATTTTCAAGTGAAAAATTTCGTATTCCACGTATTTTTATGTCCATCACTCTCCTTTACCTCTGTGGTCAATATAAAAGGCACTCTCGCTTGAAACGAATGCAAAGTCTTGTCAGGAAAAAAAAAAAAAAAAAATATAACATTTGGGAGTATATTATAACAGATGAGAATATATTATGACATATTTGTACATATTAGAATAGGTTAGAATAGGTTAGGGGATACGTTCGAAAAAGCACATAATGGATTGCAAAAAAAATATTATGAACAGTTCAGGTTAGAATTTTTAAAGCGTTTGAAAAAGGAAAGGAAAGGCAGTTACTCGTCATCGCTACGCTAACACGGTGTCATGCTAATGCGCTGGAAAAAAAATAGATCAAGCACAACGTTGTAATTTTTTTTCTGTAGGAATGCTAACTTTGAAAGGACTTGTGAATGAAGAAGAAGTAATTATCAATTATAACTTTTCTGTATCTGTCGAGGAAAGGGACTCACGGTTGTATGTGTGAACTGAGAGAGTAAGCATCCTCAAAGTAGTTCGTATCAAAGTAGTTATCCACGGAGCAGTTTTCGCGTGTCACCACACATGTAGTTTTCAACAAACCCGATAAATGGCTGCACGGAAAGATCAACCTTTCTCAGTTGAGAATTTTGACGTGTTCTGCTGCATCTCTCCTCGTATGTTTCCTTTGTAATTGGCATGTGAATGATCTTGGAGGACACAATAGTGGTGGTAACAGGGGAAGGGGAAAGTGAATTTTTGTGTTTATTTAGCATGTTTTGTAGAAATGTATATACATGTATATGTATATATATGTACACTTAAGTGTGCGCATGCACGTGGGCAATCGCTAGAGAACAATCGTTTGTGTCTTTTTTTTTTTTTTTCCTGACCATGTTCAGGTTGAACATGTAGTAAGTACTGTATGCAACACATAATTGATTGATGAGGATGTTCTTGTTTATTCCCTTTATGCCTATGTCATTAATAGCCTATTAAGGAGAAGTGGGAGGCCAGCGCGTGAATATAAGGTATAGGTGGGAGGACAGGATCGGACAATATATATACATATATATATATATATATATATATATATAACTAAATTGAGTAGTAATGGGAAATTTAATACACACTCATTCATATATATATTTTTACACGCATGCACAAGTGAAGAATTAATCCCTTACTGAATCAGCCTTCAAATTGATGTGAATATAATTTGATTTGTCGCACAGATATATCTGCTGAATGTCACAGAAAAATATTCTGAACTGCACTTCATAGAAATCTTTCTCATAAAAAATTAAATTATCATAAGAAATTAACATATAATATTTCCCCCTTTTTCTATAGTTCACTAAATTTTTGCATTTCACAAATTCAAAATGGAGGACTAGTGCGTTGACAGACTTACTGAGGCTTCGTCGCAGGTAGCACATTTTTTCGTCTGCGGGCGAGGGAGGGGCCGCGACATGGTCCAGGCGAGGAAGAAAATGTGGACGAAAAGGGGAGTAAAACGTGGAGATAAACGTGGAATAAAACGTGGACGACAGAAAAGTGGGTCCAAACAGGAACGTGGTAAACGGTTGCATAAGGAGCAAACTGACAAAACTGCTAACTGTCCCTACAACTCATATAGGTGGGCGCGCAGGACGGAATCAGTTAATATTTTCATAACTCAAAAAATTATTAATTTTTTTTTTTTTTTTTTTTTTTTTTTACCTGAACAGCAATATTTAAATTTTACACTTTAACTAAAATGCATTTTTCATTTATAATTTATTCAAGTTGTGACTAAAAAAATTGTAACAAAAAGGTAGCGAAAGCCTTTTGATCAAATCGCAATACTTCAAAATGAATAAAACTGAAGAGTTACACATTAAGAAATGAAAAGAAATGAAGACTAGTTCCTAAATCTGATTAACTGAAAAAAAAAAAAAAAAAGAAATTTGTGCCTAATACATAGTGTGGAAATGGGAAAAATTTGCGACCACGACGAGTTAGCGCCATGTGTGCATATACACATGCGCGTACAGAAAAAAAAAATAAAAAAATGAAATAAGCTTAAATAGAACAATATAAATGAAATAACGCAAAAGAAATAACGCAAAAGAAATAACGTAAAAGAAATATCTTAAATGAAATAACTTAAATGAAATAACTTAAAAGAAATATCGCAAATAAATAACCATGAGCCAAATGGTACATTCCTTGGAACGCAATGGAAATAACGGAAGCATGCTATCGATTTGTTCATTTCCCGGGAATGTTCCTTTGGCCTTATGTAAATGTTCATGTCATGCCTTATACACATTGCAACCTTGATGAATGTGTGACATGAAAGTGTAAATTCCTCCAATGTTATGCAAGCATATATATAACAAAATCACACAACAAGGGAAACAGTATAAATATGAGACTGTGTTAAAAAAAAAAAAAAAAAAGTGTATCTCATTTCTCTCTCGTATTGTTTGACTTTTTTAATCGTCAAAAAGGGTGGTGGTGGTGAGATAGACACATGATGAGATGCACATCCACTTTTGCACCACCTCTTCCGAATAGTGTAAGAGTTTCTCTCACTTCAGCATAGGTAGTAACTAAATAGTGAGAAGAACATTATAGAGGTAATGAGAAGCCTCCCTGGTAAACAATCCCTTTATGTGATACCTGACATAACAGCAATCATCTACAAGAAGTAAAGATGGTAACATGTCATTAGAGTTGGAAGAAGCAACTGTTCTACTACCAGGCAAGAGTAGAGTATCTTCATCTTCAACACTTATTCTCTCATTTATAAAAAGAAAATTGTTCGTACTAAAATAATTCTCTCTTAAATTTTGTGCGATTTTTTTACTGAAATATGTTGATATGATATATTTGTATGGTGAAACATAACAGTAGTAGATATTAATTGGTTTCTGTTTTTCTTTCAGTTTTATAAAATTGCCTCCTTTAAACATTTGCATTTTCTGTTTCTCCTGATTTGATCCCTCGTGTGAACGTAGGTCATCTATTCCATTCTGAGTATGGGAGGTCTTCTTCTGATACGAGAAATCATTCAAATATTTTTCCATCTCGTGCACGTGGCTTGTGTCTGTGAACAGATAAAGGAGACTATTCTTTTTGTACAGAATGTCAAATAGATTTTTCCGCTTGATAAATTCATTATGGTGTGTTGTTGATAAGTTGAGACATTCCTTATTGCTGTAGTTACTGTTAGAGGATCTCCCTCTGACAGTTTCTTCTGAGGATGATCCAACGGTAGGGAAGCAATTCACATACAAATTGCTGCTTATCCTATCACTATACAAGGACTTTTTAATTTTTGTCGAATATAAAAAAGCATTTTCACCTCCATCACTCATTTTATAAAACATATCATGTTCATATTTTTTCACATCATAAGAAATAAACTTGAATAACTTCCTTCTTTTCGTTAAGTATGAACAGAACGTGTCTTGATCGATTTGGAATTTGTTTATATCTTTTCCCTTTGTATTGTAAACACTGATGTTGTTCTTGTTACTATTTTCCATAAATCTTAACGGGAAATCATCACTCTTTTCCTTTTTTTTTTTCAAAATGACATCATTCTCTCCTTCCCTCCTGGAGTGTAAGCAAGAGAAAAGAAAAAAAAAATTGTTTTTCCTTTTTTCAGCCCGTGCTTGTGCCATGTCGTAATTCACCTTGGCAATTTTCGAAAAGGAAAAAATGCTTCTTTTTCTTTGCGCCATTGTGGAAATCTAAAATTGGGCAAGAAAAAAGGGGTAGCGGTAAAATATGGTAAGAAAAAGAAAGGAGCTACAGAAATAATCAAACTCGACATCCCTGCTGACGTGTTATCTAAATTTGGTGTGCGATGAATGTTCCCAAAAAAAAAAAAAAAAAAAAAAAGAGAGAGAAAGCTCGTAAAAAGATGGACAAAGAAAGAAAAAAAAAAAAAAAAAAAAAAAAAATACGCGGTAAGGGGAAGACTACAAAAAATGAGGAGGCAGAGGGAAAATCTCCCTCTTGCCCGCGGGGTGGAAAAAAAAAAAAAAAAAAAAAAAAAAAAAAACAAGTGATGTCATATAAGCTATCACGCGAGAGAAGAGGATTTTTCCCGTGCACACTTAAATTTGGAAATTTTTTTTTTTTTTTTTTTTTTTTTTCAGTCTGTTCTCAGTTATGTTTTAATTTTTTTAAGTTTTTTTTCTGAGTTCTTTTTCTTTTTCTTTTTATTTTATTTTTAAGAGCATTTGATTATTCGATTATTTATTCATCAGTTCGGCAATTTGTTTTGCATTGCTATCCGTCTGTTGGCTATCCGTCTGTTGGCTACCCATCTGTTGGCTACCCATCTGTTGATACCCATCTGTTGGCTACCCATCTGATTGATTATTTGTTAACTTATTTTTATTCCTTATTTATGTGCTAACGTACGTCTATGCACAGTTACCCGCGCATTTCATGACACCTTTTTTCACACCATTTTTCACACCTTTTTACACACCTTTTTACACACATTTTATCGCACTTTTTACACACATTAAATCGCCTATTTTGTCGGGTACTGTGCCTCATATCTCACATCTCACATCTCACATCACACATCACACATTTTTATCACTCCTTTTTTGCGTAACCTCCTCGGCGAACATTTCGTCATCGCACGCCCCAGAGAAATAATGCAAAAGGGAAATGATGGACACCTGCTCGTGGGAATTTCCAGTGATACATTTCTGAACATAACAAAATATTTAACAATCAATGAAACGCTGAAATTGAAGCTTGTTTGCAAACATTTTCATGAGTATATAAAAGATGAAAAGGCTTTTTATTTAAACGAATGGCTCAACCTGAACAATTACATCAAATTTGTCCGTTTTGTGAACCCCGATAAGTTTAGTGCATTCATCCTCTCCCTTTTAAACGATGAAAAAAATGTCTACCAAAGTCCTTTCTGTGGTATGATCCAGCATATACCATGTTAATCGGAAAGCAGTCGCTGTTAACCCATGCAACGTGTGTAACGTGTGTAACACGTGATTCATTTACATGTCTTCATTCCAGCTTGCAACATAGATAACCAAATCGCTTACCTTACATTACTACCTGCCCAACACCTTACACCACTTTCCCTTTATAGTTAGAAAGAGCCTCGAATTTGGAATCGAGAAGAAGCAGTTGATTTTGCATGACAAATCGTTTTTAAAAAAAATAACGTTGAAAGGAGATTTTTTGAGAAATGCAAATTTTTATGATATCAGCTTATTGATAAATGCACATGCGAGAACTCTTGAAGAATTACACATTCATGGTCTGAATGATGTGAATTGTCCTTTGATAATTTACTCAAATTATGGAATACTTTTCGAGTTTCTATCGAAAGAAGTTCTGATGAATAATTTATCACTTAATTGTGTAAGCAAGAGTAACTTGAAATATATTCAACATTTGTTGCTTCATCAGAAAGGAAGACTAAGAACCAAAAGGAAAAAAAATGCAACAAGTGGTTTGGGAGAGGCAGGGAGAGATGCCAATAAATGTAAAAACTGCCATAAGTTCAGTATATTCCACGTCGAAGAAGAAAATGCGGGCGAAGAAGAGCACAGTGGCATGGAGGAAGTAAGAGATAAAAATTGGAAAAATAAAAAAGGGCAATTAAACAGGGAATGTGGTGAAGAGGAGTCGATGGAAGACGAGAGATGGGAAAGAGAACCGATGGAAGACGAGAAGTGGGAAAACGAACCGATAGAAGACGAGAAGTGGGAAAGAGAACCGATGGAAGACGAGAAGTGGGAAAGAGAACCGATGGAAGACGAGAAGTGGGAACGCGAACCGATGGAAAACGAGAAATGGGAACGCGAACCGATGGAAAACGAGAAATGGGAACGCGAACCGATGGAAGACGAGAAGTGGGAAAGCGAATCGATGGAGAACGAATCAATAAAAGATGATCCATCTGGAGAGGAATCGTGGCTGAGTGACAACTACAACTTTTGCAACTGCAAATCAAGATACATGAACCAGCTAAGTAGAGGAAAAAAGATACACATTATATGTGAGCATATCAGCATAGTATACAATCGGGATATGAAATGTTTTGAAACAATAAAAAATTACAAGCAGAAAATGCACTTAAGTCATTATGTAAACAATTTAAATATATTGAAGATTTTAAATTTATCAGGAATTCAAAGTTACGATATGATAGAAATGCTCATCTCAGTGCATTTACCAAAGTTAAAGACACTAAACATTTCATGCTATGATTATTTCTTTTATTTCTATCACATGCTTATTTCTATGTTTCTCTATGGAAATGGAAAGGAAGTATTTTCTCGATATCTAAATTTAAAAAAAATGCAAAGTTGCAGAGATAATAACAATGGAAAAAAAGTAGAAAACAGTTTTTTACAGTCCAGCAAAGAAATGTATGAATTTATGAAACAAACAGATGAAGAAGTAATTGAAGCCAACAATATTTCAACCACTTTCCAAAAAAGGTATGAACAGGATGCTATAAATTACTATGAATATAATGTGACTAACAATGCGAAGAAAATTTTTTTCACCCCAAAATATAAGGATAAAATATGCAACGTCGGGGTGAACCAGCCAGTGCATTATGCGGATGGCACTTACATACGACAGGATTCAGATGCAGAAAATGTAGTTCATCCTGTCATTTACCACAAGGTGGGTTCTACAGAGAGTAGCTGTAGTGGTGGTAGTGGCTGTAGTGGCGGTAGTGGCGGTAGTGAAAATGGTGTAGACAAGGCATGCACCAGCATTCGCAGCATAGGAAGTGCTGAAGAAATCGTGGACAAGAAATTTGGAACCACAGGAAGTAACGGAAGTATGGAAAGAGATTACTACCATGATTCGTGGGTATGTCATGTGCAAAGGGAGAAAAGGAGATGTGATGAAGAGGACGAAGGAAAAATGAAGACACTGAAGAGAGGAGGATACATTTGGCTAGTAGAAAATCATAAGCACAAGAAAAACGTAAGCATAGAAATATTATACTTATTTAAAAACATAATCGAAAAAGAAGAAAAGAAAGGAAGAAAAAATATTATATGTTTATTGAATAATTTAAATATAGAACATTTTTCATTATTCAATTACGGGCTTAGTAGTCCCTTTTTATGGTTATTATTACTTATAAGATGTGAGAATTTAAAAACAGTTGCTATATTAGATTTATGCTTATCACATTTATTATCGGCATTAACATTTTTAGAAGCATATTTAAAGCAAAACTTATTTAACTTTCAAGGAATGATGAGAAGAAGAAGAAAGCGAATGGGAAGCATATACTTCAGATTTAACGATGAAGAAGAAATTCATTTTGTGAATCAAATGTACACAAATATTATAAACGAATTAAACTTGTCCAATTTTACACCCAAAAAAAATAAAGTTCTTCACATAGTCATATATGTGTATAATAATAAAAAAGAAAACAAACAGTTTATTAAATACATAAGAAAAATTTCAAGATCCCTGTGGAGATGTAATTATGTCGTTCACTATTCTATCCAATATTACAAGTACAAATATTTTAACTGCTACTTTGATATTGACAATTTGTACAGAGACTACGTTATTAACATTTTATTAACAAATCATAAACTTAATCAGAAGCTGCTGCACCATCACCGATAAGTGTTTTCTCTGGGCTACGTCATTCCAAAGAGCCTCGCAGGGAGGCACACAGAAAAGGCAGTTCCTGAGGCGAAGAAGTGGGGTGCAAACACACACATACGTGCGTACATACGTGCGTACATACGTGCGTACATACGTGCATACATATATGCATACATACATACACACCATTGGTTTAAAAAAAAGAAGCAATTATACCTCCATCTGCACAGACAGAGAGAATAAAAGAGAAGGAGAGGAAGAAAATGGAAAACTAGACAGTGAGTTCCTCTCTCTCCTACATTTTTGATTTCTCCTCCTCTACAAACACGCACGTCGGAATTTTTTTGTTTGACCAAGGCTTTGCAAAATAATTTTCGGGTCCGCCTTGTGAGGCATACTATCTCCTTCGAAATTTTTTAGTGTTTGCCAAGTGGGGAAAACATTATGTACATTCAACGTGTCACTCACAAGCCACATCGGCTCGATAGAGAATCTTACCCTCTCCTTACCGTTCTTTTTCTATCCTTTTTATTTAAATTTTTTTTAAAAAATTTTTTTTAAAATTTTTAATGTTTCACTTTTTTTTTTCGTTCCCTTTAAATTTTCAACCTTTCCTCCGCTATTATTATTTTATTATATTTTTTTTTTTTTTTTTTTTTTTTTGGTGTAAAGAAAACTCTTTTAAATGATGCTCGTGTTCTTTCCTCGTTTCTCTTTTTCATGTAATTTTAAATGCGCCGTATGTATGTGTGTGTGCACATATAGACATACAATTTTCAGACCACACGAATGTAAAGATGTGAAGTAATTCGTGCACAGTTATTAAATCTTTTCATCTTTTTTTTTCTATTTTTTCGTTTTTCCATTTTTTCGTGTTTTCGTTTTTTTCGTTTTTCCATTTTTTCGTTTTTCCATTTTTTCGTGTTTTCGTTTTTTCGTTTTTCCATTTTTTCGTTTTTCCATTTTTTCGTTTTTCCATTTTTTCGTCTCTTTCGTTTTTTCGTTTTTCTCCTTTCCCTTTTTTTTTCTCTTTCAAAATTAGGATTGTCACCCATGTAGCAAAGTCTATTAAAAGGTATTCACGCATACATACACATACAGACATGCATCTGTGCATATACACATGCCTTTCCTCCCGTTAAACCAGTTTTGAAGCGCATAACTAATACCACTTCAAATGTGGTTTTAACGCCATTGGGTCGAATGTAGGTATGTCCATGAGTCTGCGTATGTGTGTTTACGCATGTATAACAACACATATGAACACATATATCAACGCGTACATATCAACACGGACATGTCAACACGTACATATCAACACATATGTATCTACACGTGTTTATCTACAATGGTATGCGCAAAATGTAGGATGGTGGGTTGAGAGAACGAGGTTAACAACACATTGCCATCTAGATGAAATTCGTGAGAATGGGAAAATCTGCTAACGATGTTGTGTATTGCTTACATATGCGTGCATTAAAAAAAGTTCATCAAAAAAAAAAACAAAAAAAGGGTTGTGAAAACATTTTAAAATATTCCTTTCGATGAGATATCTTACTTTGCCCAACAAATGGGAATGGGAGTTCTCTTTTTTGCCTTTATTTTTCCCTTTCATTTTTTTTTTGCCTTTTTTTCAACTCATCCAATGGTGCGTAAATTATTATCATTAAAATTGTATGGCCCTGGAATGTATACATATATTTATACATATATGCGCGTTTTTTTTTTTTTTTTTTTTTTTTTTTTTTTTTGCCCCGCCTTTTAAATCTGAAAAATGATCAAAAGGGGAAATTGAACGTTTGTGAAATATAAAAATAGTGGTTCCATAGTGCTTGTAAGATATATGTTGATGGATATGAGTAAGTGATGTTTTCAATATACCTGTACCCCCATGCTTAGGATTATTTTATGCACAAATGTATGTGGGTAATAAACCCTCGTTAACGTCCATGAATTTACGTATAATTTACTCATGTTTTTAACCCCATAGGGAAAGAGAAAATTAGCATATATATATATATATATACACAAAATAATCTCCTTTTTTATTTAAAAATAAAATAAAAAATAACGGGTCTGAATTGGGACGAAGCAAACCTTTGAAGGACTTTTAAAAAATGTCAAATTAACTCGTTTCGCGCACGCTTATTCAAGCTTTCCTTTTTTCCCCAATTTGTACCTGCCACCAGCGCTGGCCTATTGAGTTATTGCACAACTTTCCAAATTTTGAAACTTGATCAAATTTGTGCATTTTTCTACGTTTTTTTCATTTTTTTCCATTTTTCTTCGCCCATGCCTTTCAACCACCCCCACCCATGTTGTCACTGAAAGCCTCGAGGGCCGACAACTTCTACTATGGGAACGTTGATGATGAGCTTGTGAAGAAGAAGAAAGAAAAAGAAGAAAGAAAGAAAAAGAAGAAAAAGGAGTATAACGAAATAAAGTTTGAAATTCCCTATACGATAATATGTGGGGAATGCAAAAAATATATTTATAAAGGAGAAAGATTTAACAGTGAACGAAGAGAAATAGGACATTATTTAAGCACTCCATTTTATTCCTTTACTATTTCTTGCAAAACATGCTTTAACAAAATTGTTATTGAAACAAATCCCAAGGATTGTTCATATGATGTTACTCAAGGGGCAAGAAAAAAAAACGAACATTTTGAAAATGTTTTAACCGAAGCAGGACGAAATAATATAAACTCTATAGATTTTGAAAAAAATAAAAAAAAAAAATGTAACCCCTTTTTGCTCCTAGAAATAAATGCCCTTCAAAAGAAAAAAGACAACAAGGGAAAAGAATCCAATCGAACGCAAGACAAACTTGTGCAAGATGAAGCACATGAGAGTGTTCATTATTTCTCTACTGAACCGGCATGTTACAGTGGGGAAGAGCCTTATGAGGGAATCCCAAACGAGGAGTCTCCCCCAAACAATGAAAACATTAACGATGAAAACATTAACGATGAAAACATTAACGATGAAAACATTAATGATGAAAACATTAATGATGAAAACATTAATGATGTGATAAAAGAAAATTACCTAAGAAACAACATGTTGAAGAACGACTTTACCTGCAACAGAAACCTAAGGAAACAATTGAGAGATATAAAATATGATAAAATAAAGCAGAGGGAAGAGTATAAAAGGAAAAATATATTCATAGATATCGTGAATAATCCGTATGAAAATATGAAAATAAACAAATATATGCGCTTTAATGAAAAGTGTAAGAAGAGCATCAATGTGAAGGAAGAGTTAAATAAGGAAACTTGGTGCAATGGTCAACTGAGAAAACATAAAATTTCCAAGAATAGCTTAATAAAAAAAAAGAAAAGTAGCATATTTGACAAAAAGTATCTTAAGAAGGTGAAGTAGGTGCTGCTGTAAAAACAGCATCCCCACCAATATTATATGTTTGCTTATCGGATGTATGATACCGGAGTGATTGAGGAGGAATATATAGTTCGAACCTGGTGTTTGTGTATGTATGTATGTGTGCGTGTGTGTGTGTCTTTGTAAAGCGAATGAGACCTTATCGAAGGGAACACGTGCAATATTTTGTTATGGGATTCCCGGTACTAGACGAGGCATAGAGATGCCTGATGCGTTTTATGTTTATATATGCATGTGCACACTCGTTGGTATGATCACCCGAATATGGTGTATACCTCATACATGATGATATAATATTTTTTGAAAAAAAAAAAAATCAGAAAAGTAAATTAATGTTTTTGCAGATATATATATATATGGATAACAACTGAGCTGTATTGGGAAAACAGAGTTACGCAACAGGTATGCCATATAAGTGCAGGTGGGGTGGAAATGCACACACAACATGGTGTTTATTTTTTCAAAAACATAAAATAGTATATGATGCTAAAGAGAAAGATTACGGATGCCACTAAGGGGTAGTTGATTTTTTCTTCCTCGGGGGTCTGCATGGGAAATGATGGGGGATATGCAGTATAAAATTCAGCAATTTTTTTGCGTGTTACCTTGGTGGCTTTTTATTTTCTTTTTTGTGTTAATTTGTGAACAAGTATACATATAATGCATGTGTGTTCATAGCATTTTGCTTTTTTTTTTTTTTTTATGCTTCCTTTTTCTTTTACGTCCTTTTTTTTAATCCTTTTTTTTTTTTTACTTCTTTTTTTTTTTTTTTTTTTTTTTTTTTTTTTTTTTTTTTTTTTTTTTTTTTTTTTTTTTTTTTTTTTTTTTTTTTTTTTTTTTTTTTTTTTTTTTTTTTTTTTTTTTTTTTTTTTTTTTTTTTTTTTTTTTTTTTTTTTTTTTTTTTTTTTTTTTTTTTTTTTTTTTTTTTTTTTTTTTTTTTTTTTTTTTTTTTTTTTTTTTTTTTTTTTTTTTTTTTTTTTTTTTTTTTTTTTTTTTTTTTTTTTTTTTTTTTTTTTTTTTTTTTTTTTTTTTTTTTCTTCTTTTTTTTTTTTCTTCTTTTTTTTTTGCTTCTTTTTTTTTTACTTCCAATTTTTTTTACTTCCAATTTTTTTACGTCCTTTTTTTTTCGCTTTCGAGCCCTAACTACTCTTAATAAACATGCGTCCCTTGACAATTTTTCACGCATCAACGATTACGCTTCTACACTGACAAATTCAAAGTGTGCATTTGCAAAGGACACAACAATGGGTACGTGCGAAAGAATACATAATTACTAACCTTCACCTGTTTAGTTATTTCTCCATTCGCTTGCGTCGCGTCTTCTACCTCTGCCTCGGAATATTCCAAATATTCGGTTTTATCCTCCACAGTTTTCGTACTTATCTTTTTCTTATACAGTGTCGAATTCTTCTTTATCCCAATTAAATATGTCTTCATCAGTTTTTGAGCGCTTTTAGAATGTCCTATTTGTTTAAAGGCTTCCGTTGCGTCCTTTCCTGGTGAATAATCGAAGGGATGAAAGGTGAAAGGGGCAAGGGGGGGGGGGGGGTATATATCCATATACACACACTTGTATATATCCATATACACACACTTGCATATCCATATACACACACTTGCATATCCATATACACACACTTGCATATCCATATACACACACTTGCATATCCATATACACACACTTGCATATCCATATACACACACTTGCATATCCATATACACACACTTGCATATCCATATACACACACTTGCATATCCATATACACACACTTGCATATACATATACACACACTTGCATATACATATACACACACTTGCATATACATATACACACACGTGTGCAGCTGTGAGCAGGATAACACATGGTATGATATGGCTGCATGATAGAATAACTAGAATGGGATGAACTAATCTATGAAAAAAAAAAAAAAAAGGTATGCACCACAACTACCCACCCAATATATAAATAAAAATAACGAAGAATATGTTCTTCCCAATCTCTTACCATTGTATTCTTGTAAAACTTCTACCCCACCTGGGTGTTCATAAAATGAACTGACATCATATACCAAATCGTTTATAAAAATGCAACATTTGGATTCCTTTTTCAATTTCTGTAGTTCCTTATCATCAATTACCTTCAATTTTTTGGCTCTCATTCTAGCACTTTAGCCTTTTTCTGTAGTCAAACGTGTTTACAAAATGTACATATGCGTGGATGTGTGTTTTTGCATATGTGTATACATGTGCATATTTAAAAAATATAATAAAAAATAACCTTGTGCTCAAGCATGTAAAAAAAAAGTAACAAACATGTGTGCAGTTTAGGAAACAAATTACTAATGGTATTTGAATAGTTTACCCACGTTACATTTCGCGACGAGGGACAAATAAAAAGTATATGCATATATACACATACACTAAGCCAAAATTAAGAATATGCAAAAATAACCATTTTGTCATGTAAAATGTAGAGCTATGTATACATATGTAGAATACATTTGTTTTCTCGCTTGGTCACGTTGTTTTTATTACTACATATGTTAATTTGGCTTGGGCACAGATCAAGACCACACTAATGCCTTTTCCTTCATTTTTGGCCTTTTTGGCTTTTTTTTTTTTTTTTTTTTTTTTTTTTTTTTTTTTTTTTTTTTATATTGCGCAATCACCTGAACGTTCATAATTTACCAATGGTTAGTTTCCCGTTGCAAAAATGTTTAGAGCCTATGTAAAAATTAAAATTAGCAAAAATGTCCTTACTGTTAACCATATAGGTATGCAAATAATATATGATTACTCAGAATAACAGGAATGCCATAGTTTAGACCATTCTGGACAATGCATTACTTTTCCCACTTGAGAAAAATTTTTAGTTTCTTTTGAGACCTGTAAAAAAATTCATTCAGTCATCATACGCAACAGTTACATGTACGTGCAGAAAAAGAAAAAGAAAATAACATTAACATATAATTATCCACCACCAACACTTCCAACCCCTATGATACTTCTTTTTTTACACAGTTATTTGGAGAATCATGTTTAATTTTTTGCGCATCACAACCGTTTAAAAATATCAATCATTTCAAGAATTGCATTTTCCTCTTATCCTCATACAACCATTTACTTCTAAGCGAAAATTGTTAACTAAAAATAAGTGCGTTTATATTTTGTTCATTTTTGTGAAAAGAATTATTTACGTACACGTGTGCTTATACATGTATGAGTGTTCATTTTGTTCATAGGGTTTTTCTTTTTCGTGTATTTTGTTTTAATTAAGAGATTCTCAAAAACAAAAATAAAAAAAAAAAAAAAAAAAAAAAAAAAAATATATATATATACTTTAAAAAGTGAAAATAAAACTATTTTTTTTTTTTTTTTCCCCCTTCATACCATATGCTGTTTGAAAATGTTATAAAAACGAGAACAATTGGAGCATGGCTCCACGCATTCGGCATGTCAGTATGTGGGTGTAAGTGTACAGGGAAAGCATAAAATGGAAATTGAAATGGACAAAAATGTAAATAGTTAAATAAGTTATAGGTTCGTTCGCATATGCACACTTATGAATGCGTAATTCGGTTCGGCAGCCTAGTAGTTTCTAACCTACACCGAAACTATGCATACAAATATATACAAACACGCATACATACACGCACGAATACATACATACACGCACGAATACATACATACACGCACGAATACATACATACACGCACGAATACATACATACGCCAACGAATACATACATACACATAAGCATGAACTTTTCTGACGTTCACATGTGTATGGGCTTATCGAAGGACTGCAGTGCAACTTCTTTTATGACCTCCGAAAAGGTCGGGTGGGCATATATAACTTTGCTTAAACTTTTGGATGATCCACCACTGCCAATGTATATAGATAAGGGCAGAATCATATCGCTTGCATTATTTCCCACAATTTGGGAACCGAGAATTTTGTTGGTATCTGTTTCAACAATAATTTTGATAAGTCCATCAAAGTCATCTATGGTTCTGGATCTACTGTTGGCCGCAAAGGGAAAAGTAGCCGATTTAAAATTTAATTTCATCTGTTTACATTTTTCTTCATTAAATCCTACACTAGCTACTTCTGGATGCGTGTAAATTACACTTGGTACAAGATCATAATTTATATGAGTTTTTTTTTTTTTATTTAACTTCAATTCATTGAATAACATATTGGCCACAATGTAACCTTCTTCTTCTGCTTTGTGTGCAAGCATAGGCCCATCTATCGCATCGCCAATGGCTTTTACAGTTGGTTGTGATTCCACATTAAAATATTCATCTACAGGTATTTTTTTATTTTTATTTAATTTTATGTTTAAATTTTCTAGCTTTAAATTATCAAAGTTCGCTTTTCTACCAACACAAACAAGTACAACGTCAGATTTTACTTTTTTTATTTCATTTGTCTTGGAATTTTTTGAAAATAAAATGGCTTCTTTATTTTGTATGTTTCCTCCTATTATAGATGTATTAAATACAAATTTCATTTTAATTTTTTCTAAAGTTTTTTGCAACACTTTACTTACATCTGCGTCCAGAAAATTACATAGCCTACTGTTATACTCATATATTGTTACGTCTGAACCCATTTTCGAAAAAACAGAACCTATTTCTAATCCAATAACACCACCACCAATGATTGACAATGTTTTGGGAATTTCCTGAAAATTCAAAATATCATCAGATGTTTGTATTATATGGTGATCATACTCCAAAATGTCTTTAACATTTTCTGCATTGTTAGCATTCTCATCACTTAATTTTTTCAATGGTATTTCTATCGGTTTCGATCCTGTTGCAATGACAATCCGTTCTGCTGTTACCTGCTTATCCCCTTTTTCACATTGCACAAGTACAGTATTTTTATTTACAATGCTACCACGTCCATTCATATGATTTACTTTATTTTTCTTATATAAATACGTTATTCCATCAGATAAATTATTCATACATTTATTTTTGTGCTTGTGTATGGCTTCTACATCTAGATGTACATTATCAATTACTATACCACTTTGTTTAAACCTATGTTTTGCTTCATAATAATTGTGTGCAATATGTAATAACGATTTTGATGGAATGCAACCTCTGTTTAAGCATGTCCCTCCAAGCTTTGTATCTTCGTTTACATTCAAAACATTCAATTTGTTCTGAGCACAACGGATGCTGCACACGTACCCACCAGGGCCTCCCCCTATTACAATGACATCGTAGCTGTTGCGCGGGGGGGGGAAAGTGAAAAAATGTGCGAAAATGTGAAACGTGTAAAAAAATGTGAGAAAATGTGAAAAAACGGAAATTTCTATTTCACATTCGTGCAAACGTTTTGGCTAGTTTGCAAAAAAAAAAATATTCCTGTTCATGCATAATTTCCCACATTTCTCTAACAAATAATTTTTCTCTTCTTAAAAATAGCTCAAATTTGTTTACTCCTTTTTGGATGAGAATTGTCTTCGGCTTCTCAAAAAAACAACCTTCGTCCTACTCACAACTGCATTCATCTTTAAATAAGGGAATTGGGGGAGGGCGTGTGATTTGGGAAGAATGTGTAGGATTGCAAATGCAAGAGTGAACGAGGTATAAAAGTATATATTGGGTAAAATAGTGGATCATCATTTGTTCTACTTTTATTCACACACATATTACAAATTGTATAAGTTATGTATACACTTGAGATTGATCACTAAGCATATAATGGGTGACATAAATACACCTAAGTTGGCAAACTTATACAAAAAAAAAACAAATTGACATTAATATAAGTTTATACAGTATAGCATTTTATTTATTTATTTTTTTTTTTTTTTTTTCTCCCTTTTTCACTTCTCTGGTTGCTGTACTGTTTTGTTACAACATTTCTTCGTTCGCTTCTACCATTTGAGGTTACACATTCGTGTTGTTAATTATTGATAGCGGGAAATCAATATATATGCATATGTGTATACGTGCCTTTTTCTGGCACATTGTGGGGTTTTCAGAACGCACACATTTAATCTTATGTATTATGTATGAACGCATGATATAAAATACCTTTTTACTATCAGTGTCCACACTTCTTAGTATGCAGAGGGTGAAGTTAAACTAAGGGTTTTAAAATTGTGTTGAGAACTTGGGGAAGTAAACAATCCCGTGGTTAATTGTATAAAAACGGATAAAAAATGAAGCTATTTGTCGTAGTGTTTGTAAATGTGGCCTTTGTTTATAATTTTTTTTTTTTTTCAATTTCTTTTTATTTGGTCTACCAATTGTGTGTATATATATGCCTATGTATGTGTATATATATATATGCCTATGTATGTGTATATATATATATGCCTATGTATGTGTATATATATATATTCCTATGTATGTGTATATATATACCTATGTATGTGTATATATATACCTATGAATGTGTATATATATATATATATATGTACATGTGTGTACGCCACCAGGGGCTTATCAAAGGAGATTACAAAAAATCCTGGGTTGCCTATTTTTTTTTTCATTTATTTAGGGCATAGTATTTAGCGCTTGGGGAAATGTCATGCTTTGTTGTGGGCAAGCGTGTAGAAGTATGCAAAAAGTTGAGAAGTTGGAAAAACAGTTAAAGGAGAAACACACAGAGAGAAGCTGTACTTGTGCATGGAAAGAAAAAAAAAAAAAAAAAAAAAAAAAAAAAAAAAAAAAAAAAAAAAAAAAAAAAAAAAAAAAAAAAAAAAAAGAGAAAATAAGCTGATTAGTAAAAGTAGCAAAAGTAGCTACGTGACAAAACAAATGATGCAATCAACATTCTTGTGAAAATCCCTTGCTCATTGCATCCATCGGCTAAGGTGCACTCATTTAATTTGAGCCAAAGTTATGAAACACACCTGCTACGCATTGGGTAAAAAAAAAAAAAAAAAATAAAATAAAAAAATACTCAGCAGTGTGAAATTTTCTCCTTTATTCTTTGTTTTTTACCCATATGGAAAATCTCACGAAACAGTTAACATACGAGGCCAAAAAGGAGAACACAACCCTTATGGGAGCGATCTCAACAAAACATCCGAATTAACAACCTCAAATGAACCACCCCTGTTGGGGTGAGGGGACACCGACATTGCATAAGTCGCAAGTGAGGTGTGCTACATATCATGTTCTCTGATGACATCTACCCCCACCCCTTTATTTCTCCGCATACGCTTTTTTTCATAGAAGCCACTAAAAGATGGGGGAGGAACCTCTGACCTGTTCTCCTCCTTTTCTTTATTCTACCCTTTTATGCAAAAGTGCAATGTGGGAGAAAACTTTTGTTTAAAAAAAATGGCACTTTATTTTTTTTTTTTTTTACCTTGTGTGAATAGTACCTTGAAGGATTTTTAAAACATTTCCTCTTAGGTGTGACATATACGATAAATGTTTTTTTTTTTTTTTTTTTTTTTTTTTTTTTTTCTTTAAGCAACATATATATAATACGAGTCAAATAATTACATTTTTCATCCCTCCACTTTGTCCCAAGTGATGGCTAAAAAAAAATAAAGTAAAAATATATCATCCAGAAAAATATTCACAAACGGTTTTCTAACGGCTACATAGGTCCTTTTTTTTTTTTTTTTTTTTTTTTTTTTTTTTTTTGTTGTTGTTGTAGTGAGCTCATTTTACATACATGTTCCTTGTGCCTGTGAAGAAGTAAAACTCGAACCACCCGACGTCAGTATTTCTTATTTCATCAATCAGGAGCGTATGAAGCACTTGAAAATGAATACGTAGATATATATATATATATATATATATATATATATATATATATATATATATATGTGTATATCTATATAAACATTTAAGGGATACTAGAGTGCATGTAACTCTTTATCTCACGCAAGTGTATAGCGAGGGGCAGTGAATAAGGGCTGCAAGGTTTTTTTTACACCACCATGGGTCCGTAGGTGAAACTAGAAACTGGAACCTTGGTCCCTACGCATACATATTTTCAACTGTAACTGTAGATGTGTATATTTGAGTTTCATAACGCAAACATATATATATATATATATATATATATATTAGAGGCCACCACATAGGAGGTATTTCAATCCAGACCATTAAGGCTGGTGAATCGATAAGTAGCAAAATAGAAAAGAGAATCAGCACTACGGAAGAAGTGTAGCGCCCGTGGGATTTAAACACATCTCCATTCAAAAGAATCACTAACCGAACGAAATGAAAAGCCATTGTGTAATACTGCTGCTCCTAGCCATACTAGGGTTCATGCTGAGATGCACTGAAAGCATCAGAGGGAAGAGAGGAATTAGCAGCAAGAAAAGGGGGTTTTTAAATAAGAGACTAAAATACATAAATAGCAAAATAATAAGTAGAAGGAAAGAGAATTATGTAAAAATGAAAATGACAGAAAATAAAGTAAAAGGAAAAGATATTATATACGGAAATGAATGCAGAAATGAATTGTTAAAAGGTATATTAACAGTATCAGATGTAGTAAAATTAACATTAGGTCCAAGAGGAAGGAATGTGTTATTAGAAAAAGAGTATGGAAGTCCGCTAATAATAAATGATGGTGTAACAATAGCAAAAAATATATCACTAAAAGATAGAAAAAGAAATAATGGTGTAAAATTAATGCAAGAAAGTACCAATATTTCTAATGATAAAGCAGGAGATGGTACAAGTTCAACAGCTTTAATGACAGCTACCATTACGACAAAAGGAATTGAACAAGTAAATAAAAATCACAATCCTATACCTATACAGAAAGGAATACAATTGGCATCAAAAATGATTATAGAAAAAATAAAATCATTGTCAACTCCAATTAAGACATATACAGATATATTAAATATAGCTACTATTGCAAGTAATAATGACACACATATGGGAAATATTATTGCAAATGCTTATGATAAATTAGGTAAAAATGCTGCAATTATTTTAGATGATAATGCTGATATTAATGATAAATTAGAATTTACGGAAGGGTATAATTTTGATAGAGGTATTATTAATCCTTATCTTTTATACAATGAAAATAAAGACTACATTGAATATAACAATGTTTCTACCTTGATTACCGATCAGAATATTGATAATATTCAATCTATTTTACCTATTTTGGAAATTTTTGCTAAGAACAAACAACCTCTCTGCATCATTGCAGACGATTTCAGTAACGAGGTTCTCCAAACCTTGATTATAAACAAACTCAAGGGTGCCATCAAAGTGGTAAGTCACGCGCACATGTTAAGTTGTTACTCTGAATAGTTAAGCGTTAATCGAACTGGTTGATCTTTTCTTTACGCCAAATGAATTCTCTACCCCTTCTCCCCACTTTTCTACTGAGTGGAGAGTGCATAAAAATTTGTATCCTTTTTTTTTTTTTTTATGTACAAAAAGTGGAGATAAAAAAAAAAAAAAAAAGTTATAGAAAACGTAGAAGTAGAATAACTCGTAAGGGTAGAGTCATCTCTATGGTACAGTTTTTCGTACAACATTGGCCTGCATGCGTGTATATATATAGACACAGAGAGTGAGAGAGAGAGAGTGAGAGAGAGGAGGGAAATCTCGCCTCGGTTGCGCACCGCCCAAACGGAACTCACCATATTGTAACGCCTGTGAATATTAACACAAGCACATGTGTATATTTATATATGTACATACATTTATATATATACGCATATGTGTACACATATATGTACATACATTTATATACTCATATGTATACGCAAATATGTACAAATATTTATATGTATATATACGCATGGCCCACCCCACCCACGCGCAGGTTCCCATAAGAGCTCCTTCCTTTGGAGACAGGAGAAAGGATTATCTGAAAGACCTGTGTATTGTTACAAACAGCAAGTACATAAGTGCCGATGTGGGACTTGATCTGAACAACCTGCACAACAATATGAACAGCTTTGACAACAATTATCTAACGTTGCTAGGAAATGCAAATACTCTCATAGTGAAAAAAGACAGAACTAGTCTAATAACAAAGGAAGAATATAAAAATCAAATAGATGAGAGAATAAAAGTTTTAAAAAGGGAATATGAAGAAACAACATCAAAATATGATAAAGAAAAGTTAAATGAACGTATTGCTGCATTATCAGGTGGTATAGCGAAAATATTAATTGGTGGAAATACAGAAACTGAACAAAAGGAAAGAAAATTTAAATATGAAGATGCAACAAATGCAGTAAAAAGTGCAATTGATATTGGATATGTCCCAGGTGGAGGTGTAACATATTTAGAAATAATAAAATCAAATTTTATAAATGAAATACATAAAAAAATTGAAGAAGAACTTCAAAACTCAGGAAATCAAGAAGAAAAAAAATATCTAGATCTAATTGGAAATTTGGAATCAGAAATGGAATTAAGAAAAATGGGAGCAAATATAGTTGTTAGCAGTTTAGATGTAATTACAAAACAGATAGCTGACAATGCAGGAGTGAATGGAGAAAATGTCGTTAAAATAATTTTAAATTCAAAGGATAAATATGGATTTGGATATGACGTGAACACGAACAAATTTGTTAACATGGTAGAAAATGGTATTATTGATAGTACCAACGTTATTATAAGTGTTATTAAAAATAGTTGTAGTATTGCCAGTATGGTCTTGACAACTGAATGTATGATGGTAGATAGTGAAAAGAAAGACAAAGGTGTACTTGACTCTAGTATAAATTCCCCCAATTATTTACATAAAAGTAGAAAAGCTCGTGGATATAGAAGTAGTAAACTTGATGACGTTGACGAGGAGGAGGATGATGATGATATTGAGGACGACGATGAGGAAGAGGATGAGGATGAGGAAGATGAAGAAGAGGATGACGAAGAGGGTGATGAAGAGGATGATGAAGAGGATGACGGATACAACTACGATGAATAAGAGTGGGAGAAAAAACAAACGGAGAGGAGAATATGTGAGAGGGTGTGATCCCCTAAGCAAATGGAGAAAGGGGAACCAAATCGAAGGATCGAACAAGGACAAAAGAAAAAACGAACAGAAAAAACGAACAGAAAAAACGAACAGAAAAAACGAACAGAAAAAACGAACAGAAAAAACGAACAGAAAAAACGAACAGAAAAAACGAACAGAAAAAACGAACAAAACAAATGAACAGAAAAAACGAACAGAAAAAACGAACAAAACAAATGAACAAAACAAATGAACAAAACAAATGAACAAAACAAATGAACAAAACAAATGAACAAAACAAACACTTTAATAAGACTAGTACTTGCCCCATGCGATAATATTTGATATACACTAATTCTCCATTTTATACCAGTTTATTTTCCACTGTCACTGTTTTTTTTTTTTTTAAACATTTTAAGTAAACATGTTTACGCACAATCCCTCACGCTCCGGCACACACACATACTTCACCACTTTTACTAATTTACCTTTTGAAATAATTAATCTTTCATTATTCCATGCGTTTATAAATTGCTCATTCGTTTATATATATTATACCTACGCATGTAATATACACCCCTTTTTTAATTAAATCAGAGCAATCTGAATTTTAAAGTGGTAAATCCATTCCACGGCGAATTTGAACATTGCAAAATTTTTTTTTTTTTTTTAATTTACTTATTTTACTTCTTTTGAATGCAAGCTTCGCTTGCTAGGTAATGAATCGGTGGCGAAAGGGATAAAAAAAAAAAAAAAAAAAATAACAAAATAATAAAATAGGTAGGTTATGCAGGTATAGGTAGATAAATAAAGAAAGAAAGAAAGAAAGAAAGAACAAGGGGAATATACCCACCCCCACCCCAATCTATAGCAACACATATCGATTAATGAAACAATTTAAAATCACACACGTGACATGTATAATGCATGAATGTACAGCTTACAACAACTATGTGAAGCCTGCTTGTCACACCTGGTAGCTGAAAAATATGGAGGAATGTTGAAAAAGTAAAATAGATCCATTTATTTTATGAGCTACTACTCAGATTAAGCTGAGAAAAAAAAAAAAAAAAAAAAAGTTTCAAAATATTAGAGAGAACAAATACATATATAAATTTCGCCATATTAGAGAGCATAAATATGTATACAAATTTCACAATATTTGAAAAAAAAAAAAAAAAACCTTAACAGTCATACAATTTTCTCATTTTTCACCGAAATGGTTAGTTTATTTTATTTTTTTTTTTCAATTTTAAAAAAAAATGCATAATGAGAACAACACACAGCAAACGATGATGTACACTCTTTATATGGCATTTTTTTCGTGCCATACATTTTCACGCGTCCCATCTCTGAAATGTGCCTTTTTGTTATTCTTCACACTCTTTTCATAACCATATTTTTCACACAACACAGCAACTGTTACAACGCCAATAAATACCCACGCGATTGCGTAAGCAAACTTGTATTATCAAAACTGAACAACAATTATTACGTAAAGGATGACATAATAAATTATGCAAGATTTAAATATGTATACAATATTAAGAACCATCCCATACATCATGTTACAAGAGAAATATTGAAATACTTACAATCAAAGTCATCCTTCCATGTAGTATACAACAAATGTCCCCTTTACCAAAGGAATATCTGTTTTAATGATATTTTAATTAAAAACACAAATGACACAACATCGTATAAGAATAACTTCTACTTCTCGGACTCACTGTTGTATATCCCTCAAGCGACATCTCTGTTTCCATACATTTATTCCCTCATAAGGGATGAACAAAAGACGGGGAAATGTGATTCATATTGTAGCAAGAGATGTGGATCCATAAATTACCAGTTGAGATACGCACCAAATGGTTCGCAGGAAACGGGAGAAAAGACAAATGATGATATACACACAAATGAAATTATTAGAAAAAAGGAATGCAACAGGACTGAAGAAGTAAAAGGGGAAAAAGGCTCCAATATATGCTTGTATAATAAATATTATCAAAATGCGGATAGAGAAAAAAGTGCAAAGGAAGAGGAATCATCCAGTATACAACAACATATGGAGAGGAACATAGAAAATTTCCTTATCATTTCAAATATTTTTCGAAAAGATAATATTGATAAATTGCATTTTCCATTTTTTAACCAAATGGATATATATATAAAAATAAAAAACGAACTTATTGAGAAGCAAAAACAGCTCCTTTATTTTTTGTGCTCATTATTAGAAGCTCTTTTTGGCAAAACGCACAAATGGAGAATAAAAAAAGATTCTTTTGATTTTACTAAATATTCATTACAAGCAGAAGTTTATTACAATGACAAATGGGTAGAAATTCTAGGATGTGGAATTTTAAAAAAAAAAATTTTTTTTCAAAAAAATAAACAATATGATATGTGTGATTACTTAGCCCTTGGTCTTGGGATAGACAGAATTGCAATGATCAAGTGGGGAATCAATAGAATAAGGGATCTATATTTGTATATTACAAATGCGAGTAAAAATGTTTCAAGTAATAAAAAAAAAACGCACACATATGTGGACAAACAAATGAACAGCAATATGATTAAGAGTAGTAGCAGCAGTAGAAGCAGTAGCATCCCGGGACAAAGAACACATGGAATTTCACATGTTGATACGCATGACTTAAGCATGTGGGGAAAGTCCACTTGTGATGATGCTGAGAGAAATGAATCAGTACTATGCGAAGAAAACATTCTTTTATATTCCCCCAAATTGGAGGGAATACATTTTCGGAATGAATTGCTGAAATGTTTAACAAGAAAAAGGGTTGTAAATCGACAAAAGGGAGATTCATTTCTGTACTTTTTAAATTTATACAACATACGGGACGAAGAACGAGACTTGTCATTTTATGCCAACTCAGAATGGAACAAGGAGTTGTTTATAAAAAATGTTTTCAATTTTGCACATATTATGAACGGACATTTCCTCAAAAGGGTTATACTTCTGGACGTGTTTCTGCATAAGGGTTCAGGCAACACCAGTTACACCTACAAATTTGTGTATTCTCCATCCGCACAAATAAGGGTTAGGAAAGCCTACTCGTTGTGCTCCAATGTCGTGCGCGGAATAACGGCTCCATCGTGCACACTGTTTGGAAAACACCTCTTGTTACACACACAAATTTATTTCATTATTTCATTATTTCATTTTTTCATTATTTCCGTATTTCATTATTTCATTTTTTCATTATTTCCGTATTTCATTATTTCATTTTTTCATTATTTCCGTATTTCATTTTTTCATTATTTCCGTATTTCATTTTTTCATTATTTCCTTATTTCATTATTTCCTTATTTCATTATTTCCTTATTTCCTTATTTCCGTATTTCCTTATTTCCGTATTTCCTTATTTCCGTATTTCATTATTTCAATTCCTTTTTGTTTCGTTTCCCCACTTTTTTGCAGGAACAGCACATTTTCAAAAAACTGGTGAAGGATTTGCACGAGCAGATTGTGCTCAAGATTGTCAGTACGTATGCCATAACAATTCGATGAGATATCTGCATTGGTTGGGAGGAGGTATGGAGTTAGTTTTGCTTTCTCATCCTATCGTATTTGTCCCTATCGTATTTGTCCCTATCGTATTTGTCCCTATCGTATTTGTCCCTATCGTATTTGTCCCTATCGTATTTGTCCCTATCGCATCTGCCCTACTTCTACCCCCCTGAGCTAACAAATAACCATCTATGTGCTTCTTCTTTTTTTCATTTTCTCGTACTGTTCCCTCCCCACCATTCCCCATTCTCCGTCCCGCACACTGTGTCGCTGCACACTTTGTCCTCTTCACAAGGGGATACTTAGTAAAATCCCAGAAAAAAAGAAACTGCTCAAGTCCTCCAAAAATTAAATACATTTTCTGTTTCGCACAATTGTAAAAAAATTTCATGCACAAAATACTTCCTACTTTGTTTATATTTTCAAATTGGTAAAAGTTCAAAAACTGGGCTACCAGATGAGCTTCCTTAGTGCATCCATATCCATCAGCTGGTACTTTCTCCCCTTTACATTCCTCTGGAAGTATGAATACCTTATATACTAATATTTCTTTCTTCTTTGTGAAAATAGCAAAATACAATTCATTTTCCATGTAGTGAAAATCAAAAAGTGTTATTTTGAACGTTTCGCGCATGCTCACTTTTGTAAAGTGAATACTTTCCTTTAGAAGTTTTTTATCTACCGTGTGATTCTGACATTCATTGCGAGATTCATTATTTACTTTTTTACTAGCCTCATTCTGAGTATGATCTATGGTGGGATTCACAGAAAACTGGGAAAAAACAGAAACTGCGCTGTTCATAGATGCAAAATAAAGAGACGTGTTTGAGTGAACTAAGAGGAATCCATCATGCACATAAAAGCGGACAATTCGATCACCACCTACATTTGCTATACAAACAGAAAACATAAAATTCTCATCAAATATAAAAAGCGTGTTGTTTTCTGCAAAAATGAAAACGTAGCACTTATTATGCCAGATGGTTGATGCAAGGAATTTTTTTCTTCCATTAAATTGAGACATTGTGCTTAATAAATAATTATGTAGGTTACTCACTTGTCTAGTTACAATGTTGTATAGGTATACTGTGTCCTCATTAAGAACTACCAGGTATGTATCAGAAATATTAATTCGATGTAAATGCTTTACTGTGTTAGTACTCCAGGTGGAAATACTTCTGATGGTAGCGGAAACAGTTGCTCTCTCCCCATTAGCCATTGTTATCGTGTTGTTTTTTCCAAAATGTTTTTCCTTTTTTAGCACGTTCTCTTGTGCTAGTGGAAATGTGTAGTGACAGTTGTCAGTACTTAGAGAGGTATAGTCCCCCACCCCATCCGCGAACTGAGTAAGCAGATCTCCAGTTGTGTGATGATCATTCTCACCTTCCGTCTCATCATTAGTGTAATCCCAATCGTATGGAAGAAATTTTTTGCCAGTACAAAACCAGCATAACGAAAAAACGTTTCGATTTTCTCTTATAGATGGTATGACGATAGTCTTCCTTTGCCCATGGGAGAGAGAGAAAAATCCAAATTGGAATTTTTTGTTTACAAAAGCTACAAGGGGGAAATATGGATGGTTAATTAAATAAGTGCACACATTTAAGTGATCCGAGTAGTATGGTTTTGTTAATAATTTTTCTCCATTGTTTTTAATAACTAAATTGTATACATTTTCATTTCCTAATGAAAAAATGATATTATTTTGAAAACATAGAATTTGATGAATCCATACAGAGATGGTAAATATTTTATACACCATCCTTTTTTTACTTATTTGATAGAGACAAAAATTTTTCTCCGCATCGTAAATGTATGCATACTCTTCTCCATTTACTATACATACAGATAATGAGAAAATTCGTTTACATTGTGTGTCATATTTGTTTATCACTTTTTTTTCCTTTAAATTGTAAACGTTTAAAAATCCTTTTTTGTCTCCATTAGATATGTAAATGGTATTCTCCTTTCCAAAACAAACACACGTGTAGTTCTTTTGTGGTTTTTCCGTTTCACCACCACCTCTACATGGATTCGGTTGTACGCTAGAATCTTCCATGTCACTTCGATCAACCCTCAAACAGTGCAATTCAGCCGATTCAGTAATATCCACAATTTTAACATACTTCTGCGTGGAAAAGGCCAAATACATATGGTTCAACTGATCATGACCTACACTGAGAGAAAATAAAATATCTTCATTGGAAATATCTATAACAAAATGGACTTGATAATTGTATATATTGAATACTTGAATGGAATCACCACATGCTAAAAAAATATAGAAATTGTTTCGAATTGCATTAGCTATGTGGTAGTAATTTTTCACATCAAAATAAGCTTTGACATTTGTTTCGATTAGATGAATTTTTTCATTTTTTCGTAATTTTTTTTTTATTTTTATTTGTTTTTCTGGAATTAGGAAATAAATATTCCCATCATTATCACCATATATTAAAACATAAAACATATTTTGCAAAATTTTGTACATCCATTTCTTCTCTTTCGATATGTCCATTTCAAATTCAACACCTTTACCATAACACAAGGCGCAATCATTGAGTAATTCTTGGAATATCTCAAAACAGTACTTATTCTTGAGAACTATTTTTTCTTCTATTTTGTCTAGATCCACAATCTTTATATTCCCTTCCAATTGATCTTCTGATAATTTATTGTAAAGACTATTGTTTTCATTTATGTAAATAAAGGTAAAGTTAAGTGATGTTATTTGTGTTTTCTCTCGTGTAATTACATGAGATTTGTTTTTTTCAAAATCGAATAAAAGTATTTCTTTCTTATCATTATAGAGGATAAGTTCATGTGGTATTTGCACGAGAGTTGTATTGTCTACTTCACATTCTGTCACTTTCTCATGTTCCATTTTTTTATCGGCTTTTTCCTCCATTTCGTCTACTTGTTCACCCAAGTTAGACAAAGATAAACAAAAAAAAAATGGCTTTCTTGTGATGGATGACAAAAAAAAAACTGGTCTCAGTACATAATCAATGCTGATATAAAATAAGCATGATAAAACCTTCATATCACTAAACATGCTTACATTTAATACCTCATTTTTTATAATTTTCTTTATAATAATACTATTTTTGTGAACAGAACATGTCAAAAAATCGATTATTTTAAAGTTAAATACATTTTTTTTTCTTTCATACTTTGCACATTTCTTTGCTCTCATTCCTAATTCTTCTTCATTGTATGTGAAGTACGGTATGAATGGAGAAGATTGTCCATTAAACCAAAATAAAGAAGGGAAATACAAAATATTCCTTAAATCATTTTTTTTTTTTTTGCCTTTCCGAACTATATCCTTCTTTTCTAATTGCAAATTGTATCTTTGCAAGTTCTCATACTTTTCATTCATCATATTTTCTCTGTGCTTGAACTGGCCATGTGAATGTGGTCAAAAAAAAAAAAAAAACAAAAAAAAAGGAGAGATCCATGAGGAGAAAAACAGCAGATTTGACAGAATGGCGAAGTGGTAGGTGATGTGGTTTAATGTGAACTTAAAAAAAAAAAAAAAAAAAAAATTTATGCTACTTCCAATTCGTTCATCACAAATTGTGAATTATTTAAAAAAGGAGGGAATAATAATGAATTGTTTGCAAAGAAAGAATTTTTTCATTTTTTTTCTTTTTTTTTCTTTTTTGCTGTGTGTGGGAAGGAATTAAAATTATTGTGGTGTGGGCACAGTGGGGGGAAAGAAGCGAAAGAAAAGCAGAAAACACACCTCACCGTTGTTTCCTACTTAAATTATTTGGGAGGTTAAAATTTGTTTACTTAAACTGAATAGCAACTTTTTTTGGGATTCTTAAATTTGAGGTGAACTATGCCTATTGTATATATGTGTATATATATATATATATATATATATATTTTTTTTTTTTTTTTTTTTTTTTTTTTTTTTTTTTTTTTTTTTGCATAGAGTTGGAACAACGAAATTAAGCGGTTGAATGGGCAACTGCTGAAACCACTAACCCAGTATTGTCCTTTTTGTAATTTTAGTCTCTATATTAAGACAAATACTATCTGCTATGTGTGTAGTTTCTCCCTTCATCGCCAAGGTTTTTGCAATATCAGTTTGTATTATATAAATGTATGTTTACATATTTTTGTGTATATAAACATAGTTCGGATCAAAGATATGAACATGCTTTGCATCGTATGTCTCAGGCATCAAGAGTAGGAACAAATACATGCACCACCGTGTTGTACTTTCCCATTTATAAAAAAGCTCACACAGGATAACACTTTTTTCTGTGTGCCAATTTTTCCATACAAATATATCATAATGATACACAAAATGATTATACTTTTTGGATAAAGCTAAATTAGTTTTTTTTTTTAATTATTTTATTTTATTTTTTTTTATTTTTTTTTGAATTAAAAAAAATTATATGAATTTAAAAAAAAAAAAAAAAAAAAAAAAAAAAACCACATAAGTACCTGTGCTATACATGTATATGGGATGCCGTATATATATATATGTATATATACAATATACATAATATATATCGTATGTACACACCATATATATATGGCAAAGACATACATTTATGCACAAAGAGGAGGGGGTGGGGATGGGGTTAAACTTTTCCTATATGTTAAATAAATATAAAAAATTAGACTATCATCTGTTGGGATTAAAATTCAAATATATGTAAAAACTTGTCGGGTTTTTCTAGAAACACCGATAAAAAGTCTCTCACGGGGGTAAGGAAAAAGCATGGGAATGGAAAAACACCTCATAGACGATTACGAATGCAAGAGCATATATATATATGGCTTAAGGGAAACAATAAGTATGTAGAAAACTGTATAAAAAAATTGCACGCAGAGATACGTATCATGAATGCATAAATAAATAAAAAGGTTCGGGGGATAAAGCATTCTCTCAGTGTTCAAAAAAAGGTGGGAAAAAATAAAATAAAACAAAATAAAACAAAATAAAACAAAATAAAAGGCTAATTAGGAAATGAAAAAAACGCAAAAAAAAAAAAAAAAAAAAAAAAAAAAAAGGCACTATATATACCATAATCTAACAATGTCACGAATGCTGCATCCGAAGTGGACAACTCGGCAGTATATATAGGGAGTCTGAGAATAACCCCCAAAAAAAAAGGGATAACCTCAAATAGATTATATATATAATATATATTATATAAGGAAATTACCCAAAATTAATAAATAAAAAAAAAAAAAAAAAAAAAAAAACAAATATGAACCTCGATACGATAATCACACACTCAGCTCATGCATCATATGTATATATAAATATAGATTCACATACATACATCTATACTAAACAACATTCAATTTTCAAATGGAACAATTGGGGGTGGTGGTGGGGGGTTTTAATAACATTATCATGCTCGTATAATCATATCAAAAAAAAAAAAAAAAAAATCAACAACTTTGTTAATAACTAAACTGAAAAATTGATATTACATGTACACTCTTCCCATAACGCGCACACACAACCATGATGATATATATATATATATATATATATATATATATACCCCTTCCTCTCTCCCTTCTTCCCTTAGAACACGTATACACACAAAATATACATGTTGCTGTTGCAATGTTGTAATTTCTTCTGTTGGGATAAAAACCGAAATAGAAAATAAATCAAAAAAAGTTGACATAATTGTCAGAAAAACTTTTCTCCTTATCGACTCGAGAGGTTTGAAAGGAGTATCCTAAAAAACTTTTATTTTCCTCTTCTTCATTCATTTTTAAATCATATTCAGCTGCTTTCACTTTATCATCTTTCTTTGACTCACAAAAGTTGTTGCCATCGTACTTTCCATATGCATTATTGAAGGGAATTCCGTCTATGTATAAATTTGGATTTAATGTATTTCGATAAAGGGAAGATGATGAATTTCCCACTGAATTTTCCAGCGAATTATTCATGCCATTTTCTGCATGCTCAATCAGCGTGCTGTAGTTATTGTTCATTGGTGCATTTTCCACATTTAACGAATTACTGTTATTTGTATTTTTTCCTTTTATACCCATATTTACATACACATTGTTGTTACTACCATTGCTGGTCGTGGGTGCTTCAGCTATTCCATTTCTTCCGTTGTCATAATAGGGAAAAATATTTTTTGCTTTTTCTTCTGAGAAGTAATTGTTGTTGTATCCTTCAGAGATCATGATTCCACTTCGATCAACACTTCCTCCTCTGCATACACTTCCAACTTTATTTATGTTATTCAAACCAATATTTGAGTATGCAAATTCGTTCTGATTGAGATTCATTTCTTCATTGGCGTTTAATTCCTCTTCTTCGTTGTTCATCCGGTAACTCATATCCTTGTATATGTTATCATATGTCTCGAATTTGTTGTACTTGTCAAACTTCTCGAACTCGTCATACTTGTCGAACTTGTCAAACTTGTCGAACTCGTCAAACTTGTCGAACTTGTCCAACTTGTCAAACTTGTCAAATTGTTCATACTCTCGTGCCTTAATACTGCTACTTCCATTGCGGCTACCAACACAACTACTTCCCATGCAGTTACCTGCACAATTACCCACGCACGTAGCACCACTGGCACTCAGCAATCCTTCACTCATGCAACTTTCCAAAGGATTAAGCCTCTTGACGTTATTGGCTTGTTGATGCAAATGATTAAAATTTCTCGAAAGGGCTTTACTATTGCCATTACCGTTGCTATTGCCATTGTTATTTTCATCGTTATTGTCATTGCCATTGCCACTACCATTGCCACTGACATTGCCATTCTTATTTCCATCTCCATGGTTGCCATACTCACAGACGCTGCTCATGGATAGTTCTTCATTGCTCTTTTCATCAAAGTCCATATCTATGTCATTTATAAAATCAATGTTAATTAGGTTCTTAAAGTCCTCCTTCATGTCATCGTTCTGCGTGCCATAATTTTGATTAATCACATCTGTGCAGAATTTATCATCCCCATAGCTATAGGTGTTGCCATTGTTGCTGCCACTGTTGTTGTTATTGACACTGTTATTGCCACTACAGAAATCATTTTGCAACTTCAACGATCCAACACCGAAACTTCCCATGCTTGCGTTCATTTCTCCAGCAGTGCCAATACCCAGATGGCAACTCTTAAAGCCACGCATTAAGTTTTTCTCTTTACTAGACCCTGCTACATCTAAATGTGAACTTGTTCCAAAATGGTTCAAATTTGTCGTTCCATTTTGTGTTCCTCTAGTTGAGCTGTTATTGCTGTGGTTATTGCTGTGCTGAGTATTATTAAAAGTGCTAATAATTAGGTTTCCATTTCCGTGGTTGTTACTGCAAAGTGCACTATTTGAACCATTCACATTAGCTGTGCTTCCACCACTACTGTTGAAAGAAAACAAATGTTCATTATGTGAATTCATGTTGTTGTTCGAAGCATTAGAAAATGATGCATAGTGTGTCTGTTTCTTAAAATTGTAACTAACATTATTTAATATATTATCTTTATTTATTGTGTTCATGCCATTATTACTGCTACTACTACTTAGGAAATTAGAATTGGATAAAAAGGAATTTCTTCTTCCTCCTCCTCCTCCACCACCACTGGTGCTACTTCCAATGCCAATGCCACGACCACTTCCAATAGTATCTACTTCATCACCTGCACATACAGTTTTATTATTCAGATTTTTGTTCTTCATCAGATATATATTTCTAGATGAATTTCTAGATGAATACATAGTGTTGTTATGGTTGATTGTATAATTCAATTTATCGTTTCCTACTATATTCTTGCTTATACAACCATTGCGCATACTTCCGCCGTCGAAATGATTAAGAGTCTCGCTGTTCAAATGACTTCTCATCTGATTTCCCATCTGATTTGATACATAATTACCATAATATCCACTCATGCTACTACTACTACCCATTCCATTTACCCCTGGTACAAAACCAACACCACCTGATCCCATATGATTGGAAGTTAAGAAAGTTCTTCCACCATTTCTGATATTATTAGTATTACTCTTTCCATTTGGGTAAATACCATGCAACATGTTTGCACTACTGCTATTATTACTAACTTGTTTCAGTATACCATTTGACATTATCACTGCAGTGGTCTTGGTCGTCAAGGCATTACTGATATTATCATGTCCTGATAAAGGCTGATGATGAGGATGGTGATCTACATGTGCATCATGGTTTATACCATTATCAGTGTCATTTATAAGGTTATTATTAGCACTACTTGATACATTCATCATTTCTCCATTTCCAATTCCATTAGTGGCACTACCATTTCTTTCTATAACACTACTGCTTCCTAATCTTCCTAAGGTTCCAACAGAAATAGCTCCATTACTACCACCTTCAACTGCCGTGGACATATTCCCCTTGCACAATGTGCTAAAATTGTTCAAGGGAGTACTGCTGTTTTCATCTACTAAAACATGTGCTACTTCTTCTGAAGCATTTTCATTAACACTGATGGATCCTATAATACCTTTCATTTTTGAAATATTTTTTCTGTGATCATTATTAGCCTTTTTATTATTGCTGTTATTACCATTACCATGATAATCATCTGCCATTGCTACAGATGCTGTTGCTGTTGCTGCTCCCTTGGTATGCATGACAATATGTTTATTAAGAGAATCGTAATGTATATTTACATTTTCTAATTTGGAAATATTATTATTGTTACCGTCTTCGCACAGATGATAATTATCTTTAAATAAAAACAAATCATGATAATTTTTATTAATTTTTTTTATTTTTTTAAATTCTGCTGCAGATGATCTCGGTACAGCTCTTTCAATTCGAAGATCTCGAACTGATATACTACTTCTCAAAGGAATGTTAAAAAAATTAAACATATCTTCTTTCCATTTATCTGGGGTATTTTTGTACGTCTTTAAAAATTTATTCATACATGCTAACGTTTTGAATTTAATTTTAATATGTGAACCTTTGGGTGGATGAAAATATATATTATCAATTTCTTCATAACCCATTAATTTTAAAATATATAACATTTGCTCCTTTGCTTCTATATATTCAGCTAGCTTATTTCTCTCAGCTGAATTTTTAGGCAGTTCCAGTGGGTATTGACATCTTGCACTCTTAGGAACCCATGATATGTAAACCATCATGTCGCTGAAGTAATCATTTGTCAATCCGGTTCCATTTGCATTCCCATTTCCCACTCCATGAGTTGAATTCTCACACGATATCTTCTTCGGCACACCTTTATCATTTAACACGAGAGTGCTGTTACTGCTACTATTCTCATTGCTCAGAATTTTCTTTTTAGAATTCCTGTCTCGAACCTTCTTGTCAACAATTGACACTTCTGTTAAACCTGTGGATAAACTAACCTGCGTTTCGTTATTGTCCTTTCTAAAATAGTTTGACGTCTTTTTGTTTAAATTCATTTTATTCACTTTATTCAATCTATTCACACCATGGTTTAATGGGCTGAAGTTCGTTCTGTTCGATGTGTCATGATGATAATGCTGTCGATGATGTTGGTGATGATACTGCTGGATGTGGTACTGCTGGTGATGATGTTGGCCGTAATACTGTTGAGGGTGGTACTGCTGCGAGTGATTCTGCTGCGAGTGATACTGCTGCGAGTGATTCTGCTGAGAGTAGTACTGCTGATGATGTTGCTTCTCAGTATTGTTCTCAAGTACTTCCTCCGTTCTACACTTACCGTTAATGTAGTTCTTGTTGTTTTCAGTGTCCATTCGTATCTTATTACTTACGTCGTTATGGCTACCTTGATCGTCATAGATGTAGCTTCCCTTTAAACAATCATGTTTTGTAGATGCATTGCCACCATTTCGCTCATTTGTCTTGATCAAAAGGTGCATAAAAATATTAATACGGTTCATCCTCTTCAATAATGCACTCATTTCTTCTTCCAATTTTTCCTTCTCAACAAGCATTACATGGATTGCAGAGAATATTTCCTCTAAGAAATGTATAATGTGTTTTCTACACATGAGTAAAAAAAACATATTTAGGTTTCTATTATACATTAGATTTTCTTCAATTTCGTTATTATCATAATCATATCCATTTAATTTCTGTTCCATCATTTGATAAAACGAACTTTTTATTTCGCTTAGCATAGCACCGTCCCTTCTGTTGAGCTGCTGTGATACTTGGTCAAGATTTTGTGATTCCCTTTTCTCATTCTCCTCATTATCATTTGCAATTATATTGCCATTTATATTTACATTGTTGTTTACAAGGGAAGAATCGTTCATACTTAATAAAATACTTTTTACCTCATTTTTGTAACGTCCTAAATAGTCCAACATTATATTCTGATTTTCTCTAAATTTTTCTATTTCCTTCTTTAAAATTTGCGTCTTTTCTTTATTTCCTAATTCTTCACAATCTAAACGGTCGAAGAGACAATTATATAATTCTGCATATAGGAGAAGCATATCATTGCTCATTTCATCACTGTGTACTTCTTCATTTTCTTTTATTTCTTTAATTAATTCCTCAGCTTTGGCTAGCTCATCGTATTTTCCGTTTTCCCCATCAGATTCAACGCGATCATATTCAACACGATCAGATTCAACACGATCAGATTCAACACGATCAGATTCAACGCGATCAGATTCAACACGTTCATAATCTTCATGATCCGAGGAGCTACATTTCATTACGTTTTTTCCATTTTCATTAAAAGTATCACAATCAGTCTCAGTTGGGGTAGAAGAATTCTTCAGCTTTTCTTTTCCCTCATGATGATTTTTTCTATTCGTTTTTGTTACTTCGTTCGATGGAATAGATTCACTGATTTCCTCCTTAATGTCATCCTGCTCGTTGTTCATTTGGTCAGATTTTTCCATACTCTCCATATTTTCTACATCTTCCACAATTTCGACACATTCTGGATTCTCTATACTACTTTTCTTGTCTTCCTTGTTATCATTATCACTCTCAGTCTTCACAATGAGATCATTTCCTTCTACTTTCTGAACAAAATCACAATGTTCATCCTCTTTCCCTTTTCTTACTTCGTTGTTCATATCCATACCTTTACTTTTATCTAGTTCCTTTGCATTACCACTTTCATCCTGTTCTGTTTTGGGTTTAGCCTTGGTTAAATTGTTAAATCGGTCTAACAAATTGAATAAGTAACCACCTCCACTGGAGTTCGCAGCAGCTGCTGTAGTAGTAGCCGTAGTAGTAGCACTGCCTTCACCTTCTTTTCCATTTCCTATTATTGCTGCATCACTTTTCAACTCTTCTGGATTCGGTTTCTGTCCCTTGTAATCATCTTCTCTAGCACTCACTTCCTGTTGAACTTCCTTCATGTTATTTCTTCTTTTTGGTGTGATAACACGGTTCACGTATTCAAGCTTCTCTTGTTCTAACTTCTTTGATATAAATTATTTTATTTTTACTTATTTATTTTATTATTTATTTATTTTTTTTTTTTTAATTTGTAATTTATTTTATTTGTATTTTTTTTTATTTTATATATCCTTTTTCTCTTTTTTTTTTTTTTATTATTTATGCACAAAAATGATGTACACATGTATGCGTAATTGTGGGGAAAAAAAAAAAAAAAAAAATATAAGCATATGCAATTTGTGTTCATACAAAATGTAAATCCATCCCACTTAACATTACATGTAATGATTCCTAAGTGGAGAAATACAAAATTGCAGTGAATTAGTGGAAGAAAAAAAAAAAAAAAAAAAAAAAGGGGATAATAAGAAAATGGTTAAAGAGTTACATAACTCAATAATTCAATTGTTATATACTTAAATACATAAATACACATCAAAGGAAATGTAAAATAATAAAATACAATGAATGTTAATTTCGTGAGAAACATAAAGTAACAATTCTCCAAAAAAAAACAAACAAACAAACAAACAAAAAAACCTCTTCTCTCTATATAAACAAAATATACTAATATGTGCATACGTACATGTATATATATATTACATCTCAAGCGACGAAAGGACGGGAATTCATAAAATCTGATGTAACAACTAATTTATATTCTTGTTACACATATAGATATATACATGCGCAGCGGGCATCAAAATATAATCATACATATGTGCTTTTTTACTATAAAATTATTTTGAAACATTCTAAATAATCTGCACATGTGTTAACATTAAAAAAAAAAAAAAAAAAATACTTCATAATTTTTTAATATTAAAAATAATGGATGCAACGAAATCGATGCATACTCTCTACAACGACTACTATGAAAAAAAGGGAATACAAATAAAAAATAATTCCATGCGTACAAATATGTTCTGTAATGAAAAAAAAAAAAAAAAAAAAAAAACTAAAAACTAATTCGGGTTAATTTGTCTATATAGATATATATATGTGTGTGCACCCTTTATGGGCCTCCAAGGAGCAGTAAAAAGCCCTCTACACATAGGCATAAAACTACATATCTCTAAATTTCCTTTATCACTTGTTTTTCTTAACATGTATATTTACGTAATCATAATTATTGTAATTCGGAAAGGAAAACGTTAATGCACGCATATATGTGGGATATGGACATATATATATGCATACACATATATCCATCTTGTGTTTTCACTTTTCCTTCTTGTTTTTCATTACAAGGTGCAATCTATTTTGTTTTTGTAAATGTCAAATACGTGCATAAAATGCATCTTCACGTATAGTAGCGTAGCATTATACAAGTTTATACACACATGTGTAGATGTAACAAAAATGAAAAGGTTGCGTGTGATGATATCCAAAAAAAAAAAAAAAAAAAAAAAAAAAGGAATGAGAAAAATAGGAAATGCACAAAAAATGTCAAAATGAAAATAAACAATGTATAAATGGATTATATTGTAAATTATATGCTTCATAAAAAATAAATAAATAAAAAACTCTTTTAATTAACAATACAACATTGAAAAAAAAAAAAAAATACATGGTCACGAAATAGCCACATAAATAAACTCACATAAAAAAAAAAAAAAAAGATATTAAAAAAGCATATTATAAATGGAGCGAAAATACAAGGGCATCATGCAAACACAATTCATAAAAGACTTTTATCAAGCAATTGTTAAGTAAGGAAACATGATGTGAAAAAACTCATCATATTTTTTCGTTATGAGTTTTTTGGTTCGAATTTGTTTCGAGGCAATTTTCGGTCCTATCTCTCCCCTTTACTATTTTTTTTTTTTTTTTCTTTTTTATTTTCTTAAACATGTGTTGTTCACTTTTTCTCAAAAAAAAAAAAAATAAAATAAAATAATAATAATAAATAAATAATAAAAAAATTCACATTCAAGCAAACTGCAAGAAAAAATAAAAAAAGGATAAACAAAAATAAGAAAAATAGGCACTCATATAAAACCTCTCACTCGTGAGACATCTTCATATATGGAAGAATGACCCATGTGCGTGTACTTCGCACGTCTATTGCATGGATGTGTGTACAGGGATATGTGCAAAATATGAAAAATGATATCTGTTCAAAACGATACATGTATATATGTATATACCTTTGTGTGTGATGTAACAAATGATTAAAAAATTGAAGGACCATATGTGGAAGTGGGGATATGGTGGAACTACACGTAATGGTAATATTAATGATTGAAAAGATGATAGTAATAATAGAATAAAACGGGGAAAAAAAAAAAAAAAAATATAATTTGCACGATTGTTGTTTCAGAAATAAAATTGAATCATGCACAAATGTGTGTGTGTGTAACTAAAATATACACATCTTTTCTTTTCCCTACGTTATTTGAACATACGGTACAATTTTTTTTTGCATTCATTCCTTCAAAATGCTCACTTAAATTTTGTCCATACAAATGTGCATCTTATGAGAAAGATATAAAAAGGTACATGTATATGGGTACAAATAGCTATAGGTGCATGTACATAGAGTTTCTCACACAAGGTCATATATGTACACATAGGTATATATGCATGTACACACATACAAATAAATTTATGTAAAAAAAAAAAAAAAAAAAAAAACTAATCTACTTATATGAACAAGGTCATATATATACACACAACATGTTTCAAAATAAATTTTTTTTTTTCAGATTTATGCGAAAAAAATGTATATATATGAGAACTATATAAATAACTAATGTGAAAAGTAAAACATTACATCATATGAAACATGTGAAAAGTTTGACATAAGTGTAGGGCTTATTTTGTAAGCATTACAACACGCTTATTTAGCTTGGGCATTGGTATTACATAAATGCATTTGTATGCCATAGGCTGCAAGTATATGAATGTATATAAACACAATATAATATGGCAATAGTGGGTATATATATATATATATATATATATACATAAGGCGGCGCTTTCTTTTACTTAGTAGCTTTCAACAAACTGAGGATTTTGCAAGAACATATGCATTGCCATGTGCAAATAAACGCATATAAAAATCCTACTTCTTTCTCCCCCTTATTCATTTACATCAGTAACAAAACACTTCAAGCACAAATCATTTAAAAGTAAATACATTCATGTTTGTTCATTCAAAACATAATCAATCAAGCGAACATACTTCTAAGCAATGTGGATTAACACGTAAGCTTTATCAAATAATCAAACTCAAGAAGATGAATATGTATTTTTTTGTTACTTTTCTAACATTGATATATAATAATAAAAAAAAAAAAAAAAAAAAAAGTATACATATAAAGGTATAAATAAGTTTATAAATGAAAAATATACATACTAATATGTTACAAAATATATAATAGAAAGAAAAAACATTTTAAATCAATTGGGCTCACGTACGTTAATGTAAAATGGGGGAAAAAAAAATATGATTTATAAAAAAAAAAAAAAATGTTTTGCCTTTTATAAAATGCATATGCATGTACATGTATATACAAACATAAATGTGCTAAATGCAAAAGCATGTTAAAAATGGGCAAATGCATGAATATTAAATAAAAAAAAAAAAAAAAAAAGAGAAAGTTGAAATCATAGTTAATTAACAAGTTTTGGCACTCGAAAAAAGAAAAAAAAAATATATTACTCCACCAATGAAAACTAAAAAATAAAAAAATCAGTACTCACCCTCCTTCTTCCTCTTTCATATATACACATGCTTGAGTATCTGCATGTTATATATTATGCATATTTGGGGGGGAGGGTAATAATATAACACATGCGAAATGCTCACATTTATATCATAATTATAACATTTTCTCTCGCCGCTTGTCGTAAATTTATACACCCAAAACTTGTGAAAAAATTTTCACATATATATAGGTTCTCCCAAACAAACATATATATTATACTAATTGGGTAATGAAGGTGAAGTGGAGCACTGTTACTATAACATTCCCCTTTTTTGTTAGTATTTACATTACATATTTTCTTAGTTTAATAAATTCTAAATTTGAAAAAATGTACAAAAAGGGGCCAAATGAACGAAAAGAAAAAAAAAAAAAAAAAAAAAAAGTTAAAAAGTATTGTATGACACACAATTTTCACGGAATAATAATTAATTAATTAATCCCGAATATTCTGTGCCTTAAACAAAAGGTGCAGAAAATAAAAATATACAACACGATCAGAATGCCTGTGGTAGTAGCTTTATTAATACTTCTTACTGTGCTACATAATAATTTTTTTTTTAAACTCATGCATCCATGTAAAAATACACATGTACACAATGTAAAAGTATATGTAATATACTCACACTGATAAGCCTCCTGAATGTTATATACATATATATATATATATATATATATATATATATATATATATATACATTTGGAATAGATATCAATGGAGTAGTGATGGTAGTGTAGTGTTTTACGTATATTGGTAAAACTGCAATATTACTTGCACCTTACTACATATATTATTCATAGCACCCCAACATGTGCACTTGTGTTCAGAATAAAAAGTATATATAAGCGCTTTATTATGTATGCACAGGCTGTCGTATTATTTTGAATACATAGTACAATTATATATATACGCATAATATACATGTAAGATATATAATGAATCTCCACGAAAATCAACAATCTTAAAATAAAGGCCAAGGGGCTTCCTTCTCCTTATCCACATATTAGCTTCCTTTCAAAGGATTAAACTAATCAACTATTGTTAAAAATAGCAAAAGCTGATGGGAACGTTGCTGTGTACTTATAAAATTTGTATAATAAAATAAATAAATGATAACAGTAAAAAGCAGTAATAGTAATAATACTTTTTTTTTTTTTTTTTTTAAGATTGGAGAATTTGGGGAGATGGAAGGTGGTGAGGTGGTGTAGTGAAAATTAATGAAATAACAAAATGTAACAGTGTTGGTGGGGAG